TGTGATGCAGAAGCGCAGTTTGTCATGCAGAATAGGCAACACCTAGGAGCTCAGAAACTTGTCATGCTGAGCCAGCATTTTTAGCCTCATCATGAGACGCCACCCAGCATCACAAGTTTCCAGACCCAGACACTTTTACTTTTGATACATGCATGTTGAGTTGATGTTATTGAAGATAACCTCCTTTTTGTTCCCGGCGAAGGCGAAACGGAGAGCTGTTGCGCCTGATGAAGGTGACGAATTTTAGTTAGTATCAAAAATATTTTTGTTATTTGCTTTTGATTGCGCCCATGCTCATGCAAGTTGAGTTGATGATAGGTGTGCTTTGTTTTACGTATAATTTTTCATTTCATTTGTTTTAGATTAGTTTATGTCTGCTTTGCTATGCTTATTGTTGTTTTTCTCTTGATGTTGTTGAAGATCCCGACTGCGATTTCTATACGCTGAAACATCTCCAAGACGGTACAAAGTTAGTTCGAAAAGGACGGTAAATTTCATCGGCTACCCCATCCCCACCCCCAGGTGCAAGATTGAAATAGATTGTCACTACTTGACACTTCAGCTTAAGTCGTGACAACCCAAGTCAGTGCCAACCCAAATTTTCTCTCCCAAATAATAGCACGGAACAACCGGAAATAAATAAGACCGTGCTTACCCGCGAGGCTCGAAGTAACACTTCTTAAAACCCAATAGATACGTTTCTAGCCGTCACACGACAACAGATGGCATAGTCGAAGACAAAACTCGAACTGTGACGCGCGGTGTCTCGAAGCACAAGGCTTTTTGTATAGTGGTCGAGCCAGTGACCAGCCTGCCTTTGATTCAAGTGAATTTTAGATGATCAGGACTCATTCGTGGACGAGGTAGACCACTGTATTTATTCTTGCAAGGTCTAGTACTTCACACTCTCGCTTACCAGGGTAGAGGCCGCACAGTCAGAGATTTATTGTGGTGCTGGGCTGTCGAGCGAACCTGTGAAGATGTGAAGTGAAGAACACGAGGGATGCAAGCAATGTGGTCATAGGAGCGTTGTCTACTTCCATCGGTCCCTACGTCGGAACTGAAGCAACACAATTTTCGCAATTGCGAGTAAGCTGAAAGTACTTCTTGTCTCTAAATGCAGGAGCTGCCTGACTTCTATAGTTTACTTTTAGTCTAAGTGGAGCGTCGCGAGACGAGCGAAAGCAAGGTCTGGGATTCAGATACTAGGTCACTTTGGGCTCATATTCCCTACTTACACTTTACAGATCTGTAGACGAATCATGACCGCGATGTGCGGCCCGTCAAAATTTCGACAGGTCTTCATTTAACTTGTCTGGATTCACTATCCATCATCTGACGCACTTTTTTTCTTGGATGTTCGCCTTTTTCGGTAATAAACCGCTTGGGTTTAATATTACTCCTTTGTCTCTGAGTACTTCTACTTGAGTACTGACCGAGTGCATATGCAGTACTATTTTGGCACAAAAATTGCATCTGTACTAGCAGGCCACGTAATGAAAATGAACTAACTGTAACTACAGCACAAAGACCAGAAGCACCTACTACAAAAATGTTGAACGCGAGCTCGTTTTCGTCTACGTTGTCCGCAGCACTAGGAAGTATGCTTTCGGCCTTCTTCCGCAGGACTGCGCTGTTGTCGCATCTCGTGGCACAGGTATTCCTGCTGTCCCAAGGTGTCGGCCTCGTGGCGGCTTACAACAGCTATCAGCAGCGCATCCCGAACGGGTCGAGCATGGGGGCGGTGGTTATCAAAATGAATCGCAGTGCAATTACTCTCGCTGCATGTAGTTGCGAGTTATTTGCGTCGTATCTTGTTCTGAGAACGAAAATGAATCGATTCTGTTTCTGAGCAAGGTCGCTGCACCTAGAATACAGTCGCGAAGCTTTTGCGAGGAAAAATTAAATCGTCGCTGATTTACCAGCGTAGTACGCACGGAAAATTTCAGAGCTCCTCAGCGTAGAGTTAACGGCACTGTTCTTGCCTTGCATACTCTGGCACCAGGCTCTGAACGGAGGGAATGCGCGAAACGCTTTTGGCCTGGCGTTTGCGGTACTGTAGCTATTTATTTTCGAAACTACTTTACCTTTACGTTTTAGTATCACAAGATCAAAGTTGTACCTTGTTGGTCTCGTTGTTTCTGAAGTTGTTGTCTCCGTGACGTTTTGAAAGAAAAATCAAAGCAACAGGCCGGCGGCCGCTCGTGGACGACGGCGTTGTGCCAGGCGGATTCGGACGGGGATGGCATGACAAACGGCTACGAATTGGGCGACCCCTGCTGCACCTTCACGGCCGGCTCCACCACCTGGACGGGCAAGCGAACGACGCAACTGACGCAGCCGGGCATCGTGAACACGGGCGCTGAGGTGACCACGACACATGGCTGCCCGACTCCGAGTCCCACACCGAGTCCGACGCCTACCCCCACCCCGACCCCCACGCCATCCCCCACACCTACCCCCACACCGACCCCAACGCCAACCCCCAGCCCGAGCCCAGCCCCCGCTCCGGCAGCAAGCGATGCGTCCAGCTTGCGGGGCAGTACGTTTGGCGCGATCGTGGTTTCCTCGGTGCTGTTCGCCGGCGCCGCCTCGTGGTTGGCGACAACTGGTGCGCCGGGGCTTCTGTAAGATGGTACTTAAATAACGTCAGATTCGCGTCTCACTCAGCTTGTGCAAATACTCACACTACATTTAGTGCTGGCACATAACTTGACGTTGCGAGGACGACCGCGAAGTGGGACAGCATTGTGATGAATAAAACGCAAAACAATGGTGCTGCAGATTGTGTCTCAAATATGATAAATCTCTCTTGCAACGGCAAGAAATAAGCAAAAGTGGTACAACTAGCCCTGGTGTGCTGTGGATTTGAAGGTGCTAGAATAGGTGCAAAAAAATGTTCACCAATCGAACTCGAGCGATTTTTCCCATGTACGATAGAGCTTTGAATTTTTCTGGTGCTAGAAGTTTCTAATGGGTACACTAATGTCGTAAATGCGTTTGGACAAGAACAATAAGTTCCCTTTCTGTGCTATAAAATCTGCACCTTGCCTTTGAGCATTCTGTTTGAGTTTCACCCTCATGTTTATCATCCTTATTCACCTCTTGATTGTACAACATATGAAGAAGAACAGAACGACATGAGGACAAAAAGACAAATGCACACTTAGCCTTTTCATCTTAGACTGAAGAATCACGAAAGAGTTTCGAGAATTATGCAATTTGAAATTTATTGAACCACGCAATGCGTCGGCGGCCCGGGTTAGAGCGGTGCCTCCCCGCTCGCGTTTCCTCTGGGTGAGCTGCGAAATCATGGTCCACCTGTAAATCACGGTCGCTCCCGGAGGGCGCTCAACTCGCAGCTCAGGACAATTCGAACCCTCAAATGACGCAACAGGTTTCGGAAAGAACAGAAGCAGACACTGCCGCGGACCTCAACAAAAAAACCGCGGAGCTTCTATCCGGCACAAGCCTAGACGGATCTGATTGCGATGACGAACCGAAAGTAGCCGCGCGAATGTTTTCGAACTACGGCAGAAAGAAGTCCACTTCCGATGTGGTTGACGATACTGCAGAGCAGCAAGACTTGAAAGCCTTCGTGTCTGCGCACCAGTGGCTGCTGCTGTTCGGAGTGCTTGCCACGGGTTCCATCTTCACCTTCTTCTGGCTTGCGTGGTGCCTCGGGCTTGTTCGCCGCTGCATTTTCCGGACCGGGTATCTCTTGACCCTGCGGAAAAAGAAGGAGCAAAAGGAAAAGCAGAAGCTAGAGGCTCTCTGCGAAAAGCAAGGGCAAGCGAAGAAAGCTACCCCGAGTTGCACGTCGCAACCCGGCTCGGAGCCGGAAGACGAAGCGGCGCCGTTGGTCTCACACGAGAAAGCTCCGCCGGCGGGCGGCGGCAGTGCGGAGGCTGCAAATCATGCGCAACCGTTTCTCGACAAGGAGCAAACGCAAAGCGGGACGGCGCTGCGGACGTCTCCGGGTTCTGCCTCTCAAACTGCAAGCGATGGCGAGGCGTACCAGCTTACGCAAGAGCAGACTTCGGAGCCTGGTGTTGTCACAACGGGGGCGCCTCTCCACGGCGAGAATTTTTCGGGCGAGCGCACGGAAGAGGAAGCGCGCGAAGGTGCGGACAGCGAGGTCATGGAGGAGGACCGCGTGGCTGCGAGTGCTGCTCGCGTGCTCGAAGCGAAAACGGCTTCTCTGTATTCTTTAGTCATGGGCTTGTCTGACAGCGAGGTGAAAGCTTTTCTGGAAGATGAAGAAGGAGCGTGAGCACGGAAGGACCTGAAGCAAGAGTCGCTCAACGGCCAGAGGAGGGCACCGGCATCGATGACCACGAGCACGGCTATGACACATCAACGTTCTGTTTTTAGTAGGCACCACCTGTCCCTACATGGTATGACTAAGTTGTAAATGTAATTCAAGCTTCAGTCAAAAATATCTCGAGCCTGTTCCTAAACACCGAGTTTCGACACGCAGTATCATCCTAGCATAGAAGTATTATCAGACTTTACTTTGTTTATGTTTTCTGACCTATTCAGATTTTCTCTAAATTAATTTAAACAAAGAAACGTAAGTACTAAAGAAGTGTTTTGTTCCTATACAAACTTATTTGTCCGGCCTGAGTTTAAGAGCACGGGCACACAAAGAACCCGCGACGGGAGCTACATTTCCGACGTGCGCTGTGACCAAGCCGAGAACTACCCGGGTACCCCCTGGCACGTCTGTTTGTTGAGGAAAGCCATTTCGCGTTGTTTTTTCGAAAACTACACGAGGATGAGATCGAGGTTAGATATGCTCCGTCCTTATTATTCCGCACAGCCTGCGTCTGCCTCTGTGCGTTTAAATGTGCGGCTGCTGCACGTATTCAGAACGGTATCTGTCATGGCTTTCCTTTTCTACACATTATTTCTTCGATAATGCAGACGCGGCGGCGCTTCTTCGACTCTCGGTCGGGATAGCGCAGCACCCCTGAAATAGATACGACAGCACTCCCAGTATAGTATGTATTTGAATTTTGTTTCTGGAATACGACGTAAGTATTAGTGTCTCTATGCTTGTTCTACGTGATGGATTTGATGTAAACCAGCACCAGGGACGCTCACAGCAAAGCGCTCGGGTTCTTGTTGCTACATTATTATTATCGACGCAGAACAAATCAAGAAAAAGAATCAATTTCATCGACCACAAATGGAGGCACGAAGATTTCAATGTGCCTTTGATTTGCGATTGCATGCAAAAAGTTCTTGTCTCTGTACTTTATCATCCGGATCAAAGAAGGTGTCGCACGACACGTGACAAACACAAGGCAGACGTAATTGAAGATCCACCGTGAACGCTCAGCCTGGTATCATGATCATCTCCCACCGAAATGTATTTTGCTCTTCTGGTACTTACTCCGTCCAACATGTTGCGTTGTAAAAGAAGAGCATGAAGATCCCCTGGACCACGGTCTTTATCTTTTATACCACCTCCAATGAAGGTCTTCTTTCGACGAGTCTGTTTGGGCGACCTACTTGTATGCTGCAAAATAAATTGATCAACGGAGAAGATGTAGTACGGTCAGATAAAATATCAACATGCAAGATTTTTTTTGATTTTACAACATAAAGATAGCCCCACAACTACACGAACGGATATTTACAGGACAACTACAACTCACAACTACAGCTCGACTGTCTGTGCGAAGAAGTCAGGGACGCAGCTGACAAACGCATCTACGCACCAGTGCACGTGAAAGGTCGACGCCAAGATATTTCGCCTGGCGGTAATACGTTTCTCATCGTCTCTACTCTTGAGACGACATTTTCCACAAAACAAACGCGAAAAAGATGGAGTCGCACACACGAAAAATGAATGCTGAAGGCGACCCCCACGCCCCGACTCTCTATCACGCCGTGGAGCACGACTTCGGTGTTCCCACCGGGCGGGGCATGAAAGCTTTGAAAGCCCTCCAAAAAGGCGACGTTGTTTTGGAACTACCGTCAGAGAATCTGGTCACGCCGAAGAAGTGCCGGGAGTTTCTGACGGACTATTTCAGCAGACCTAAAAATGTTGATCCTCCAACGAGGGCGGAGGTGGAGGTCACAACTAGCAAGGCCAAGGCCACCGAAATATTGAAGACGCAGAACAGTACAAGTACTAGTTCCTTCTCCAAGTTCTATTCCACCTGGTTCGAGCACGACCAGAACGGGCAATATTTCTTCGTGCGAATTTCGCCAGACTTTGCCGCAGTGCAGAATGCTTGCCGTGCCTCCGGGATCGATGAGGAGTTTGATGTCTATCGGAAAAAATTCCTCGGCAAGGTTGTTCTGGTGAAAGAGGTGGACCCCAGCGACGAGAGTTTTTCGGTCGTGGACACGGGATCTTCAGCAGCAACAGCGGATGTGAAGACGGCGCTGTGGTTTGGGTTCTCTGGAGGGGCGGTTGAATTCGGGATGGATTGTGGGGTTGTGTCAGACGAGAATGAGAATAACAAGATCCTCGATCTTGTTCTGCAACAACGAGAACACATACAAGCAGCACTGCAGGCGGTTTCCGACGAGAATGCGATGGTTTTGGCGGTGTTGTTTGGGAACAAGTTCTTTCAAAAGAAGGAGATGAAACACAGCGGTGGACGGGGACAAGCACAAAACTCAACAGCTGCACGACGACCGGCGGACGAGCCACCACTTCCTCAGCTCAAGCACGAAAGTCTCTTCCACCAGCTCCTTTCCGAGCTGCCGGTCGAAAACGTGAACATGTGTTGCGAGTGGCAAGACGCAGAGATCGAATTTTTGAAGCCTTGCGAAAAAATCTACAGTAGCGCGAAGGAGCAGAAGGCGCAAGTACTGCAGTCTATGGGGAAATGTGTGGGCGTGTTGCGGTATTTGGAGTCGGAAATTGATGTGCAAGCGCGACATAGTAGACACAAGAACGGTACTAGTAGCTCGGCAGATGGTGCTGGCCAAGAAGAGAAGGACGAGAAAGACTGCGCGGGCAGCGGTTTATTTCTTCGCAATGCTTTTTCCTTCACGATCCGCGAATTTGTGCACGCCTGGACCCGCGTCGCCTCCCGACACCGGGCGGCGGAGGCATTTCCGAATCTGGTCGAAAAAGGGGTGGACGGGAAAACGTTGATGATCGTGGGCGGGGCGGACATGTTCAATCACAGTTTGTCGATTGAACCGGGAAATTCGACCGTGGAACATGTGAGTCAATATGATGAACCGAATTCGTCAACATCCTCGTCCCGCATTATTAAAGAACACACGAAAACATCAAATAAATCCGTCCAGATCCTGTGTCAGCAGGAGAACGTCCCTGCCGGTGGGGAGGTTTTCATTTCCTACGGCGACAAACCGAACGAGGAATTGCTGCTCGGGTACGGGTTTGCACTGGATCAGAACCAGTTTGACGCGTTCGAAATCGTGATCGGCCTGGAGAAATACGATCAAGCGAGAAGAAGAATTGTACCAGGCACTGCAGGGCTGCACCAGCAGAGAAGTAAATCCATTACCGATTTACGACTGGAGGTGACGGGGTTCTTGCTGCAGAAGGGACTGGAAAGAAAAGAATTGGAGATGCTGCAAGACGAGGAACGAGAGGACGACTGTAGTCATGGCGGCGATAGTACAAGCACATCAGCCACGTCGGTTGTGTTTAAATTGAGGAAACAAGATGATAGACGAGCACGCGGGTTGACCACGACGACTAATTGCTCTTTCCCGAAAACGCTTCTCGCAATCAGCCGATTGGAGAAGATGAGCGACTTAGTGTTGGAAAAAATTTGGAAGCTAAACCACTGGAACAACAGGACGACTTCGGCGAAAAATACCAGTGGCATGATTCTTACCGGTGGACCTTCTTCATCTTCCGGCGCACAGAAGTTGGCCGATTATCTCTGCAATCATGGGCTTTGCCCTGTAGATGCCTCTGCAACTCCTGATAGCTGCAGCAGACAAGAACGGATACGCAACTCCCGCTGGTCGAAGATAACAGAGGCGTTTGGTGGAAGCAGTGCCAGGGAGGACGGCATCAAAACTCCTGTCGCTGATCAGGAGGAAAACGAAGTTGAGCAGGCAAAAGAAGACGAGGACCACCAGCACCTGGACCTGCTTCCAGTGGATATCCAGGTGTTGGGTTCTCTGCGGAAGCACTTTCTCAACACGTACGGGGAGATTGTGGAGAAGGAAAAAACAGCAAAAGCCGCAGCAGTGACATGGTCAAAAACTTCTACGGATGAAAATTTCAACACCAACTTGACGGACAATCCAAAATTCCAGATGGCAAAGATTATCATCGACTCGCAGAAGCAGATCCTGCGAGAATCAATAAAATTTCTCGATCAGCAACTGGTGGAAGATTGCCTGCCAACAGCGGTGCGCGCAGTGAGGAACATGATTGGTGGAAATAATCAACCTAGATGTGACAGTACAACATCCCCAACCTCTAGTACTTTTTTCGCGAAGAAGGAACAGGAAAGGCAACAAGCCTGTTTTGACCTCGTTTTGCAGAAGGACCTGGAAAACGAAGAGAGGATTCAAGGCGACACTGTAGCCCTGTTTCAATTCTTCCACAGCGAGATCATGAAACCGATCAGCAAAGGAACACCTACAGAGCTACCTGTAGTTGCAGGCTTGACGACACTCTGTCCCATAACCTCGTTCTGGGCGGAGATTTGCCTGCTGTGCTTTTCGCCGATGGGGAACTCTATCAACCAGAAAAATGGAGCTTTTGCTTTGAGCCGAGCTGCCTTTTCAACAGCTCTTAGCGGGAATGATAGAGTTATTTCGGACAACGACAAAATTACTACCCCATCGGAGCAAACACGCGATGACTCTGAGATTGACGACACCGCAGCTGGTACTTGCGCAACGGACACCAGCAAGAAGAATAACCTTGTCGCCTACCACGATCTCTACCTGCAAAAGCTTTCCTACTGGGGGAAATATCTCTTTTCCCAGTTTCTCTCCAACAATTTCAGGCCGCTGAAGCAGCAGGAGATGAATGTGATGGTCCAGGAATCCCTGGATTTGCGGAAACAGCACGCTTGGTCTGTCGTGACGGAAAGAATCGCGGAAAAGTTTTTTGAGATTCACCAGCAGAGCAAACAAATCTTCCCTATGGTCGAAGTGGGCGCGGGGCACGGATTGTGGGCGAAAGTTCTGAATGATGAGGAGCTGAGACAGAAGTGGGAAAAGAGGAACCAATGTGCTGGTTTGTTGAATAAATTGTGGTCCGAGGGACGACGTCAATCGAAGTCTCCTGCATTGAACCTTTTGGTGGAAGCGTACGATTTGGGGAGGTGGGAAGACAAATATTGTCTTGCAACAGCTGTTGCTTCATGTGAGGAGGCCGGCGGCGGGGGCGGAGGTGGCGGTAGTGCTGCCGCCGCTGCGGACGCCTGCACCGCCGCGGATGAAAAGCGCACCGGAGACAACCTGGACGCGACGTCAGCTTCCCAACGCAGTCAAGTATTGGGCGAAAGTGAAAGAACCGAAATTTTCCGAGGCGGTCCCGAAGTTTTAAAGATCGACAACGAGGAGGATGCAGCAACCCGCCTGCAGTCGAAGAACACGCTGTTTCTCTCCTGGCCGGACTACGAGGGAAAGGGCACTTTCGGCTACGAGGCGGTGAAAAATTGGACAGAGACGTGCTGTAGATTTCAGGGCACAGAACACGTGGAGGGGAGCAGGGACAAATTTTCAAGCGCGAGGACTACTGGTACGGGTATTACAACGGCAGGAGCTACAAAATCTTCCAAGTTTCTCATCCTAGTCGGCGACTTTTTTTACAACCAGGCGTTTTCGAAGGAATGCAGGGCCTACGTTGACACCCATTACACAGAACTGCGACACCTCTCGGAGTCGTTGACAGAGCTTCTGCCGCGTTGGCCATTGGCCCGGGACGAAATTCGTGTGTATCAGCTGAATGGGTCTTGAGTGAGGTTTTCATCCCTACGTCTGGCGACTGCGACATCAATGGGTCCTCGAAGCAGGAAAAAATCCTGCACACTCTACTAAGAACATCAGAATACTTACAATGTTGACCAGTGAAACAAAGCGACTCTACGCTTGTATCTACTGTCGAAAAGGCCGCTCTGAGCAGCTTCATCTTTCTTCGCCCAGAATGACCATCCCTGTTGATTGTTCTGCTACGATCGATAGCGTGCTTTTTCGGTCAGCATAGGCTCTCTAAGTTCCATCTCTGTAGTGGTCTTGCTTCCTACTTCCTAGAAAGGCGGGTAGTAGCTTGAAACACTGTCGCCTTCATGATCATCGGTTGTTTCCCTTATCGATTCTCGGTTTTTGATGACCGGAGAAGTACAAGAATCGGTTGTGTTTGTCGCAACATCGGTGGCCGCATCTATGCGCTTGTCGTTGTCGTAACACATACACAGCTCGGTGTTTCAAACTCGTGACTCGCTCCGGTCTTTCAGGTAAATCGGTACAGAAAATTTTCCTTGCTCCTTCGTGCACCGAAAGACTCAGTTTTCGTGCGCAGGCATGAATCAATTTCGAAATTATGTGAGAAGCAGAGACGAGAGCAAGGCACAATTCGAAGGCCACAGTGAATCTCAATCTCGTTTTTCTTTCTCGATGCTCAAAAAACAGTTCTAAATCCTCGCATTTTCATTTTTGGTGTGCATCAGTCAAGCTTTCTAGTCTACTCGTATTGGATATGGATTTGCCGATTTTTTGTCCAGTGCAACGCTCTACTTTCTATTCGTGTACCACTATCTATCCGTGCGGCTGAGTCCCAGCTTTTCTGCCACAGCGGCCTGACGTCGCCTACATCACCCAAAGCCATGTCTGCCTCAGCCTCGTCCCGAATTTTCCCATCGCTGATGCGCAGTGGCTTTCTGCCCCTGCAGCGGAATGCTGGTTTCGCGTCGACCTTGCAGCAAGAAGGCGCCAGAAGAGGAGCAGGAGCCAGCACGTCCTCGGGAGGTGGAAGTTTTTCTAAAACGGCGCTGCGCCCAGGTGGTTTTTGGACCAACAGCACAATTTCTAGTGCGTATCCAGCAAATGGTGCCCAACCTCAGTGGCCTGCTCCTCGAGCAGGCAGTAGATGTTTTTCCTCGTCAACTGCATCATCTTCCGAGGACAACAACAAAAGCAGCTACAAGCTCCTCTACGAAGTGAATTGCCAGTTCAAAAACGCGGAAATCAAGCAAAAGTTCGACGTGTGGCTCAAAACCGTCCACACGCAGAACGTCATCAAGGCCGGCGGGCCGAAGTTTCTTTCCGCCGAGGTCTTCGACGTGGCCAGCAGCACCCGACCCGGGGACGCCATATCAAATGTAAAAATGTCTGGGTCTGGAAAAGTGCCAGACTTGTCATGCAGGTTTTCCATGACCCATGAGGTCTGGTATGTAGGACATAGCATGACAGATTGTCTGAGAGTTCTATCATGCCTATCCTGCATGAGAAACTCCCTCCCGACTTGGTCAAAACTGGACGACTTTTGGTAATCATGCAACGCAGATTTTTGCATGCTTCAGATTTAGCATGACAAGTTCCAACCCTTCCAGACCCAGACATTTTTGCATTTGATACGCCACCGTGATGCACCAAACGGTAGTGCATTACACGGTCGAGGACGAGCAGGCTTTGTTGGCGTACTTGGAGAACGAAGCCCCGCGGCTTCGAGCGGACAGCCTGAGCGTCGCGAAGCAGCCCGAAGAGTACACCGCGAGTCGGCGCGTGCTGAAAGTGATGTAAAAGTGCAGTAACGATGTCGATGTGTTTTTTTTTGCTGTCGTTGCATTTGTCCTGGCGGCAACTGTTAATACAGTTTTTCAATGTAGTTGGAGTTTTTTTGCACTTGCACGAAGAAACAAGGAACTTCATTTACGCTGAGATATTTTCGATGGCAATCTTTCACAGGCAGGGTGCTCAGCACGAATTTTCCAATTCAGTTCCTTCCGATGCGAATTTTCCGTTTGGTATGAAAAGTGTGAAGAAGAGATGACATCGAAAGTGCCAGTTACATCGTAGTTTTTTGGCTGTGTTCTGTTGGATCCGAGTTTTTCGGCACCGCTTTGATTTTTGTTCAGGCGATCGAGAGCTTGCGCTCGCGCCTCAACGCATTGATCAATTTCGTGCAGATAATTTTTCAGCCGATAACTTTTTCAAGCTTCTTAGATTTTTGCTCCACCTTGGTGTTTCAAAGGAACTTCGCGTCCTCATTGTATTGACAATGGCCTGTGCCTGTCCTAATCTTCTGTGTGCCTCGAAGTCAACGACTTTATTCCCGAGAGAACTTGTTCGTTTTGAGCGATATAGTTTGCCCTTCGTTCTTTTACATCTTGAGCTGCGTGCTGTGAAAAATGGACACGCATCTGGATGGTCTGCTCAATTCCGCGAGGCACCAACATCCGCGAACGGTCTTCCAACGTCCAATGTGAAGATTTGGGATAACTTGTGGGGAAAACACAAATCATCTGCTGCTGTTCGAAGTGGTTCTTTTAGAAACTTCTCGTCGTCGCGAGATGGCCCCCCGGGAAGAAACGCAGCCATCAACAACTCGTCGGAAAATAAAAGCACTACCCAAGGCGGAGAGGAGCAGGAACATTATCAGCCATCGAAAGTAGACGAAGCGCTCGTTGAGACTCTCCTGGACGAATTCTTGGAACACTTGCCGAAGGAAGACCCACGATGGGTGAAGAACTTCAAACTTGTGAAATTTCTGTCGAACACAAACTTCCTCAACAAGGGCAAGGATTGGCCCTCCTTTCGCGAAACGAGCACTGGGCAGGAATTGATGCGGCGCTGGGTCGAAGCGTTTGACGAGAAAATGCAGGATATCGTGAAGCTCGCGGGGAAGGACAAAGCCGGCCCGAAAAGCAAAGACGTGTTGCATCCAGATTTTTCCGCGGGCGCGAAGAGCAGCGAAAAATGGCGGCATTGGGTGAAAGACAAGTAGTTGGTTTATCTGCGACGTTTTTTTGAATCATTTTTCGTGATCCACCTTTGCAGCTTGATATGCTTGCAAGTGTACACAAACAGTAGAAGTAGATCGTTTTTGCCCATGTGGATGGGATGGAAGCACCAAGATGCCTATCCGCCTTCTTGACTCGTTGGTTCGCTTTGAACTTGCGCACCTGTAATCGTTTTCATCGTAAAGGATTTTTCAGCTTTTTACGGAGGTGGTTCCTAAACCTCTGTGTCTGTTCAGTGTAGATGAAAAACGAGTGATCAAGGTTAGAATCAACTATCATCTGGGGGGGGGGTTAACAGAACAAAGGGAGGCTGTGGAGCGGGTCTGGAGGCGTGGGCGGACTAGAGCGAATGGAACAAAAGAAGAGAAAGATTATTAAGAGATAGTGGCACGTACTTACTTAAGTCCGAGCAGTACTGCAACTAGGAGCCGCACGAGCGAATCAGCCACCTGTTCTTGTGCAACCTCCATGAAGTAGGGCTGTACGAGAGTCAGTTATGCCTGTGCTGTAAAATACAGCAACACGGCACATCGGTCATAAGATGGACGAGGAAGTAAGTTCTTTCTCCGCTGGTAACTTCACCATGCGGGTACCAGTGTCTTCCTGCCGCAGCAGGAGCCCACCTACGGCATCCTCGTCGTCGTCTTTTTTTTCAACTAGAACCACACGAAGAAGAAACAAAACCCAGACACGACTGGTCAACAAAATTCTGCTCTCCACCGCTGCGACGGTTTACCTGCAGCAACTGCCTGCAAACACGGACGCCGCGAAGATCCCGATTCTGGTATCCGGCCCGGAATACCACCACAAGGCGGACATTTGCACGCTCGCGAAGCATCTCTTTGCCTCGGAAAGTCCGAAGATTTTGCTAGAGAACAAACCCACGTCACTGCTCAACTGGGCCGGGGACGATGTGGCGTCGACCTGTACGCCCACACACAGTCCGAGGTTACTGGACTTTGAAGCCGTTTTCAACTCAGTGACCGCGAACGATGATGTATTAATGTTGAGGTCTTTGCTACTTTTTTGTTTTGCTAGCTAGTTGATGTAGTAGGAAAAAAAAATACAAAAAGTGTCGGGATTCCAAAATCAACATTATGCGCAATAATTTCACCACCTGCATCTAATTGTACAGGTCATCCTTTTTCTCGTTGGGCAGGGGGGTTACAAAACCTTCAATTTCCCCGTGAACCCCTTCGACGGCGCGGACTGGAAATCCTGGGACCAGCGTATTGAGAGGAAAAATCCCCCCACCCCATATTCAAACGGGAATTTCTCTTGCTGGATTTGTAGACACAAATCAGCTCTGTCTTGCAGTGAGGCACTGGAGGCAGAGCCTAAGCCTGCGTCGGGTGTTACGCTTAGGTTTGGTATAGGTGCTTAGCATAGCAGAGGCCTGCCATATCGGCGCAGCAGCTTTACAAATCGCCCGCATAAAGCGACAGACTCTTTGCGTTTGCCCTCCTGCAAAAGAGACAGGATCTGTGGTCACAAATCAGCATTACATTTTTCAGAAGTATACCTTTTCAGTATGGAGAGTGGGGATTTTTTACTTTGATACAGCGAAAACAGCTTTCTCGGCAAGCTCTTTACCAAGTCATCGCCGGCGCGAAGTTTAACAGCTTGGTACAGAAGTGGCTGTTGAATTTGTCGTGCTGGTGTCTCATTATGTGCGCAACTGCTTTATTTCTTGTCATGCAGTTGTAACTGCAAATGTAAAAAGAACAGTTAATCTACGCGGACTTTCCCGAAGCGGGCACCATGTTCGAAGAAGGGTTACTACCGCCGAATGCAGTTTATGGAGCGAAAAAATGTGTTTCAGTTAGTTTCGAATTTTTCGTGGTCGTGATGTTGCAGAACCAGCAACACAGACAACCTCTGTCATGGGGGACATGCTCAGGAGGAGCCTTTTTATTTCGTGCATGTTTTTTCCTTGGGCTTGCGCTTGGTGATCATGATCTCCACGTTTTAGCTTTTTTTTCGTCATGCAGACCACCAAACCTGCTCCTGCATCTCGTCCGCCACGGCCACATGCGTAACTGTAACACGTTTTTTCTTTGGATACGATGGCGGTCACGAGAAAGACAGCGGAAGTGGGGAATTGCTTCCTCAGCCCGCACACGACGGGGTGCCGCTCAAATATTTTCACCCAGGCGGTCATGAGGAACTGGGGTAAGAACTACACATCATTTCCGTTTTGTCATTTATTTTCGCACTGTAAAACTAAAAGTAAAAACGAAAACCGCATGTAGTGATATGTTTTTTGTTGGTGTTTTTTTACGCATGACCATCTTCCTAGGCACCACCGTGAAGGCACACACCCGGTTGCTTGCGGATCTTTTCGACGACCTGGAGGTTCACAATACGGAGAGCACGGTATCGATTCGCTTCTGAACAATAAGCTTTCTAGTTCTAATAGTTGTCGTGCGAAAATTGAGTGGGAAAGCACTGCTGTCGTGCGTTTGACAACACCACGTACGCATATCGCTATCAGGTCTACACCACCAATAGCCTCACAACGTACTTTGCCCAAGCTTCCCCGGCCTTTGGCACCGCGACGAGCTCCGACGACGTCTGCACCAATGCGAACATCGAGCTCTGCCGGCTATACACGGTCAACGGCTACGGTTCTGCCGCTAATAACCCAGCGACGTTGCAAGGCGCCGTGGTCCCGATCTTGCAGAGTCGGGAGTCAGAGGACCAATTCTTCATGAAGGTGTCCAACTGCAACGAGTTTCACGTGGAGGATGGCGAGGCAAAGCCACTGAAAACCTATGTATCCAAAAGGAAAAGTGTCGCCTTCGCGCTAATTATGATCACGATCATTATCATGTAGGACCGATGCAGATCTCACTTTCTGGGTCGCTCTGCAGGACAAATGAGCCATTTTTTTTATTGATATAAATATTGTAGTAATGTCAATGTGCCATTTCCCTTAAACTGCCCTGCTTTTCCTTTTGCAATGCATACTCTCCCGAACAGTACAACTGCTTGCGATCGATGCTGGAGGCGGAGTCGATTGAGATAGCCAACGACTACGAAGGCAACCACTGGGACTACGAGGCGTGTGCAACAGCAGCAATCAACGTCGTGTACTCATTGGAGCTTGGTGCTTGTTGTGTTTCTTGCTACTAAGTGGTAAACTCTTCCTTGTACTTGATAACAATGCAGCTTCGTTTTTGATGGGTATCGGAAGTGGACAGCCCACAGAGTAGAAGATTCTGATTTATTCCCGGATTCGAACAATAACAGGCGTCTTTGCTGATTCCGCATGAGAAAGAAAACCAAAACTCCAAATCAGCTCCATCTGCGGCACATGGACGGCCTACAACGCCCAGTTTGCAAAAGTCCTGTGGAGCTTGTGCGCAAAGGAGGACTGGAATCATAGAAGAGTGGTACGATCTCAATCTCAATTTTTGGTTCCTGCAACAACTATAAGATTCATCGCATGAGAAAATGAAAAATGATACACTGCATGAGCATGACAGACGCGACCTAAAATGAAACAAAAAGGTGCGCGCCCTGGAGATTGCCTACGAGGACGCGGGGACGAAGTGCAACACCAACGAGTACCCGGATAATGAACTGCTCACTGTCGTGTTGTACGCATTGCGAAAGTATCGCACTTCTAGTATTTGAAAAATCGCATGACAAATCTTCTCGACGAGAGGAAAAAGGATTTGTAATGCCGATTTCGGTAGAGTGGTAGATTTGTCCATGCAAGACAGCAATTGTTAATATAGGAGTGCGAGTTACTTTTGCACCGCATACGCTGGGCATCACGGGGTTAGCCCTGACCTTTCTCTGTCTCACCATCGGAAAACCCATGGACCGGGCTTTGTACCCGTTGAAAGGGGGATATGGAACTGTCAGGATCGAAATTGACAAAGTCGAAAAATTTGTGATGCATAAAATGCATGACGCGAAGCACGTGTGTTGCAGAGCAGGCAAGTGAGGCCGATTGTAAGCCTGTTTGGGGTTATAGCTCGAGCTGCTAAAGCAGCTTGAGAGAATCAGTCTTCTTTGCCTAAATAGCATTACAAACTGGATTGAGGCACCACCAGAATTTGTCATGCGCCACTCAGAAACTGTAACTGGGCTCGAACTGGAATCCATTTTATGCATCACAAATTATTTCGATTTTGTTGATTTCGATCCTGACACTTCCATAGGGGAGCGTCGCCCATGGCGACCGGGGCGCCGTGAGTGGAGTTGCCGGCGATGGCGCAGAAGTAGCAGCCCATTGTTGTTGAAGAAGCACGGAGGTTGAAATTTATGAAGAGAAAATATCATATTAACCCGAACTCATAAAAGCTATCGGCGCTGTACGTAGGTCGAGGTTCGTAGCAGCTGCAGCATCGTGGGACCAAATAAAGCGATGCAGCGCTTATTTTCATTGAGGAGGCGGAGAGATACCTACAAAAATAAACTATCGAAGCTACAGTATAGTCTATTTTCGATAAAACACCGATAAAAGTACAATCAAACCATCAGAAATGCTGCACACATCAACGGTCGTTTTGAAGTCGCGGATTCTTTTACTACTTGAGCCAAGCGAGCCTGAAGAGATCATGGCTTTGGCCTCTTACAACACGCGCTTGATGTAGAGTCGATGTCGAACGTGATTTTTTTCGCACAGTAAAATGAAAGCGTTGTAATTTTTGTAGCGGTACGAAGAAGAACTAGAACAGAAGCAAAGCGTCCTCGGCCAGTGCTCCGAAAGCAAAATGGTTTGTTTTTCTCGATTACACCAGTCGCAGTTCGCTGTCGTGACAGAGATGGAAGAATGATTTCCGCCGTCGAGAGATGCAGTAGTAAGTTGGACGTTTTTAATTATTCAACTTTGCAGCTGCTGCTGCTTTGATTGCAGCGGCTTCCGCGTTGAGAGATTGCCGTTTGGATCTTTGGTTTTGATGATTGGTGCGCCATCGGCATCGACCTGTGATGTCAATTTTCATTTTTGCAAACAGTCCAGAATTTTTTTCTTTCGACGGCTTTTTGTAAAACGTTGCCGTTCGGTGTAGACTGTTTGGTCAGGAGATACAGATGCGCTTTCCCTGAGAAGTCCGAAGACGTCCAAAATCGCACACGAAGTAGAGAGTCGTTCTTGAGAAGAAGTAGGTATCTCTATGGCAACTCAACGAAAGTGGTAGTAGCACTGGAATCGAACTAACAACCTGTGTCCGTTTCTACTGCCTCGACGTTCTTGAAGTTTTCCCGAGCAGGGGGTCCACTCGCTCTTTTTCCAAGTAAGTACATTAACAGTATGCAAATCTTCGAGTGGATCAAATCAGGGAAGTAAAACACCTTTACTAATCATGCGCAAGCAGCAGAACAATAACAACCCGCACGGCCGGCTCCGCGGGAACAACAACAATAACAATGCTGCAACGAACAGTACTCGGGGCGGGACCACGAACACAAATCAAACTAACACCGGAGGTCATTTTTACCAGAACAGCTATGCGGCGTTTCAGCAGCATTATCAGCAGCAGGCTGCGTACCAGCACCAATTCTTTCACCAACAGTTCGGCAACATGCATGCGGGGTTTCAAAACGGCGCGGGCAAAGGCGCAGCGGGAGGCAATAACAAAGGTGCGCCGGGCGGCGGATTCATGCCCGGGGCGGCTTTTGGTTTTGGCGGTGCAGTACCGGGAAACAACAAGAAAGGCGGTGCTAATAATGCGCAGAACTACCTCCCGTCGTTTTTTGCCTCCCTGAATTCCTCCCTGCTTCCAGCCCTCCTCGCCAATGAGCGTTACACCTGGTACGTCCTCGGGTTGGACAAGCTGGGGCAGGACAAGGCGACGAAGGTGAATATCACCCTCGCTTTCCGGCAATTGTCGCTCCAACTCCACCCCGATCAGCACGTGGGGGAGAATAAAGACGAGTTTTGGAACTACGAATTCGGCTTGATCAACGAGGCCCGGACGAAAATGGTGGCGAACCTGGAGAAAAAAGGAATATCAATTGCAAAAATGTCTGGGTCTGGAAACTCGTGATGCTGGGTGGCGTATCATGAGGAGGCCACAAGTGCTGGGTCAGCATGCCAAGTTTCTGAGTTTCTAGGTGTTGCCTACTCTGCACGACAGACTGCGTTTCTGCATGACAGAGAAATGGGGCGCTTGGGTAACGTGCATGACAGATTTAAGAGTCATGCAAGACAAGCATGACAAACATGCGCTCTTCCAGACCCAGACACTTTTGCATTTGATAAGGGAGGGCGACCGACAAGTACTGGTGTGTCGAAGTGAAGCCGGGCTGGAAAAGACCAGCGTTGGTGGAGAAGTGGGCGAAAAGTGCGACTCCTGTCGCGGGGAATAAGGACAAGGATAACGGTGCCACTGGGAACAATAACAACAAAACTGGGACAGGAGCTGCAGGAGCTCCGGGAGGACGAGGTGGAACCACCGGTGGTCTGCAGCGGAGCAACTCTGCGCCCATGTTCGATTCCACGAACCTCAATAAAGCCGCTGCTGCTGCCGCTGCTGCGAATCAAGCGAACCAGCAACAGACCAATCAGAAGCCGTTTCAGCCGCCCCGTCGTTCCCCCCGGGAAGAAAAACAAAAAGCGTCGAACAAGGAGATTCCCGTGGGTTTGACCCCTCGGTTCCCCGCGAAGGGCGGGAGTAAGAAGCTGTTTGAGGACAGTGGCTTCACCTTCACTTCCAATGCGGGCGGCGGGAGCACGAGCAGCTCGTCTTCTTCGAGTACCGCCAAGCAGATGAATCCACAGAATGTAGTGGGAGAGAACAAACCTCAGGCGAATATCAAAGCTGCAGGGAACAATTCGTCGAAGCAGCCCTCTCCCGCACAGTCTAGTACCACTTCCAAGCGCGGGACCACGAAAGGTCGAACGAAGAAGACCACCGCCGCCGGCGAGGAAACAAGTCAAAAGGAAACTACAAGCAAGCGGGGACACAATGTCAAGAAGGGGAAATCCGGATTCCAGCCCCTCTCCATGTCCGCGCTCGAACGGAGACGGAAGGAAGAAGCGATGCGGTCGCCGAGTTTCAAACAGGTGCAAGAGGATTACAAGGACAGCAAAATCAGTTGGGTCAAGAAAGCAGGGACGAAAGCTAGTGCGGGGGATAAGGACAAAAATACCGGCGGGGGGAATAGCAGTGTGCTGAAGCAGAACAACAAAAGTAATACTTCTGCGAAGACACCGGCGAAGACGGGAGGTAGAGGACAGAAGAATACTAGTACTACAAGGAATAACGCAGGTGCGGCACAGGCACAGCAGAAGCAAGCAGAACAGCAGGAAGACGAAAACATGAACGATGGTGACAGTACGCCGGAGATTGTGGGGGTGAAGGAGGGGAGCAAAGGGAGCTTTTTCAGCGTTTTGAACAACCAGAAAAGCAACTTGTTCCAAGGTCGTGGTGCTGCTCCAAGTGGTTCGTCTTCCAGTAGTGCTTCCTCATCGTCGGCAGCAGGAATAAGTGATAGCAATGTAGTTGTACAGAAATCCACCACAACTTCCATGTACCCGTCTCCGAGTCCGAGACCAGTGCAGGAGCAGAGCTTTTCGGACGACAGAAACGCTGCTGCGAGAAGTACTAGTGGTGCAACTCTGTTTCGCAACCATTCGAACCCGGAGCAGCTAAAAAAGCTTGCCCAGCAGCAAGAGAACATCTTCAAAGACGGTATTACAACGAATCAAGCTGGTGGCACATCAACAACATTAACCACAACACTACCAGGAGCTCCTGCGAGGAAGGGCCGCTGGGTGGACATCTTGTCGGGTGGAACGCATTTCCTCGGCGAAAAGCTGATGGGGTTGAGAAAGCACATTACTCCGGGGGATCCGCAACTGCCCAGTCCGCGGGACCAGGAAGACGTCGACATGGCGGCAGGTGGTCAGGAGAAAGGCCGGCTGTACCCGATAGTGAAAACGCCGAAGCAAAGCGAAGTGATGATGCCCTTGTACAGGAATAAAGACCTATTGGATAATGCTGCTGGTACTGGTATACCGACTGCTGGGCGGGGTGCAGCGCAGCGAGTGTTGTTTCCGGCGAAAGAGAAGGAGAAGGTGAACCAGGAAAATAACCATACTGAAAACGTCGAAAGCAGCACCAACCCAAAACAGCACACCGTCGTCATTGACTTGGTCGATTCGAGCAGCCAAGCCGATAAGAAATCCGGCGGTTTTGCGCCGAACCGGAGGACGAAAGACGTGGTGGTGATCGAGGACGATAGCGAGGTCGTCGAGCTGGATAGCAGCCAAAACCCCACACCCGCTTCCGAGGCGGGGTCTGCGCACGCAAACTTTCCTGCGCGGGGCGGAACAGCTGGGCAAAAACCTAGAATACCGGGATTTCCTGGTGCACAAGCACAACAAGTTGTAGCAGGTCAGGCGACTGGAGGACAGCAGCAAGTCGTCGATAGCAATGCAGAAGTAGAACAGGAGCACAATAAGGACAAACAAGGAGGGATGGCGAATTTTGTTTTTGACAGACTCTCCTCGAGCCTTTTTTCGACCTCCGCCCGGATGTTTGGAGGATCCTTAGGCACGCCGAGGAACACGACGGTCGACACCTCGATTGTGGACGACAATGTGATCGGCGGGGACAATATGCAAGAAAAAAACTGTGTAAGTGTAACTCTGTAATGCAGAACATTCAACAGAGTTACACCTGTCATGCCACACAGCCATAAAGTCCTTTTTTCATGTGTATTTTCCCTTACAAGCCACGCATGACAGGCTTCATGTAGAGCAAATTTGTGATGCCGTCAGCCAAAGAAAGTTACACTAGCACAGTTTTTTTCTTGGATAGACAGCACGATAAAATTTTACCAAGAGGACCTCAATCACAGCAAGCTTGTGAATGACGGCACCGACCCCCACCCGAAGAAACTGCAGAACCTGCGCCGGATGGGCTCGTCTCTGGATAACGAAAATACTAGTAACGCGGGCGCAACTAGTTCTGTCAAGACCAACATTTTCAAAAGAGGCGGGACGGTTAATAATGTTCTTGGAGGTGGTAGCGCACCTGGAGCCGCCGACCAATCGAACAACATGGGTGACGCTGCAGCGGACCCAGCGAACAATATTAAACGCACAAAAGTCGTGAACACTTTGCTGATTGGAAATACAAATCCGAGCCAGAGTAGAAGTAGAGCCGGCGGCCAAGGTCCTGCACTAAGAAAAACAATCAGCGCCCTGGGCGTGATAGACGAGGAGACGCCATCTTCTGGCGCTGGGAACAACGTCGAAAGCCAGAAAGTGAACGAGTTGTCATCGGCCACGACACCTTCTTTCGCCGCTCCCAACTTGTTCATGCCTCGGTCAGGAGGAAACTACAATAGGGACCTACAGTCGCGAGCAGGAGGCAGTGCTGGAGCAATTACATCAGCCTCGGTTCCAATACCACCACCGGATCGGGTACAGCAAGTACAACTGAACGCGAACAGTACAACGGGGCTGTTTAGCAACCGTTCGCTCTTCGGCGGGAAACAAGACAACCTGCTCGGACATAAAGTTTCTGCATCTACTGCCACCGGTGCAGCAGGAGCTGGAGTGGTGAGCACGACTTGCTCGGAGCAGGAGCCAGATCACGTAATGCAGAAGGAGAAGCAGAAACATCAAAACCACGACCCGCCGCAACCGCAACTCGATCGGAGGAAAAATGTTTCTTCGAAGGGAAAGACACTAGACGCGAGCGGCTTGTTCGACGATCCGGGGCTACTTTTTGCCGGGATGGTCGGAAATGAAAGCAGCAGTCTTGATGCTGTCGGTAGTAATCTTCTCGCGCCGGGCCCGGGTCGTGCAACTACCGTGACTGGGGAGGTAAGGTCGTCTTCCTCCGCTTCCTCTTCCGCCTCCTCAGCATCTTCGAGTAGCGGGATGAACAATAACCACGACAGCGCAAGAACCTCCAGCAACAAGCAACCCCGCAACAGCACCGTGCTGGCCGCCCCGTTGCAGGACATCCAACTGGACCGCAGCCAGGCTCCGCTCAGGAAGCGTCGAGCGTCTGTTGTGAACAATAATGGGCTTGAGGAAGAGGGTCATTTGATGGAGGAAAACAATCTAGAGAGCGGCTTCACTGGTACCGAAGGCGTCCCACGTATCATTTTCGAGCAGCAACCGGCGGGAACAGGGTCGAAAAACGCGGTCGTGCGAACCTCGAACGCAGAGGACAACCCAGGACGAGGACAGGAACTGCATAAACCAGGACCAAATTCTCGAAGTTCTCCACCACACCAGAATCTTTTTCAGGAACAAAATCCAAGTGGAGGTCCACCACTACGAGGCACGTTTTCATTGCCCCAGCAAGGAGGACAGCAAATGGAACGAAACCAGCATAGCATTCCTTTTCGTCGAAACTCCACGAACCCGTCCCCCAGGGGGCCCGTCGTGGATCATGGCTACAGCAGTCACAACTCAGTTGCTTCGACTGGGACAGCGACGGCATCAAATAGCCTACCGAAAAATCGCTTCAACCGCGCTGCTTTATCCGGCGGAGCTGCCACGGTGCCCGTGCCACCCCCGGCAGGACATCTAAGAGGTGCTCCTCCACCTGCGCGGATACAACAAGTAGGCGGGAATCCACTGCAACAGGATGAGCAAGACGTGATTTTGGAGCAAGCGAGCAATCTGAAGAAGCGCCGAACCAGTGGGGAATTCGGTCCTAAGGTTGGAATGGTCCGGCAAGGAGAGCAGCAGGCGCCCTCGAGGACCTTGATGTCGGGGGAACAAGCTTCTGGGTTTGTGGTGGACAAAAATCATGTCGACAAGAATGCTCCCCCTTCCACCGGATTACTGGAGGAACCCCATCAACAAACGATGCATCAAGAACAAAAACGCAGCACCGAGAAGGACAGTAAACCCAACAAAAAATCTTCTGTGATCTTCGGCGGCCACAGCGTACAGCCGGAAGACCGGCGGCGGACGGCTAGCAACTCGGTCGACTCCCTGGAGTCTGCGTTCCAGAACGGGAAGATGAACAAAGAGATACAAGGTGATCTTCACGGTGGTTCAACCGCCGGGGGAAAAAATCAAAATGCAGGCGGAAGCGGTGCGAACTCGCCGGTAATGCCGATGAAGGGACTAGACGACATTGAGCAGCCGGCAGTAGAGAAAAATAGAAGCGTCGCGAGCGCATTTGCCGGAGCGGGGCCAGGAGCGGGAGGTATTGCAGCAGCGGTAGCCGCAGCCATGAATCCTAGACAGCAAGAACAGGCACAGGGGCGAGTACATGAACCGCCGCCCGCATACAACAGCTTCCCTCACGGCCAACAACTTCCAGCCCACGAACCAGAGGACGTTTTGTTTCCCAACATCGTCAGAAGCTCTCCGATTCCAGGAACCGTTAGTCTAAAGCTCCCGAAGGTGACCTCGAAAGGAACGGCGGCAGAAGTGGAAAATGTCGAAGTGCAGCGAGGGCAACAGCAGTTTCAAGCCCCTTCCGCCCTACAAGCGCAACAAAACAAGATTTTTCAAAAGCCGCCTCTAAACATCAGCTCCGACGACTCGTTTTTCGCTGTGGACCGCGAGCCGCCTTTCGCCCCCACGAAGGCTGGCGTGCCATCAAACGAACAGAAACAGCAGCAAGTAAACCCAAGTAGCGTTCCTGGTGTACAACAACTTCCCTCCGCACCACCGCAACAAGAAGCTGCCCAACAGCACCAACAGAGCGGTCACGCCCTTCCGCCCTCGGTGAGCGACAACCAAACGCCGCGGCTGTCCACTTTGGGCACCGCGGAACCGGTCAGAAACCTGTTTGGCAGGCCGTCTTTAGCGGCCCCGGCGGGGGGAAACGCCGGCAATCAACAAGCCGAGCCACCGAGTGAGGATCTAGATGTGGAAATGCTGGATGCTTCGCTTTCGGAAAACAGCAACAAAAATGATGGCCAAAATGTACTACTGCAAGGTCAAGGTATTAAAGGTTCTCACGGCTTGAGATTTTCCGCAAACAACCCACCTCCGGTCTTCAACGTCCCAGCTGTGTCGGAACAAAACAACTACAACGACAACCGAATGTCGATGGCAAGTGCCGGCGGGTCCCTGTTCCAGGCCTCCAGTCCGCCCCCGCGGGCCCACGGGAATTCGGGCGGCGGAACGATGGGGCTGATTGGCTGGCAACAGCAGCAGCACCAGCAGCAGAGTACTAGACCTCTCGCGAGTTCCATCGCTGCCCCGAGTGTAGTATTAGCAGGAGCTCCTGGAGGAGGTTCTTCTTCTTCTTCCGGTGTAATTATCGGCAGCGCAGGAGTTGTTCCTGCAGCTGTGGTTGGAGGGCAGGAGATCGCTCCTTCGATGTCGGCCACTTCATCTTCCGGGGGAATGTTTACTTCCGTCGCCAGCGGAGCGCCGTCCAACATGTCGACACATGCGACCGGGACGGGTCAGGGGACGAGGGAAAATGCGAGTACCAACAGACCGAATTCATCGTCATCGACCTCCTTCAACACAGATTTACTGTCGGCCTTAACCGAGGCCGAGGTGCAAGACAACGCACGGCAAAATGCCAGAGCCGGCGGTTCTTCGCCGGACCAGGATGCTCAACTTTCAAACCTCTTTTCGGGAGCAAGTTTGGGCGGTTCCAGGTGAGGTTCTTTTGAATAATGTGATTCGACGACGGTTTGTCTGCTCATGCTCTAGACCGAGTTGCCCGCAGCTCTTGATGATGTTGCAACGAATCGATATGATGCCACTGCAGTAGCTAGCTCAATCGCAGTTTTCATATGTCTTTTTCAAATCAGGCCCTTGCCACCTGCACCTGCAGCTGCTGCTATGCCGAATCTCGGTTCAGCAAACAACCAGCAGCAGCCCTTGAACCAGAATCAGCCGAGCGCAATTCTCCCCACGGTCTTACGGTTGGAACAAATTCGGGAACTCTTCCAGCTGCAGCGAGTTTGCACTTCGGAAACTGTGCAGAACAAAATCGCGGAGAGCCTGAAACAAGTCATCGTCACCTTGCGGCAGCGGAAGCACCGCGACGCAATGTGCTCGGAGTTGTTCCCGGAGCATGTTGCTGCAGCCGCCGGGGGCACGACGTCCAACAGCCAAAATAAAGGGATTGAACACGTGGCGCGCTTGCGGCCGGACGTGTTTCGATTCTACTCCGACGGGAGAAGGGAAAGGTGCCGGTTGCTGGGGTAGAGAGGAGACGACGATCTTGAATGAAGATCTGTCGTCGTGTTTGGCGAACTTTTGTCAATGGTGTTTCAACATCCTGCGACGGAAGAGAACTTGAATCTGTTACAACCTCAAAGAGGGCAGTCGTGGACGAACGCCGCAAGAAATCTAGCGAGGGACGACAATGGATTGCTCACTGTACGTATTTCCAGTATAAAGGTGAAGTAGAGGATGAAAAACCACGATCGGAGGTGCAGCCTGTTTCGAGGCGATGGCCACCTCTTCGGTCCGCCCTGTCTAGAGTTGTTGCAGATTGCTGGATTTGTTCCATGACTTCTACTCTCTGTTTTCAATGGCGTCGGTTGTGCTCCGGAGGTCTAGTATTCGTCCAGCTTGGATTCGTCTACTTCTAGCCGATTAAGCAGTCGTAGTGTACGGACTTTTCGTCCCGACTAAAGTCTGCAGATCATGACACAACTGGATCCTACACCCATTCTTTAGTAATAAGCAACTTCTCGTACTAGTGTTTTCTCTTACCGAACAAGAAGAATTCAAATTCTTATACCTTTAGGCAATTCAGAAATCATGGACCAGCACGAGCAGTCGCAACGGGGCCGCAGTTCGGGGGTAACCAGTCTTACGAGCGCTGGTCTGCCGCCCTACCACCGAGGATCTACTGGGAGAAGCTCGTAGTTTTTGCATTCGTTTCATTTTGTTCGCGTATGCGTCTACTTCAGCTACTTCACTGAGCTCTTATATGCGTTCTATTCTAAACAGCTTTTGCTTTTGATGGTGCTGTGCCTGTTGCGATAATTCTGAAAATTTTTCTGAAACACGCTTTGCACCGTGCTTCTGAACGAATTATGATAAAACCAACTGCAGTATGAAAACCCAAAAAATCACAGCGCAACGGCCGCCAACTTGCCACCGACAGGGCAGCATCAGATGCAACACCCCAGCGCCGTGATCAGCACCAGCGGGGCCCCGCGTGGGGTCGAGCGCTCTACTACTTCAACAAGCCACGTGCGAGAGTTGAGTCAGAACAGGCTGCTTCACAGCAGACCACAGCAGATGATCAACTTGGTCGGCGATGTAGCTACAACTAGCAGTGCTCCTCGGGGGGATCATAATTTGCGGCATCAAAGCAACGTGGGCATAATTGGAAGCAACGGGACGGCGCAACATCACCCCGGTGCTGGTATAATTACCAGTTTTAACACGTCAACCTCCGTTGCGGCCTCGAACGCCAGCACAGCATCCGCGATAAATGAGGAGCAGCGCGAAAGGTGGTGCCAGCAGATGGGTTTGTTGGACCAGCACAACATTGACGCCATGCGCTTCAACGCGCAGAAGGAGTTCTTGTTGCAACAAGCTGCGCTCGGGGGAACAAAGACATCTTCCTCGAAATCCAGCCAGTATCAAGTCCTGCTCACAACCCTGTTGACCAAAATGAACCGGCGGACGCGAGAAATACGACAAGCGAGGGCAAACAGAAGGAAACATGCGTCCGGATTGGGTGTTCCAAATGGAAGCGGGAACAACAATCTGCTGAACAATTTAGGTTTTCACCGCCAGCAAAGACCAACTTCTTCCACACCGGGGTCTGCGATGAAGGGCAAGCGGAGTCAGGAGTTGGTGTGGGAAAGGGAAACGTATTTTCGGGAAATCGAGAAGAAGATCCGCAAACTGAATCTCCCGATCGAGCAGGTTCTGCCCGTAGAGCTGATCGACTCGATTGAGGTGGTGGATGTCGAGCCGGAGCAGGCTGCGGGGAGCGTCTCTGGAGCTACAGTCGGGGCGGGTGGGGTTGACGGGGTTGTCGCTGGCGGGCAGCCAGTGCCGCAAGCAGGAAAACTTGCTGCCACTGCTAGCTCCGCGGGGGTAGTAGAGGACCATCTAGATGCTGACCGCAATGCACAGGGTCGCGCTGTTTCTGCAGAGTGCACCACCTCCACCGTAGAGAAGGGAGAGGCGCAGAACGAAATCGCGCAAAATAGGAAGCAGCGAGAGCATGCTCCTCTTGCAGGTACTTCTGTCCCCCCAGCGCGAGCCGCCGATGGTGTTGCGGAGCATAGTAGTGCCGACCACAGGAGCATTTTGCAGGAGGAGCAAACGTCGAAAGCACTTTTTCCTGAACAAGAAAATCAGAAAGACGAGGAAGTTGTGTCTGTTCAGGAAAAGAAGAAAATTTCCAACTCGTACCCGTTGCCGGAGGGAAAACGGTCGAGACGGACCGCTGCTGCAGGAAGCTGGATTTACAAATCGACAGAGGCGGAGTTTTATTCTGGGATGGATCCCGACGCGCAAAATTTGGAGAGTCATAAATCGAAAATCGTGTTTAACTGCAAGCGGGATCCGCGGTTTGTCGGGGTCTTTGATGTGAAACAGGCGGCGAAGATGGTGCTGTCAAGATGTCTGACCATATGTCCAACGCCTGAATTGCAAGAAGAGATTTTAGCCCGAGCACTGGGCGGATAGTGCACGCGGATGTTGATGATCATTGCACAGAATGATTGCGCACTCTCTGGAAAATTGTGAAAACACGTTGTGATAATGCTGGCAACATGCACGTCGATGCTCATTGAGATTGAAGATTACTAGCGTAGGCACTGTTCTTGTGCTACGGCTCTCTCCGTTGTGTTCTTTGGGTCGCCCGGATTTGTTGTGTACGGACAAGAAGACCCCCTCTCAGTTTTTGAGAAGTCGTCGACGCCGCTCACCCCGTGGTCAAAGAAACAACACAGCGAATGCTATTCGCCTTCCCAAAAACAAAAGTCTTCCCTTTAGGTGGCAGTACTCCAAAGAGTAGCCTGCTTTGTGCCAAACCCACTATCTAACTAACTCTACAATATCACCATCATGATGAATCCGGGCGCAGTCCCAACCCAGCAGGCCCCGAACAACCCTGCCTCTACGCCTCACCCCGGCACCAGCTCCTCCTCGTCGAAGAAGATATACGTGGACGAGCCGCCCTTGGGGACTTTGATCTACATTCACGCCTCTACCCGGGCGTGCAACACCGGCCGCACCGATGTCGACTACCACGGTATGTACGGCGTGGTCGTTCGCGAGGGCGAGCTGCTGCTCGACAGGGTAACCGGGAAAGAGGACATATCCAAGAAAAAAACTGTGTTAGTGTAACTTTCGTTGGCTGACAGCGTGACAAATTTGCTCTACATGACATAGAAAACCTGTCATGCGTGATTTGTAAGGGAAAACACACACGAAGAGAGGACTGCGTAGCTGTCTGGTATGACAGGTGTATACTCTGTTGCATGTTCTGCATCACAGATTTACACTTACACAGTTTTTTTCTTGCATAGGACAACGAGAAGTACTTCCTGATCCGCCTGCTTTTCCTGGATGACGAGGAGGACAGTGACGTCAGCTACTTTTCCAATTGTGGTCTTCTTCCTTGTGGACAAGACTCGAGGGCGGCCAGTAAAACGACAAATAGCGAAACAACTACGACGAGCACGAGTAGTTCTTCTGCAAGAAGTGCGCAAGAGGAGGAAACAAGAAGCGACGCAGGAACTGCAGCAGCTCCAGCAATACCTGCCGCAAAAGAAGAACTACACACCACCATCGACCCTCTCACCTCGCCGTGCTTTGTCCGCCTGAAGCGCTCTACCTTTGCGATTTACCCGCTCTACGTTCTCATTTCCGCAAGAATATCGGTTCACGAGGACGTGCGCCGGCTGAAGCGGTGCGTGCAGAGCGTTCTGGAAAACAGCTGCGACTTAGACGAGTATCTGCAATTGGTGTCTACTACCGCTGCTGCTGCACCGGAAGAAGTTACTAATGTGAATACCAGCAAGGGTTTTCGAGCAGCGGGCGCTTCATCAACAACAGTTCTCGCTCGATCCGCGCCCAGTCCCTGGAACTTGATCCGTCCGTGGGTGCGCATTAGCTTTAACCTGGCCGACGGCAGCGACGCAGTGTTTCGCGATACCGTCTCGGACTCGGAGCAGACGGAGGACGAAGAATTTGGGAACGACGTGAAGGACTTGATTGAGCAGGAGTTTGACTGCTTCACGTTCGGAAACACGACCAAAGGTGGAGCGCCAAAAACTAACACATCCTACAAGTACAACGACCAGCTGCAGGTGGTTAACTACCAAAAGGGTGTGCTCGCGGAGCACTTCCGGATCTTCTTCGGCCAAGCCTGCAACTGCGGCAGTGTCCCGGTCTATCCAAGAAAAAAAAAGTGTTAGTGTAAATATTTTGGGAAAACAGCATCACAAGTTTGTCTGCAATGCCAGGAAAAACTTGTTATGCGCAGATAGGAAGGGAAAACACATAGACAGCGAGCCGATCATGCATGTCGAGCATGACAAGTGTAAGTGTTTTGCATTTTCTGCATCACAGATTTACACTTACACAGTTTTTTTCTTGCATACGGTCGCGAAGCCCTGTCCGCAGAAATTCCCCACGTTCACGACAATACCCCTTGACGCGAAGAGGTACGGCTTCGATTTGCAGCACGCGTGGGTGACCTTCCAAGAGCCGGAGGACGTGAGCGGGCCGAGCAGGTTCGTGGATTTCGTGAAGACGTATCTGTTATCAACTGCAAATGTGTCTGGGTCTGGACGAAGAACGCAACTTGTGATGCTGGTGCTGCATTTGGATGTCAAAAAAATCTGTATTGCATCAGCAGCAAAAGGAATCTAACTTTTGCTACCCGGAGAGGGCATTTTTCATGCGGAATTGGCATCAAGAAGCCCTCAAAAAATCTGTGATGCTAGGGCATGCATCACAGACATCATGGGTCATGCAAAACGTGCACGACAAGTCTGAGAATCTTCCAGACCCAGACATATTTGCACTTGATATCTGTCGGCATTGCAGAGGCGGGAGAAATTCTACCTGTTTGCGCTGAAGCAGTACTGGACGGACGAATCAGATGTGTTGTTGCAGCCGGCAGCCCAACACCCACCAGGGGGAAATAACACTACAACCCCCGGGATGTTGAGCAGTAGCAATGGAAACGTCAGAAAAAATCCAATGATGAACTCGTCACTGATTGTCAAACACCCTCGAACGGTGGTAGAAGTGCAGGAGAGACTAGCCCACAGCAGACCGAAGGCGTTGCTTTTGAAAGGGTTTTTGAAGGACCACGACGGTGCGACGAGGGTGAAAACGCGCGAACACGAAACGGCCGGGGGTGGTAATCCATTCAGTACAACCACCACGCCTACGACCAGTGGTTGTGGTGCAGTGCCGCCGCAGCGATCGCAGAGACAGCCTGTAGCCGAAGTGCAGCCATTGTGCAAGCAGCAGATCACGTATCGGAACTTCCACGACAGCAACGACCTGGTCCCGATTTTCGCTCTGTTCGCCCGTGCGAATTTGGTGCAGGAATTTTTCGCGAAAGCCGGCAAGTACACACTACGGTCCGACTACAGCTATTCGGCCATTTCCTCGTTTCTCGTGAAGTATTTCGATTTCCAGCATTCCCTAGTCGCCGCTGGGGAAATGGTTCCGTTGTTTGACTCCTTCGGACAGAGTATCGCGATGAACATTGAAAAGATGAACGGGCCGCCCATTGTGCCGCCGGGGATCGGCTGGGTCGAGAGCTTTGGTGGGGGTTCTTGCGGACCCTGGTTATCGACCGCGAGAGCTCCTGCCCAGGACTTGTCGTCGTGTTCTACGAAGACAAAGCAGAGAAGTCAACTTCTCACGCCGTCGAGCAGCAACACGAATTTCCACTACTTCAAGTCCGTACCGTTGTGCCAGGGGTGTAACAAGCAGAAGATCTGCCACCCGAACCTGGTCCGTTCTTCCGTGCAGATCCGGGACATGAGCCACTTGAAAGCGAACTTCATCGACAAAAGGGTGATCCTTCCCCAGTTTATATCCTATGTAAAAACGTTCCCGCCCCATAGTCAGGATGGGAAGTCCACGAGTTTTGGCTGTTTTGCATGACAAATTTGGACTCGTAGTGTAGTGCTGTTTGAGGTAGTTCAGCAGCGTAAAAGATCTAGTGCATCATGCTGATTGGAGCGCCACAAATTCCAAAACGCGACTAGAAAATGTGTCTCATGGGGCTTCGCATAAGAAACGTTCCCAGCATGTAGATCTTCACTACAACTATGGGGGGGGGACATTTTTGAATACGATTGTTTAACACCTTTTTCAAGCAGGAACCCTTGCAGCATCAGGCGCTGCTCGACCGATATTTGATTCTCGGGAAGAAGCAACAGGTGGCAGAACCCGTGCCCTTGGTGGAAGAGGCGCAGAAGATTTTGAGCAAAGTGAACCTCGAAGCGAGGCACTTCTTCCCCAATGCGGACGTGATCAAGGTGAGAAGGGAACTGGAAGCAATCCTGGTCCAGCATGTGCATTTGCTTTCCGCCGGACAGCTGACAAAAGTGCAGGTGATGCTGCAGGGAGGTGTTGGCGGTGCTGTCCCGGGCGGAGTAGCGGCTGGGGGGAGCAATGGAGTGGCTATCGGGGGCGCTGTGGATCAAAGTGGCACAATAAAGCCAGAAGAAGTTGTGGCGGGCGTCAACGTTGTCGAGATTAATGGGGCAGCGCCTGGCCCTTCCCCGGGTGTCGTGCGGATTGTACCTCAGCAAAACGGCGGAGGAGCTTCCGTCGGCGCTGGGGTCGCGTCTGCTGCAGTTCCTGCAGCCGTCAACGGAGCGTCAACAGCAGCGGGGCCACAAGTTAGCGCAAGTGACAGTGGTGGCGCAACTACCTCTGCTGGTGCTTCCTCTACTTCATCCACCATTCAATCCGCAGTCCGCATGCCGAAGCTCGACCCGGAGCTGTTTTGCTCCGTCCTCCTGCAGTCAAACCCGGGTCGGTTCGAGTTTGCGAGGCCGAAGGAGGGCAGACAGAGCGAATTCTTCTGGTACCAGTTTCGCTGGCGGTTGTGGTTAAAGTTTTTTCTGCCTGCGATCTCGTACCTGCTGTGTGATCAAATGAACATTCCGACCTTCATGGCCCTGGACACTTTTCGAAGAAAATTTCAGGCAGAGTCGAAGAAGCGCTGCTTCAAGTGCAGAAGCTTTGCACTCGTGAAATTAGAACAAATCTTCAATACGAAGTTGAACCAATGCGAGAAGGCTTCGTGAACAAGAGCTGTGTTAGCTCTGATGTTTCTTTGAAGTTTTATGGAAATTCATATTCAAAATTTTGTAAAAGAAGCAACTGCAAGTGCAAATGAAGCACCGCCATGAGCGCAGCGCAGAACTTGAGTGATGATCTTTATTTTGCGCCCGCTGAAGTATCGCGAGCGTTGTTCTTCGCGATTTTCTCCAGCCAGTGTTCTTTTGATACATATTAGAAATAGAACGCTGGCGGCCGTTTCTCGTCCATCTCCGTGTTTATCTCGTCTGCAGTGGTCTCAGTGTTCCGCACGGCACGGCGTGTCTGCGTTTCTTCAAATATGGGGAGCGAAATGAGACAGAGCAGGCCAGGCTTCCTAGGGGCATGAGGGTTGCGCGAGGCCTCCGCCAATATAACACTCACAAGATGCGCCGTTTTTTCAGATCTTTGTTGCCGAGCGGCAGCACGCCTGCTCTGCTGACAGACCTATTCTGGCGAAAGCCTTGCTTGCAGCAGCCTCTCCTGCAGCGTCGCTTTACCTCTGATTCCGCCTGCCACCGTACTACCCCAAGCGGCACACCAAGTTATTTAAATGCTTCGCTTCAACACTCTTCCGCCGTCCGCGGCAGAGATAAGCACCCGCTTACTCGCCTTATCCGCAGAATTACAGCCGGTAATAAAAAGAGAGCGCAGCAGCACCACGCCCGGCTCTTCACAACGGACCGCAAAAGCCAGCGAGATTTTTATGACGTTACACCCCCCAGCACCACGACCGCAACCAGCTCCCTCGCCGACGATATTGAACACAATCCGACGGCGTTCGGAAAGATTCTGCGAAACGAAAAGCCCGCAGAGCAGATTTTGTACGAAGATACCGAGTTTCTCGCGTTCAAAAATATCAAGCCCTACGCCCCGCTGGCTGGCTTGATTATCCCGAAACGACGGGTGAGGCAGGACCCGATGAATCTGCCGAAAGACGATTTTCATTTGAATCTAGTGGAAAAAATGCGAGCGATTGGTTTAAAGCTTGCGAGAAAGCACCTGGATGTTGCTGCAGTGTCGCGTCGGGGCGTCTCGCTCGGACAGCAGGACGTCAGTAATCAACATAGCTGTACTACAAATGCCAAAAACACAAACGCATCAGGTTTGCTTCCGTTTTCCGTTTCAGAGAAACCAGATTTCGACGAGAATGATTTTTGGTTAAAGTTTCACCTTCCACCTTACAATACGGTGGACCACCTGCATTTGCACGTCTTGGCGCCCGTGAGCCAGATAAGAAAGTGGCATACTATTACGATTTTCACTGATCCTGCAAAAGCGTGCGATGTGGCAGACGTGTTAGATAGGCTGCGAAATACTGACAATGAGAGCTCTCCAAGCAATAGCTTCAACGAATCTTCTCTCGTCGACCTCTTGGCCGCGATCTTGGCGCGCCCGCTGGTTGTCAGCGTTTTCTTTTTCGTGTAATTTGTGTTAAATTTCTTGCCATCGTTTTACCTGGGCCTGATAGATCAAGACGAAGCTGTTTTCAATCTTTGAGAAGATCGTGTTCAAATGCAGCTCCGGTTTCGCTTTGGATCTGTCGTCGCCACGAGGATCATGAACGAAGTCGCGTTGATCCTCCATGTCAGTCTAGGTGTGTATGTTGTATGATTCTGCGCGGTGTTGTGACATGGTATGTGACCGGCCGAACGACCATGAAGGCCTTTTTTCACCTCTCCCTACTCTGCACTTTCTTCACCTTTCGTCTGGTGTTGTTTTCCAAAAACTTTGAACTGGTGTTTTCGGAAACTACTCCCGAAAAAGACGCCAGTCTAACCAGCAGTGACAAGGCCACCACTTCTTCTAAGGGTTCGTCGAAGAAGGAGTCCTCGATAAGAAAGGGGAAGACGAGGAAAAAGACCCGCAATTCTCAGCTCCCGGATTCATCGACGAGCAATATGGCCATCTTCCGCAGGAAACACCATCGAGTCCAGCATCTTCCGCAGGAAACACCATTAGCAATATGGTTCCATCGAGTCCAGCATCTGGGCCATCTTCCGCAGGAAACATGAGGCTGTCCCGCTGCCCAAAATCGCGGCGGGCACCGTACTATGCGTGGCAAAAGTATCGCACTCGTATAAAAAAGGCGAGTCTAGCATTAGACAGATCTCCTTTCTTACCTGAATCCGCATGACAAAAAAAAATTGTCACGCAATTCATACTAGTAAAGATACTTTTGCATTGCATACGTACACAGACTCCATCTCCTTGGCGGAGAGAGAGAGCGCTAAATCCGGGCAGTAGCGGTCCACGAACTGGTACACCCCCAGCGTGTGGCTCTGCTCGTCGCGGTTATTGTGAGGAAAAATCCCCTCTCCCCATATCGAATAAAAGGCGTGCTTTTCAAAATTTGCGCTGCGGCTTTGTGGTCACAAATCGAGTCTGTCTTGCAAGAGGGCAACGCCAGAGCTTCCGCCGCATTTCGCAGGCGATTTGTCACGCTGCTGCGCCAATGCGGCAGACGTCTGCCATGCTAAGTGACTACCTCAAGCCACCCCTTCCCGGGCTTTGCATCTGCCTGCAGTGCTCTACTGCAAGACAAAGCTGATTTGTGTACGCAAATACAGCGTGACAGACTTCCCTTTCGATATGGGGAGGGGGGATTTTTCATTTTGATAGCGGTCCATGTTTTGCTCCAAATAGGTCCGGAACCCAGTGTAGGTGTCCTTCATCATGGGCAGGGTGCGCCCGAGCCGCATCTGCGCGGCGGGGCTGATCGTGGTCAACCGGGGCCGGTGGTCCTCGTAGGTCATTTCGCGGTGCCGCGGCGGGGAGTGCCACTGGTTCTGGTACTTCTGCGGGTACGAACTGATGTACTTCGCGGAGTCGGCGAAGTCCAGCCTATGGATTGCAAACGTAGCTAGATGTCTGGAAAGAACTTGTAATGCTGAATGGTCATGATTGCCTGTGCCTGTGAGTGCAGTGCAGCATGACAAATGTTTGTTCAAACGCTTTCTCATGCGCAGAACGCAGTAGTACAAAGTGCACTTTCGCATGCCGAGAAGTTGTAGAGTGTGGCACGACTTTATTTGCTGCTTATGCAATACAGATTTTTTAGGAATGTGAAAAATGCAATACAGGCTCAAGAACCTTTCCAGACCCAGATCGATATTTGCAATGCATACAGGCGAAAGGGAAACCACTCCTCGGCGATCATGGTGTATCCTGTGCAAAAGTATCGTATTCGTATAAATGCAAGTCTTGCATTACAAATTTTTTTCTCAAAGTAAATCAGCATGACAAATTTCATTTCTCATGCTGAGAAAATTTGTAATGCATTTATACGAGTACGATACTTTTGCAGTTCATATGGTGTCATCCATCACAATGTGTAGTTTTTCCTCGCAGAACTCTTTCGCCTCCTTTTCCAGCCGGTCCTCCCGCACACCCACCTCTTTCGTACAAACAATGTGGTCGAAGAAACTGTGCACTTCCTTCAGAAACGACACGAAATCCAGCTCGGAGCAAAAGAGCAGGTCGGGGGGGGAGGACGAAGATGATGTAGTTGTTGTGAGAGAAGATGAGGCACCAGCGGCTCCACCAGCCACCGTGGGGAGTTGCATGATCTTGGACGTTGTCGACGAGGTTCTACTGTTCTTCGTGTCCTTCTCCTTCCTGGAAGCTGCAACATGCTGTTGTTGTCCGGTAATATTATTCGAAGATGCAGTATTGAGTCCACCGGAGGTGGAACACGAATTGGCACAAGAACTACTGGATGAATTTTTGCTAGTCTCCCGCTGTACACTCGCGACACGGGCCTCCAGATCATCGATCTCTCCTTCCATAAGAGTCCAGCATCTGGGCCATCTTCCGCAGGAAACACCAGGCTGTCCCGGCCGAAAGACCTGCGTGCGTACTTGCCGAACCTGGCAGACAAGAGCAGATACGAGTTGGTAAAATCGTCCGAGAACGGCAACGACTTTGGCTATCTGTTGTTCAAACCCGATGTTGTAGATACTGACGCAGGTAATTCGTCTGCGACGAAGCACTATCCCCTCATCGTCTTTCTTCACGGCGCGGGTGAGTCTGGGACTGGGGAGGAACCTGAAGGGGTCCTGCAGATGGGGCTCACCGGTTCGTTGCCGAGCATTCTGGCGGATCATTTACAAATCATTGCCGATAAAAATGACGATAAAAGAACATCAGAAGAAGTCCCTTACTCCGCCGACCCACTGAGCGCAACCTCCATGCCGGAAGTGCCGTTTGAAACTTTGGAAATAAAACAGTCGATCTACGAGTTGCTGCGGCAAAATTTTTTCGTGTTGTCGCCACGGACCAATCGGGGCTGGTCCGGCCGGAAAGTCCGAAACTTTGTGGTGAACTTCGTGAAAAAGTGGAACAGCAGCAGCAACAAAAGCCAGAAGATCGACATTACCCGGATTCACGTAACTGGTCCTTCCATGGGCGGCGCAGGGACGTTCTCCGCCGCGAACATCGGCGCGCCGGCGATTTTCGCTACTTGTGTCCCCATTTGCGCGGCGGGGGGCGTGATCGCGGAGAATTTTCCCCTGGCGGAGACGAACGTGTGGGCCTGGCACGCGGTGAACGATGAGGTGGTGCCCGTGACGGTTTCCGACGAAGCGATCCAGGCGCTGGAGACTGTTGCGAAGAAGAGGAACATGAATGGTACTAAAACTGCAGTCAACGGTGCTATCAAATACACGAGAGAACCACACGCCCCGGCCCCCGCGGGGTGGCCGCACTACCCCGGGCACGCGGGCTGGATGTCAACGTATCGATCGAAGGAATTGTACAGCTGGATGTTAAAAAGTAAACTGGAAATGAGCGAGGGATTGAAGAAACTATTTGAAGTTGATAGTACTTCTGCTACGACAGCAGACGGAAATTTATCCAAGAGGACGAAGAAAGATAATGAATTGTGAAACCAGCTGCATCTTGACGACAGGCTCGTTGCTAGACAAAAAGAATCACTTGAGCACTGCAGGTGGACCGCTGTGATGTTCGTTCGGAGTAGTTGCCATCAAGACGTAAGGACAGAAGTCTAGTACTCGCTCTTGGTGCAATCTATCGGTCCTGATTCAGATGCCCTTCGCTGCGGAAGTTTTTGATGTAAGGTCGCCTTGTTACCGTACCAGTTTCAACATATCGAACGATTTGGAACGGCAAAACAGATTAGAGCAATGAATGCGCTTCGGTAGTCGTACACAGCCAGTCGCTGTCGCGCTAGTACTAAAACAAGAATGATTTCGGTTCGTTCAAAAAGTTTGGTGGCAGTCGGTGCAATCGTGCAAAACCATACACAAGAAAACTTTCGCCTTTCGCTGTCGCCGCTTTCGTCCTTCTTTCAACGTCGTAGCAGTGGTCCTCGTGAAGATAGAACAAAACAAGGACGAATCTTGTTCGAAAACCACTTTAAAACCACAGGTCCCACATCAGCCTCCTTTTTCTGTTTGGAAAAAGTGCTGCCCCAAATCTATATTTTACTTACTACGAAGTCTAAGTAAGTCTAACGCTGCTCATCACGTACTTGCGATGCAGGTTAGACAGAGGATAGGAGCGCGAGAATTATCTTTCACGCTTTTAATACAACTAGCAACAGCAAGCATCATGCTCGATTCTTCTTACTGCATGTAGTGACATGTTATAGAAGGTCGGGCTTTCTTTTTATTTGTGGCAGAAGCAGTCCTTATGCTTATCGTTATCTCTGCACAAAAGTTCTCTAGGTTTCATCTTCCAGACACGACAAATCCAACGCCAGACACACATCAGGCTCCAACTAGTGCCTGTTTTTACGTAAAACCGCTTCTAAGTAGATAGCTAGAAACCATGGGCGGTCAAGACATGAAAGTTTCCGCGGCCGTCGTCGGCCATATGGACGGCTCGGGGGGAGGGCCCGCTGTGTCCGAGAAGGTTGGGCGTCAGCAGTTCGAGGATGCGCGTTTCCAGATTGCCCAGGAAATGAAGATGAAGCTGGTGAACCGGGTTTACTCGAAATCTGCAAAAATGGACTTCTACTTCGGAATGCTGATTTTGACAAACCTCGTCGTGCTCGGTTTTGAAGCCGACTTGTCCGATAAATCCAAAACCGGCCCTGAGAACCCGTTTTGGTGGATCGAGTCGATCATTTTGATTTTGTTCATCTGGGAATTGTCGATCCGATTGAGATATGCACTGCAAAAGTATCGGACTCGTAGTAGTTGCAGCCTCGCATGACAACATTACAAATTCCATTTTTGTTTCTGAGAAAATTTGTAATGCAATTCCTACTAGTACGATAGGATACTTTTGCAATGCATATGAGACTCCACAGTCCCACCCTGGTCACGATCCACCCCCTGAACGCGCACGAGTTCAACGCGTCCCTCGGGGGAACCAAGGCAGATTTAGACGAGGTGATGGAAGGAGGTGGCGGGATCTCCCCCGCGAACACGAACGCGTCGAACCAAACGAATGATAGCAAAAGACCGCACATGCAGCCGTACGCGAAGGCGATAAGTTTCATGGAGTCAAGCGACTCCCTAGCGGATGAGGAGGACATCGACTACGTGGTCGTGAAATACGAACCGTGGACGATCCGGTTCTGCCTCTCCTGGGTGCACCAGTACATGGGGACCGAGCACTTCGGCCACTTCGCGTGGCTGGTCTTTGACTTCTTCCTCGTGATCGTGTCGATTCTGGACGCGTGGGTCTTGCAGTTGGTAATGAGCGGCGAGGGGTTCGCGAATGTTTCTGCGTTCCGCATCCTCCGTTTGATCCGGGTTTTCCGAACCGTCAAGTTGATTCGGTACTACCCAGATCTGTGGCTCCTCGTGAACGGACTCGGGCAATCGCTGCGCGCGCTGTCCTGGGTGATGCTCTTACTGTTGCTCGCGGTGTACGTGTCGGCGCTGTTTTTGGCAGAGCAGATCCGGGACAACGAATTTTACATGGGCTATCAAATGCAGAAGTGTCTGGGTCTGGAAGAATGCGCGACTTGTCATGCAGCTTTTCCATGACCCATGAGGTCTGGAATGCAGGACCTGGCATGACAGACTCTGTGCGATCTCTCTCATGCCTATCCTGCATGAGAAACTCCCTCCCGACTTGGTCAAAACTGGACGACTTTTGGTAATCATGCAACGCAGATTTTTGCATGTTTCAGATTTAGCATGACAAGTTGCAGTCTTCGAGACCCAGACATTTTTACATTTTACATGGGCCCGGACGGCACAAGACACCCAGATCCGATGTACCACGATGTACACGAATATTTCAGCTCGGTCCCGATGGCCATGTTGACCCTGTTTCAGATTGTCACGCTGGAGAACTGGGTAAGTTTAGTTTTTGTTTTGCTGGAGTTGTTGATCTTGTAGTTCTCTCGCGCGCATCGTTTGCACTATGAATGACGAGCCGTTTTTGAAGACTAGATGTTGATGTATCGCATTCTTTTCAAATGATACAATAGGCAATAGAAATTGGCATGAGGTTTTTACTTTTAGTTGTTTACTAGTAGACAGCACTTGATCAACCGAACCAAATCTTCTTATCACAGCCCGACATCGTCCGCACCATGATGGAAGAAACGTTTTGGTACGGGATCTTTTTCGTTCTGTTCATTGTGGGCACGAACTTTATGATCATGAACCTTTTCGTCGGCGTTCTGGTCGAGTACATTCAGTTATGACAGTGCACAACTACCCCTCCCCCTCATTTGTATGTTGGCATGAACAGCAATACAAACGCCAGCACACATGGAGCCTGTGCATGACAAATTTATGTGCCTAATGTAGTACTACTATTTGGGCTTCCGGATGAATTTGTCATGCATAATAGTGATACAAGGGAACAACTGGATTTGGGCTTTTGCATGAGAAATGAGAACGAGGGGGAGTTGTGCACTGTCATATCAGTCCGCAGCGAACACCGCGGAAGTGGAATTGATGAAGCTCGTGACGAAGGATAAAAACCGCATGTGTGAGGAGCTGAAGGAGATCTTTGCCATGGTATGCATTGCAAATAATTCATTCTGGGTCTGGAAAGTTGTGATGCTAATCTGCGGATCACAAGCAACATCCATCAATATGGCGACACGCATGACAAGTTTCTGAGGGACTAGGTCTTGCGTAGACTGCATGAGAAGCTGCGTTTTTGCATTACAAAAAAGCAGCGCGGTAGCGGAACATGCATCACAGATCTTTGTCTCCTGTCAGCAGAGCATTACAAGTCTTGCAATCTCCCAGACCCAGACAGATTTGCATTTGATACATGGTGGATGTGGACAATTCCGGTTCGTTGTCCGCGGAGGAGTTCAAGGAAGCGATCGTGACCCAACCGGAGGTATCAAATGTAAAAATGTCTGGGTCTGGAAACTTGTGATGCTGTGTGGCATATCATGAGGAGGCCACAATTGCTGGCTCAGCATGACAAGTTTCTGAGCTTCTAGGTGTTGCCTATTCTGCGTGACAAACTACGTTTCTGCATGACAGAAAAGTGGGGCTCTTTGGTAACGTGCACGACAGATTTATTAAGAGTCATGCCAGACAAGCATGACAAACTTGCATTCTTCCAGACCCAGACACTTTTGCATTTGATAGATGGTGAAGAGGAAAATCTCCAACCTTCGCGTGGAGGACGACGAATTAGATTGGTTGTTCGAAGTTCTCGATGCGGACGGCAGCGGGCAATTGTCCATCGATGAGTTTGTCAACGGGGTGTTGCGCACGAGGGACTCGGAGCTTGCTTGCTCCTTGATGACGATGCAGAACCTGATATTGCGGGAGTTCGGGAAAATGGACTGTCACCCGAGGTCGAAATTCTACAAGGGCGATAACGTTCCGTCGCACGGATTTGGGCCGAAACCGCCGAGCGCAAGCAACTTGCTTATGGTGAACCACGCGCCGGCCGCGCCGGGGAGCAGCAGGGGTCAGAATCCCGATTCGCACACGCCAAGGAGGCAAGACTCGAAGGGGTCGGGGGCTACGCCGACGCAGGCGGGGGCTACGGGTGGTGGCGCGTAGCAGCCAGCGGTACGGTTACCGCCCGCCAGTCTGCAGCAGAATGGAATCCGAAAGCAGGGAAGCATGGGTGCGCTGTTGGCGTGAAGTTGTGAAGTAAAGGTTTGATGTGATTTTCAAAAAAAACACTGTGCCATCGTTTGATTTTCCGGTTTGGTTTCTTTTCTACGTACTGTCTACTCAGAACTTTTTCAAAAGATGACAAATTTTATGCGCTTTTTTACCCGACAGAATTTTTAGCGTCAAGAATCTTTCGCAGTTTCTGGTGCTTCGTTGAAATGACAAAATTTTTCATCTATCATGCATTCAATGGAGGTTTCATGATCGTTGTTTACATTTTTTCATTACAAACGTTTCAAGAACACAACCCTGATTGAAGTCTACCCAAGAAGTGTGACTACTCCACCCGATGTCACATTTCTCTTTTATTTTCCACCCCCTTTTTCTATTTTTTTCTAATTTGGCAAACATTTCATACGGTCTGACTGGTGTGCATTCTATCCCGATAATCGGGTGGATTGTGTACGGTTTTTGATGTCGTGAGCCGTTTTTCTTTTCTCCGCGCGAGTGACTAGATAACGTCGGGACAGCACAGCGCTTGCACCAAAGAAGCAGCGAAATAGAAGTGGATGAAGATGGACTAGACACCATTGGAGCCTTCTTTTACTGCACGTAGCTAGTGGCTCTCCTGACCAGGTGGAATTCATCCAAACATAAATCGATGCTGTAGCCTGCAATAGCCAAACAAGAAGCTTCTGCTGCACAGAGAGTCATCTGATGGCAAAGCAGCGCAACTGAAGGCGGTTTGCAAGCGAGACGATGAAATAGAGTCACAGCACGAGCATCACTCAAACTAACTACGACGAGATAGGAAGAGATCACTTACACTTCATTTTAACCGCATTCCTTAAGTTGATCGTTTCGATATGGATGATGTGGGTACACATCTTCGTCATCCGCCGCTCCCTTGGCGCCGGTACGAACTGATTGCAGCTTTGTTCTTTTTTTTCTTTCGTAGACGACGAGGAACAAGTTCAATTTGTGAACGAGACTTCGAAACACGATCACCTTGTCCTCGCGGAGGATCTTACCTGGTTTGGGTTTGTTGGCGCCGCAGAGCAGCACTAATAAATAGAGAATGTGAATTATACGAAGAGTTCTTCCTTTGACTTTGTCGGTATGAAATTTTGTCATTGAGAGGGTTGCTTCGTAGTTGTTCCTCCCAAGTTTTTTCACTCTCGTCCCAGTATGGTTTTGTTCTTCGCAATATTTTTCATCACAGAACTCGCCGTCGCCTTCGATCTGTCCGCAGAGGACAGACAGGCTCTGGAGGGTGGCATTTTTTCCGTGAAACACACAACGACCAGAACACCGAGCGGGGGTGGTCACGGGCACGACCAGGGCCATGGCAGGCACAGTGCCAATCCGAACCCGCGGACGAACCCGCCACGGAACAGTAGTGGAAGGAGATATGCCGTGCCGAGTAGCAGTGCGAGTGCGACAACTACAGCGAAAGCGAATCACGTGCCGGACACGCCGAGACCGGTCGGGGGAGCAAGAACAGCATCGTCCTCCACAACCTCGACAACAACAGCGGAAGGTTACAAAGCTGTGCCTGATGTTCATCCCTCATCGGTAAAAAATAGCGACGAACAACTTGCGCCGCAGTCGGCGCAGGACACTACTACGATAATTGGCAGGGAGCAAACAAATGTAGAAGACAGAAGCTTGGTAACACAAGATGAGGAGAAAGTGACGTCGGATCGTCATCCAGGTAGAGATGCACTGGATAAAGAACCACCACCGCAAGAACTACCGCCGGTCGAGCGGGGGCAGCACGAACCACAGGTACTAGAGGCGGAAGATCCAATATCACAAGAACATGTTCCACCACAATATTCGGAACCACCATCAGAAGAGGAAATCTACATGTTGAACACAGACGAAATGCTGAAGCAAGACCGGACCGCGCGACAAACATTAAACGAAAATCATGAATCGTTGTCCCACCTGCAGGCGGCCGACAACTTGTCCGAGGAAGAGCTGGCCGCATTACTGCAAGACAACAAAGTCAGTTTGTTTTCAATGAACAAAGGAACTGGCACAAGTGGTGCAGCACGAAGACAGCAGGTCGTTCTTGATGACGGCGAAACCGAAATCGATCAGGATTTTTTATCCCCCGCCGCACGTAGAACAACGACAACCCTAGAAGGTGCGGCAGGAACTGCAAATACAGGCAGTAGCACTTCTTCTAGAGGACAACTTGCAGGAGCTCGCAGGCCCGCCTCCGCGGCAACAAAGGGCTCCAGCACGAAAGTCGTAGCCAAAATGTCAACGGAGAACAAGAAAAACGCGTTCATTCTGCGCAAGGTGAAGTGCGAACTCTTCGTGTCCCACTTGTCGAAAGACCCCAGGATGGTGGAGTTGCCGATCGAGTGCGATCCAGACGACGTCGAGAACTTGAACGGGTACCGAATTTGCATGATGAATGAGGAATTCGAGGTCCGGAAGAACCAGGAGCGGACGATCATGCTGGATCGCCCGCGGCCGGACGGTTTGGAGTTGTACGCGCCAATTTTGTTCGGCTCGTGCGGCGCGAAAGTGGCGCGATACTTGATGGTCCCGGATAGGCACGAGGTGTTGATTTTTTTGGATGCGCAGTTTAATTTGAAGTTTTTGATGAACATGAAGTACATGCAGGATGGTCGCTCCGGTCATGTTGGATTTTATTTAGCAGAATTAGCATATCATGGTCCAAAGAACTGTAATTTACCAGGGTCGCGGCATGCTCCACTACCAAGTTGGCGACATTTCCATCGACCCACTCCACGGCGTTTTTCTCTACGTCTCCGTCACGAATCTGCACATGATCTACCGCGTCCCACTTCACGACAGCAGCGACCGAGGTTCCCTCTCCCGCTGGCAGGGACTCGGGAGTCCAAACCAGCCGCACCACATGCTGAGCTTCGACGGCTTCAGCTCGCCGATTGGCCTGTGTGCGTTGAAGAACTACGAGATCCTGGTCGCGGATTCGGCGAATAATCGCGTGACGTATCCACAGTAAATTTCCCGTACACGTACAAATGCTGTCTCTGCATGACAAAAATTGCCTTCAATCCTAGTCTAGCATGACAAGTTGGACACAGCAAGTAAGCGAAATTTGTCATGCATTTTGTATGTACATGTACGGGAATTTACATTGCATATGAAGCACAACAGCTGGGCCACCCTCCCGGGCAAGAAAGGAGCGCAGAAGAAGGGGAAATTAGTTGCGGGGCTGAGGGGGTTCATGCTAGAAACCCCCGTACAAATCGCGGTGGTGCACGCGACGGGGAATGACAAACTCTACAACACGTTGTACGTGGTGGAAAAATCCCGGCATTTGCTCCGTTACGTCGGCGAGGGGAACTTGATTCCGGAAATTTTGCAGCCGTCGAGCGGGTTGAAGATCCACGTGTTTCAACCGAATTTGCTAGCAGAGAACCGGGCGAAGCGGCGATACTTTGGCGGAGCGGGGGATGGAGCTGGGTCCTCGGGAACGGTGGATTACTTCGAAATGACCAAGCGGGGCGGCGAGAACAGCTACAGCAGCAAGGTCGGCGGCGCAGTCGGGGCAGACGGGAGGGTGTTGAATGCGGCGGTGCGCGACGACTCGCACGACGACGAAGGGGCAGAAGTGCTGTTTTGCTTGCACGGGTACGTGGCGAGCGCGAGGTTTCGAGGGCGAGAGGGGGCAAGAGGTGCAGGAGGGGGAATTTCGCAGGGCGGGAACAAGTCGTGGAAGAAAAGTTGTTTGGATGTGGATTCAGCGGGGAGGGCGGTGGTGTTTCGAGAGAAAAGCCACTTGTTCAACGCGAATAATGGGAGAAGAATAGCAATTCCAAGCAACATCGAACACGTAGTGCTTTCGCCAAAAGCAGATAGCATATATGTGAGTAGCAAGACGACAGTGTACTCACTCGCAACAGATTCTGTTGCGGAGTTTTTTGGAACTCGTAGAACAGGACAAGCTGTAGAGGATGGAACTATTCTATCAATTTGAAGGGTTTGTGCTCCGCGTGGTCACTTTTTCAGACGAGAGTGCGCAAGTGTTCGAACTCGAATAGATTTTACATGATGCCCTAGCTACTGCTCTGCACAGGGCAGGCCATTGATGTGTCTGTTCACAATGTTGATAGAGTTTTGGAAGAAAAACAGCACGGGCGGTGGTGGAGGGGCGAGCGCGTGCGGGATGAGCCGCCGGCGCGGGTCGCGTGGCGCTTTTGGTGTTTCGGACGAGTTGAAGACAACGGCGCTGCGGTGCGTCTCGCCCCCGCAGGGCAGTTCGAAGCTGCTGGTCGGGGAGGGTGTCGGTGGCGCCCGCTTTGGTGTCGCACAGATTCGGGGAAGCGTTCAAGGCCGGGCGGGCTCTCCCACGTTTCTACAAGAGGCACTCCCTGACCCACCCGGCGATCTGTGCCGCCCCGCACTACGCCGGCCACCCCCCGGGCAACAAGTAGCGCCAGAAGTTCGACCCCGCCCGCGAGCCCCATGCAGCGGCGCGTCGACGTCGAAGGCGCTTCGCATCAGCGCGCCCATTTGCGTCATGTCGTGCGCCCTATGTGTGTGCGCAAGGCGGCAACCTGGGCCATTGATTAATAGTGGCCGCGGCACTATGAAACTAGGCAGCGCCAAAGCGACAGCCGGGCGGGGTGCGAGCCAGAGACATTAGCCGGCCCCGGTGATTATATATGGTGGCCCTGCCCAGGCGGGCACCTCTCCAGAATCAATCTTTCTCGTGGCGGCCTTCTGTGTGGTGGGAGGAGGATCAGCAGAATGGCCGGTCTCGGGCAAATTGAGGCGGGCGGGGCGGGAACAGGCCTCCCCGGTCCTGTTGTTCTTCGGTAGCGCTAACACGATGGGGCGCGCCGAGCTGCGTTGGCGGACGGAGTTGATTCCTCCGCGCGCTTCGGCGGCGCCCCGCGCGGCAACAGCGAAGCAGTCGCATTGCGCCCGGAGAAGCAACCCGAGGGGGGCGACCGCCCCGCGCGGCCCCTGTTGCCGGCTGCCCGGCCCCGCGCCGCGCGCATCCCCCGGCTGCTTTTCTTTGTCTGCTACGGTGCATTTTTTCGGGCAAAAAAGGAGGCGGGCCCCATGATATCAGAGGAGGCGCCGCGGGAGGCCTTGGCGGAGGGTGGAGAAGCGTGGAAACCGGAATGCGCGGGGGTAGCGGAACAGCGCGAGACGGGCCACGGCTTCCGCAGTTTTCTGGGGGCGAGCGAGGAGCACGAGGCCAGGCGCCGCCGCAAAGAGGCGGAGAAAGCGGCGACCGTAGCAGGGCCCGAAACCCTTTGCAGCCGGCCGGCCCGAAGCGCGGCCCCGGGGCACGCCGCTGCTTGGCGATCGCCCGCGCGCCGCTTTCTTTGGGGCGCGCGCACCTTCCTCCCAAGGGCCGCCCGGTCGCGCCTGGAGCGGGCCTGCGCCTTCCCTAGCATGGAGTCGAAGGGCCCTGGTCTGTTTGTTCCCTTCGTCCCCTCCTCGGAGGGCCGCGCAGACAGTGGGCGGGCGCTTGGCGCCCTGTTTGCTGTGGGGATTCCTTGTTGCTGGGCTGGGCGCTGGCTGTTCCATAACAGTCCTGGCTGCAGCAGAGTATCCGCAATACAGATGGACCAAGGGGCCTCCGTAGCATTCTGTCGCGCTTAGTGACTTCTGCGAATTTGTTTGCATGTGCACCAGAGTGCGCGCGTTCGCGGTTTCCCAGGATTCCAGCGAGATATGAGAAAAGCGTCTTCGATGTCCTCGTGTTCATTGGCATGAGCAACGGCGCGCAACTCTTGTCAGTGAGACGGAACACCCACCGACACTTTTTTTGACCGGCCGACTTCCATGCGGGCTGCCGAGAGAGACAGAGAGAGGGCATCTCGAGTCTCTGCCGACAATCGGCCACGCAGCATGATCGAGAGAGCATTAATGGGTGATGTCCCTTTTACGAACCTCAACCAGCAACGCAGCAATTCTGTGGGGATTGAAATACCGGGGGCCCTTCGTCGTCCGTGTTGCTCCGCGGCACAGCGGTGGTTGCGTCCGGATTTGACATGTGCAATAACGTATACCTATGAGCCCATGAAAAATTTGATAGGAGTAAAGTGTTTGCGTGAGGGCTTTCTTGCCCGCAGCTGCAGCAAATAAATAGCAAAGCAAGATCATTGTTACAATGCCAGAAATCATTCCCTTTGCTGCGCCAGTCTCCGTGAATAAAACAAGCAGCATCTACTTCGTTTGAAGAGGATTATGTCCCTCCCGACGCCGACCTCCTCCCTGAGTGGAAGAAGATAATGGGTTGCTTACCCGGGAAGATTGCTGTGAAGCCCGCCTGTGAGGAGAACAAAATGGACTTTCCACCGCAAAATGTGTCCTCCAACAACCCGAACGCGCCGACACTTCTTACCCCAACCGTGTCCATCACCACTCCCTCGGAGGTGCACCTCCACGGCAACACGAACAAGCACGAAGCGGGGGTGTTCCTCCTTGGGAACCAACAACTACAGAACGCGGCAGTTGGGGGTGGGACTGTGAACGTGAAGCCGGGAGCTGGTGGAACAATCAACATGCCAAATAACCAAAATTCAACATTGAACCAAAACTATGCCAACAACAACATCGTGAACAAGTCTGGCGCGTTGAGCACCGCCGCCGGTACGAACCCGTCCAATGCGAGTTCGCAGGCCAACGGCAAAGTGCTCCCGCCGTCGCCAGACCAAGACAAAGATGACAAAATTCCCCGGGAGCGGTCGGGCAACAGCAATCGCTCCTCCTCGAGCACACGGGAGCAGAACCAAACAAGGCCCGCAACGAACAATAAGGCCACATCAACACCAGTTGTCCACGTCTCGAAGCTATCAAGTGTAAAAGTGTCTGGGTCTGGAAGATTTCTAGATTTGTCATGCATATTTTCCATGACCCATGATGTCTGTGATGCATGCCGTAGCATCACAGATTTTTAGAGCGCTTCCTCATACCTATTCCGCATGACAAATGCCATCTCCGCGGAGCACAAAGTGACATCTAACGCCCACTGGCCGTATACACGCGTAAGAAATCGGAAACGGTTCAGCGGATGCGGTCGGGTGGTACCTGTAGGACGTGGAACGGGTGTCCACCTAGGGGTATTGGCAGAGGCTAAATCTGTTCTAGCGCCACGGTATTGGCAGAGGCTAAATCTGTTCTAACGCCACCCTGACAGGAGTCAAAGGTCAAAGCGATGCGATACGATACGCGGAGCACAAAGTCTACTCCTGTTCCTGGTCATGCAATACAAATCTTTTTCGAATCCAGAGACAGCATCACAAGTTTAGATTCTTCCAGACCCAGACATTTTTACATTTGATAGAAGCAGCGGTCGACGAACAAAAACCTGGTTCTAGACCGGTACGAACTATCGAAAGGAAAAATCCCCCCTCCCCATATCGAAATGGAAATCTGTGATGCAGGATTTGTGTACACAAATCGGATTTGTCTTGCGGTAGAGGACTGCAGACAGATACAAAGCCCGGAAAGGGGTGGCTTGGGGTAGCCACTTAGCATGGCAGATGTCTGCCCTAGTAGCGTAGCAGCATTACAAATCGCCTGCGAAGTGCAGCGGAAGCCCTGGCCTTGCTCTCTTGCAAGACAGACTGGATTAGCGGCCACGAATCAGCATCACAAATTTCGAAAAGCACGCCTGTTCGATATGGGGAGGGGGGATTTTTCCTCACAATACGAACTCATTCCGGGGAAGGAGGGCTGGCTCGGCGAAGGATCGTTTTCCTCGGTGCGGAAGGCGCGGGACTTGCACGTTTTGAACACTTGTGCAGGCGCTTCTCCGGAAACGGCGGACAACTACTACGTCGCGGTGAAGACGTATGGGAGTGTCAGGATTGAAATCGCCAAACTTGGAAGAACTTGTGTAATGCATAAAATCGATAAACCAGTTGGAAACCCAATTTCTAAGCGGCGCATGACAAATTTTGGCACCATCTAGATCCAGTTTGTCACTCTCCTGCTTAGGGACAGAAGGCGTCTTTTGTCATGCTACTTGAGCAGCTCTATCGCAGACCCCAAACAGGCTTACGGTCGGCCTCACTTGCCATCCCTGCAAGACGAGAGACACTTCGCGCCTTGCAATTTATGCATGAGAAATTATTGCAACTGTGACGATTTCAATCCTGACGCTTCCATAAAACGTACAAACGGCCGAGAATCCCCGTCGCGAAGGACCAGAACGGGAACCCGAAACCCCTCGACCCCGCCACGGAGCACGCGTTCGCGAAAAAGAACGAGGTGATTCTGAAGAAATTCAAACGGCAGATCCACGTCCTGGAGACGTTGCTCGCGCCGATTGAGTACGACCGGAGCAAGGATCCGCAATTCTTCCGGGACGTAGAGCCAAGTAGACTCTTTCTCCGTTTGCTGGACTACAGCAAAGATGAGAATGGGGAGCCAGGTACTTGTTCTAGGATGCTGGTCAATCAATATCAAATTTCTTGATGTTGTGTTGTTGAGGAACTACGTCAATGCCTCCGCATAATTTGATCTAGGTACTATGCAAGACATTGCCGCATCACAACTTCAACTCACCCTACCACGACAGGTCCTGACCCCACCGCGCCTTCGGAGGAAACGGAGATGGTGGTTGTCACCGAGATGGCGGACTTTTCCTTGAAGGACTACTTAACCGCCATATGAAATTGCACAACTCCTCCTCCCCCTCATTTGTCATGCAAAATTCCAAATCCACCCTTTGCCTGTTAGCACTGTTGGCATGACAGACTCCGGAATCCAAAAGGAATTTGTCATGCAAAAGCTGCATCTTTTGCTTTTCCAGAGCCAGCGCTTGCGTTGCTGTTCATGCAAGACAAATGTGTTGTGCACTCTCATACGCCAAGCAGTCGGAGCAGGAAAACGCGAACCACAACAGCGGACCGACCACCAAATCGGTCATGAACACGAAAACGTTGCGGAAAATCGCGCACTATCAAATGCAAAAATGTCTGGGTCTGGAAAAATGGAAATGCAACTTGTGATGCTGCGTTTGGATGTCTAAAAAATTTGTGTTGCGTGAGCAGCTAAAGAAGGCTAATTTTTGCTACGCGGAGAGGGCATTTGTCATGCGATATAGGCATCAAGAATCCCTCAAAAAACCTGTGATGCTAGGGCATGCATCACACACATCATGGCTCATGCAAACCGTGCATGACAAGGCTCAGAATCTTCCAGATCCAGACATTTTTGCATTTGATACGCACAACTTCCTTCTGTCCTGCGCGGTGCTGCACAAAAAGGGGCTGGCACATTTGGATATCAAACCGGAGAACCTGATGAGTTGCCAGGGCAGTTGGAAGCTGATTGACGTGGACGGCTGTGTGCCGCTGCAAACGGAAATCAGCATCAACGACAGTATTAGGTCTTCATGTGTCCTCGCGGTGTAGTTTTTGTTGATTCATCGAGTGGTCTCTTCTCGCATCAAGAATTTGAATCTATCATGCCATGGCAGCTTGGTCGAGAAGCCGAAAAAGGTAATTAAAGTTCTACTTCACGTGTCCCATGCTGAGCACGACAAAGTATAAATTCAAAAACTTACTACAGGCACGATCTCCTTTTCTCCCTGCTATTGCGCACCGGAGTGGGCTCACTTCTTGATCGAGGACCTCGAGAAGATGACGGTGTCCGCCGCGCTTGACGTGTGGTCGGTGGGGGTGTCTCTCCTGGAATTAATCGCGTTCGACGCCGTGTTGAAGCCAAAATACGCCTCGTTGTACAAGGAAACGGGGTCACACCGGAAAGCCGGGTTTCTCTTCCTCGAATGGTTGTCCTCGAAGGACGAAAATGCGATTGATCGGTTGGACTTGATCCAGGACATCCGGAAAAAAGCGGACCCGCTCTTCGTCGATCTGGTGCTGAACCACATGCTGAAAAAACACCTCCCAAATCGGTGGAGTTTGGCGCAGTGTCTCCAGCACTCGTTTTTCACCTCGGGCGGGTTCATCGAGCGGGCGCTGTCAAATAAAGGAGAGCAGAATTATGCCGGAACATCATCTTCGGGCGGGGCGCACAGAACAAGCAACAACATCAAAACTACCTCATCTTCGTCCCAGCAGGGGCAGTATCAAAATTCATCCAAGGAGAAGGAACAAATTGCTTCCGGTGGTTATACAAGTACTTCTGGTCAACATCATCAACGCTCTCCCTTGGGAGCGGACCACATTACCAGCCCGCAGACCTCGGACCGGCAAATCAAGTCCGAGTCCAGTTCTAAGGAGCGGGAAAAACAGTTACTGCAGCACCAAGAGCAGCATCAGACGAATTTGTCTCTACCGGGGAAGTTGGCGACCACGCCCTCGACGAGCAAAGAAAACCTCGGGAGCGGTGGCGGGGCATTGCTGGGCACCAGCCCATCAATACTTCGGGCGGATGAGGAAGAGAGAATGTTGGTGAAGAGCATTAAGGAGCGACGGAAGGAAAGAGTAATAGATTTTAATTACATGGATTCATCCTTATCGTATGTTGATGTTGTTTCCCATTTATTCTTTCTTCTGTTATGCGCATTAGGAAAGAATTCCATTTATAGGGCATCAGCATCGTGCCGAGACATGAATGCGCACGAAAAAAAACTCTCTGTGTCATCAGATGGAAGAAGCCACCAACAGCGCCCCAGAGGACGAGAACAAGCCGCCGCTGCTCAAGGGCGTTCTGTGGAAACTGAATTCCGACGGGGATTGCGCGAATCCGGAGCACTGGCTCCGGAGGGATGTGTGGCTGTCGGCGAACGGGAATTTGTGCTATTACTCGCAGAAAAAGAACAAACGACTGATTTTGCTGGACAACGAAAATCTCGCACGGGCGGAAATCAGCAGTTCTTTGAGTACTACTAGAGCGAATGCCGAAGATCATGGAAGTACTACAACAGGTCGGACTACCAGTAGTTTCAGCAACAATGCCTATCCGTTTTATCAACTGTAAAAATGTCTGGGTCTGGAAACTTGTGATGCCGGGTGGCGTCTCATGATGAGGCTACAAATGCTGGCCCCGCATGACAAGTTTCTGAGCTCCTAGGTATTGCCTATTCTGCATGACAAACTGCGCATCTGCATCACAGAAAAACGCAGCTCTTGGGTAACGTGCATGACAGATTTAAGAGTCATGCCAGACAAGCATGACAAACATAAATTCTTCCAGACCCAGACATTTTTACAGTTGATACGTTTGTGATCCAGTTGAAAGTGAAACAAAATCAGAACAACGCGAAGGATCTGGATATGGCAATGGGAAATGCTTTTTTCTGAAAACTTTTTTTTTTTGCCACATATAAATTACCCGTCGCGGTGAGTAGATGGCTTTTTGCCGGAAAAAATCGACTGCGTGGCAACAGCGTCTGCAGTGGTATCCTGAGCTCGCTAGCCTGACGGCAAGAAGATTACCGCACTCGGGGCCCACTGCGTCACGGGTTTGGGTCCGGCGTGGCCGGCGTAGATGTCGGAAGGCCAGCCCCTGCAGTGCTGCCACTTTAATGAAAGCAATACGCGGGCAGCCCAAGGCCGGACGTGCTGCGGGTTGGAGCCAACAGCAGGCCCACGCCCCAGCAGGAGAAACAGGCTCCCGCGCGCAGCTTCAAAATAATTCAAATCCATACTCGGCAGCGCCGACGACAGTGATGCCAGGGCCGCGGCGCTCCTCCGGGCCTGGGTCTCGGGGTGCGGTTCTTCGCCCCAGCCTCTTTTGCCAGGGGGCTAGCAGAGTTCCTTCCTCGGCTGCAAGTTGAAGTCCTCGGGGGGTCCCCCCAAGGGGCCCCCCAACCCCCCCCCCCCCTTTTGGGGCCTTTGCCGAGAGCTACTCCCCATTGATATCTCCACGAAGGGGGGTCCCCCAAACCCCCCCCTCAAGGGGGGGCCCGGCCGCGCTTTTTGTTTCCGCAAGTTTGCGGCTTTTGCAAGAATGCGTCTGGAACAGTGACAGCGCGAATTCGGCCAAGACGGGGATCTGTACAGCCTGGCCCGGAACAAACCCAAAGACGCCGAAGTTCTCAGCCTGCTCTGCGTTTGTCTATTGGGGCACTTGGAAAGCTGGGGCGGGCGACGCCTAGAGGTCACGCGCGTTTCAGACCGCCGCATCTGAGCGAGCCATTCAGAATTTCGCTGACTTACCCCGAGCCTCTGCCCCATACACAGAAGCCGCGGTGGGGGCATTGTGTGTCAAGTACCTTGAGCCCAGAGCGCCAAGGACCGAATCCATGGCCGCGGCTACTCCGGAGGCCGCATCTCTTTCGCGTCCCAGGTAGCTAGCTAAGTACCAAGAGCCGCCAACTCGCTTAGACAGATCTATTCTGCGTGTGCCCGCTTGTATGCCTATGGAGTGCCGTAAGATCATATGTGGCGAAAAAAAAAAGTTTTTTGAAAAAAGTAGTTGATCCAGTTGAAAGTGAAACAAAATCAGAACAACGCGGAAGATCTGGACGCTTCTACTGCGGAGGATCTCGTCCTCCCGTCCCCAGATACGGAAATTCAGCGGTACGCCTGCGAACACAAGGAGGATCTGCAGATGTGGCTGAAGTTTTTGGAAAAGGCGGCGCAGAAGAAGATGAACGATTATGAGAGTGCACAACAACTGCTTGCGTTTTCCCGCGGCCTCATTTGTCATGCAAAATACCGAGAGTCCGTGTGCGTGTGCGTGTCCGCTTCTCGCCTGTAAGCAGTCTATGCACGACATGACAACAAGCTTCCCACGAAGAACTCGAGCAGTACTAGAATTGCTGTGCGGATTAGGTGGATTTGTCATGCGGAAGCTACTAGAGCTACTTACACTTCTGGCAATGCTTCTGTTGCGCATGCCACTTGTGCTCCTCTTCAAATTATGAGGGGAGCGAATAAAAAGGGGAAGTTGTTGTGCACTCTTATAAGGAAGACATCGAAGATCTTTCCTTTCTGATGAAAAAGGCGAAGTTAGTGGACATGAAGCTGCTCTGCCAAATCCGGAATAGAAGGGCGAAGATTCCGGATGACACCGCCAGTACGGTCGGGTCGGTCAACGACGAAAGTAACCAGCAGAACAATACGCGTATACAAGTATGTCTGGTTCTGGAAGACTGCTGCAATGTTTGTCTCATGCTTCGGTGATAAACGAGATCGAGAAAACAACCTGTCTTGCCTATTGCGATGCAGTTGCAGCCCCCTCTCTTTGCCATGCAATAAGAGATCCAATTGAATTTCTCATGCGCGTAAAAATTACGGAAGTCATAGCACTAGCAGCTGAAAATCTTGTGAGGCGTTGCTCCATTGAGCAGGAGTCTGCTAGCTTACCAACCACGCATGATCAGCGTCACAAGTCTGTTCCAGACCCAAAAACACTTGCAATTCATAAACAATAATGCTGCCTTGCGCTCCTCTGCGGAACTATACCGGCCGGTGTTTAAGCGAGAGCTGTGGAAATTAAACCAGAACGGGGAGATATCGTAGCGAAAAAATTGTCTCACCGTGGTGATTTTGCAAAATCTGCATCACAAGTTTGTTACGCATGTATGACACTGAAAATATGTCATGCGGGGTTCCTCCGAGAAAACACAGCTAGAAACCCAGCGTCTTGCATGTGCAGCATGACACACACTTTTGCAATCCATCTTCTGCATCACAAGCTCACAGTGAAACAGTTTTTGCTTGCGATAGGAGATCATGAACGAAGAGCACTGGTTGAAAAGGGAAATGTGGCTCGCGAGAAACGGGGCGTATCCGGAGTAAAAACGTTCCCACATCATAATCAAGTTGCAAACTCTGCAACACAAATCCAGAAGTTTTGGGAGCCACGCATGACAAGTTCGTCTCTGTATTGTAGTGCATGTTAGCAAGGACAATTGCATCATGAACCCGTCTCCTCATCCTGTTTACAGCATTACAAATGCCAAAACCCGATTAGAAATGGCTCTGATAGGGATCATGCGCATTACAAGTCTTCCTGTCTTTGCAAATCTGCATGACAACTCTGGAGTGGGGACGTTTTTATTCAGGATAGGGCGTTCTGCTACTTCAGCAAGAAAGAAGACCGTGAGTTGCAGTACTACACGGCGGATGACATCTATCGTAGGAAAAAAGTGTTACAGTTACACATTGTGTTGCAAGCCCAGCATGACAGACAGCCTCTGTCATGCCGGATAAGCCTAGGAACCTTGTTTCATACGTGTTTTCCCGTAGGATTTCTGCATTGCAAGTTTTCTCTCTAATGCAAAGAAATTTGTGTTGCTGCATTGACAATAGATGTGTAACTGTAACACTTTTTTCTTGGGATAACATCAAACACGTACACTGCGCGGAGGTACTCGTAATAAGTAGCAAATTTAAATAAAAGGATTAGCATGACATCAGCCTGCATTTCTTTGTGATGCATAGACCCCGCAGTTGGGTACATCATCATCATCATCATGCAAAGACCGTGCGAGGATGCGTATTATAGAGGAAAGAATAAGAAAGAACGATGCATTTCCATTTGTAAAAAAGAGCCAGCACCTCCTGATTTATTACCTGTTCTCTCAGGTCCCCTACCCCGAGCAATCTTGCCGCCCGTGGACTTTTTCGATGACTTTGAAAGCGCAGGACGGCGTGGAGTTCGCCCCCGGTGTGTATCAAACGGAAAAATCCCCCCTCCCCATATCGAAATGGAAATCTGTGATGCAGGATTTGAGGTACCAAATCGACTTGTCATGCTAGAAGGCCAAGAGCCGCAGTCGTGGTCTCGTTTGCAGGCAATTTGTCATGCTGTTTCCCACTCTCAGCTGCCTCCTATCATGCTGAAGATGCAAGGCTCCCCCACGCCACCCAGCACTACAGTCCGCATCTTTTCCCGTGTAGCATGACAAAGCTGATTTGTGACAACAAATCTGCATCACAGATTTCCGTTTTGATATGGGGAAGGGGATTTTTCCTTTTGATAGTGTTTTTGCGGCCACCAGTGAGGACGTCATGAAAACCTTCCTGGGCTGTATCCGGAAATTCCAGGAAAAGCACCGGCGGAGGCAAGAAGCGCGGGAACAAAAATCAAAGGAGGCCACAGCTGCTGCTGGAGGGAGTAGCAGCACGAGGCACTGAAGAGATGTTGTACTTGTTTACAAAAAAAGTTGATGAAGGTCTATCTAATCTAAAACCTGAACTTGTACACAGCACACGGTGATTTTCGCTGACTCAAGCGGAAGGAGCCACAGGCGATTTCATTTTGTCACGACGTGTAGAAAAAAAAAATCATGATGCAGCAGATGTAGTGCAGTAAAATTTGATTTGAAATAAAGGTAGAAATTATACGACGAGCATTATCAAGGTTACATATGTCGAAGTTTCAGTCATCAAAGCGGGTCTATTCTCGCACATTGTATGAAGAGTGCAAAACTCAGTATAAGAATAAAGCGAAGCAGTCCACTCCTGCTATCTCATGAAAAAGACCAAATATGAAGATCATGCTTTCGTCAAATAGTAAGAAGTACTCCAGTTTTATTGTAAAATCGTATTCGTATGTCAGAGTGAGAAGTAGAACACTAAAGTAAGAGCGTAGGAGGTATGGTCGTGAGGATCTATGAAGGCAAGCAGGTAGTAACCTAAAATGAAGTATGCAGCGTGAGGCAACAGGCAGAGGTAGTCATCTCTCTTGTCCTAGCAGGAGTTTGCGAAAAAATTCGAGGTTGTTTTCAACTCCTCCTGAATTTGCTTGTCATGGATCTTCACCTTTTTGTGCTAAGATAAATATCCAGAAATGTTGAAAAATGGAGAATACACTGACGTCGACAAGAATTGCGTGTCAGAGTCAGTTCATTGAATTGATTGTCGTGGTTGTTAAAGAAATGACTGAAATTTTCTTTTCTTTACCGCATAGAAGTACGTAGCAATGGTGCACGAAACGACGGAGCGCGAGTGGAACCCCTTGTAGGTACATGTTTCAGAAACACATTGAAATATCAGAAATGTGTTCCAGCAGGAGCTGAGACGAAAATGAAAGTGAGCATTGAACCCTGTGCTGCAGGCAGAGAAACTGGAGCCGCCGGTTTCCGTTTTTTGATGACAAGAGAAAAATTCGGAATCAATCCAACTCATCAAGATCGAAAACGCAAAAGCAGTCCTGCAGCGTTGTTCGCACTGTTTTTTCTTCTCTTGCAACATCGCGGTTTTTTTTCCATGGATGTTTGTTGTATGAGCGGAGGAGAGACGGTGTTTTTGGTTGGCTTCCGTTTGTTTTTTTAATCCCAGTCGAAATTCTGTTTTTTTTTTTTTATGGCTGACGTGGGGCTCGTGCTGTCCTATCCGAATCTGCATTTGTTTCATCCTGTGAAAAAATGCTTTATGTTAACGTTCCTTAATACCCCGTGCGTCTTCTGCCACAGGGACTCAAAATCGATTTTTCAGCCTGCGAATAAAGGTAAATTTTACCACAACTTTTTACAATGTGTTTCAACGTTCACAACGACCATAAATGAACTTGGCGTCTGTTTTTACTGAATCGGGATCTTGTATGACCTGTAATCTTTGATTTGACAACATGAAAACAGCACAATGCTTCCATGAATCCGCTTGAAGAGGCCCGCCGAAAAGTTCGGGAACGGAAAGAACGCGAGCAGGCAGAACGCGACGAGCAGCAGGCGCGAATCCAGCGTGAGCTCGAAGAGGCTCAACGCTGGAGTCTGAGAAGTTTGATAACGGTACGTGAAAATTGATTTTTTATTCGATAATTTTGATTTAGATTTAGTCAGTGTCTATGTCTTTTGGTTTGACAGGGACAGAGAAGTTTTTGTTTCGTATTGAAGAACTCGAACAACACCTACAATTCCTCGTAGTTGTCCGCATTTTCCAAAAAATGACGCCAGATGCTCTGTTGCGGCGGTGCGAACAGGAATCAGAATAGGATGCCGGGCGGTGCAGGCACTTTATTGCAGGATGCTGATTCGACGGGAAACGCCACCAGTCCCGGGGGCAAGGCGCTCTCTGGAGGTGCGAGCAAGGCCGACGGGAGGAACAAAGATGCAAACAAAAACAACCTGCCGCTTGTGCTTGGCAAGTACGAGGTGCAGCAGGGAAGGGCGGGAGTGCTCGGGGAAGGCTCGTTTTCCGTGGTACAGCGGGGAACTGATGTGAATACGGGCAAAGTGGTCGCGGTGAAGACGTACAAGATCAGCAGTAAAGACACCGCGGAGGACATGGAAAATTGCGTCACCAAATTCAAGAGGCAGATCGAGGTAAGTGTGATTCGCTGTGAAAGCATCACAAATTTTTCGCGTGACTTTCATTCTTTGTGTGTGGATTTGATTGATATCTTGTGCACGATAAATTGTCAGTGATTCGTATTAATTTACGTGCATGGCAAAGAAAAAGAATCGAAAGGTCGAGAACATCAATCTCAGGTCCTCCAAATGCTGATGGAACCCCTGGACAAGAAGTTTGTGACCGGCAACACCCAGACCGCCAACCTGCACCACCCGGTTCTCATGAAGATCGACCCAAGGAAGTGTTTTCTCGAACTCCTTGATTTTTCGAAGGACAAGAACGGGAAACCGGGGCCGGACATGAAAGACGGAAAACTGTATGTGGTAACGGAGGTGGCGGACTACAGTTTGAAAGACTATCTCGGGCAGAAATTAGCGGAGAACGGGACTTTGTCGAGGGAATCCGTGCGACAAATCTGCAGGTCGTTTCTGATCGCTATGGCCATGCTGCATGTGAAAGGTACAAGTTGTTTTTACCTGAATGTGAACTCGACCTACTTGCAAATTAATCATGTTGGCCATTTTGTTCAATTTGTTCTCAGAACAGCCGTGAATAAGTATTTTCTGGCAGGTACTATGATAAAAGCAAATCATGAAACTGCCTATATTCAGGTCTTGTCCACCTGGACATGAAGCCGGAGAACATCATGCGCGCTGGCGACTATCCTGAGTAAAAACGTCCCCACACCAGAGTCAAGATGGGAAATCTGCAACACAAATTTCCAAGCTTTAGGAGCTGCGCATGACAACTTAACATCTGCAGTGTAGTGCTGGTTAGCAAGGGAAGCCGCATGAGAAAGCCATTTTCTCATCCTGTCCACAGCATCACAAATGCTAAAACACGATTGGAAATGTCTGTCATGGAGATTGGCGTTACAAATTTTCGTGTCATGGCGGATTTGCATGACATTCCTGGGGTTGGAAGTTTGCGAGTTGCGAGTTGGAAGTTTGCGAGAATCAGAGTAAGGAATTGTTGGCAAAAAAAGCGAGGCGTTTTTCAGTTGGCAAGTTGGCACAGTATGGTTGTTGGCAAGTTCGCACTTTATTTTGTCATGCATGACAAACCACTACTATTTAGCAGTGTCTGTACAATTTTCCACTCCATAATACCCCCGGCCCCGGTGTATGACTAGTTCTATAACTAACTGCCTGGTGCCGGTTGCTGCTGCTCGTGCTCGTCGACCTCGTGCGTCCCTTTTCAACAACTTGATGCAACTACACGCGATGTTGGACTGCTTTACCCTGCTGTACTTTCGGTGACTGATGACCGCCTGCGCCGTCTATGCGGATGGTGGGCGCAAGGACCTCCACCCGGTGTGCTCGTGGTCCTGGATTCGACGTCACTATTTCGGCCGACCTCACGATAGGTTTGCTCGCGGTCCTCTATCCTGTGCCTGCTCTTGCCCCACGTCTTGCGCGACTCCTGCTCCTGTTTCTGCTGCGGACTAGATAATTCTGGGTGGGACCGCCGCCGATGTCGCTACCCCTGCCGATTTTACAAAGGGCCCCCTGACCAAGCATTGTCCAGTTGCTGCACTTGCTCCACATATGCCTCTACGCCTGCTCTCGATACTACTTTGGATCCGATCGGTCGCGATATGCCGCTGCGACACATTCCAGCATACCATCAGCGCGGGCTGCTTCCGTGGGGCGACATCAATCTCGCCTACGACCAGTGGGGCTCAACCGACCCGCCCCCCCCCTATTTAAAAAATTCTAAGTCCAAAAAAAAAAATTTTTGATTATTAGTCTTAGGCACTGCACGTGCGAGGCTCCGTGTAAGTAATTACTTTCTGAACTTTTATCTTGTGCTGCTTGGCCGACTTTATTTCTATTTACCTTAGCTCGGGGCCGCATCCCTGTCGCTTTCCTTCGCCTATTCTCGTTTTCAAAATTTAAATATATTTCTTTCTACACTTTCTGTTCTCGGTTGCATTATATTGACCCACGCGTGGACCTACTTACTATTATTCTTTTGTGGGCCGCACCCCACCACTTATTTTGCCTACCTCTCCTTGCGGGCCGCATCCCGCTATGCTATCTACTTCCTGACTTTTATCGTCGGCGCCGGCACTTTTAGTTAACTTTTGATTTGCCATTCATCCGTTGTTCGGGGCCGCATCCCCACTTTTCGTTCGCCTTTAGCCTTTCAGCTTTGGTGCTGGATTTCGGGCCGGGTGTCCCTCGTTTTTCCTTTTTTCTATTTTCTCTTAATGTATCCAAGATTTATCTTTTCTTGAAGGGCCGCATCCCTTCTAGTTATTTTCCTTCATCAGATCTCCAGGTAGTTTATGCGTGATCCCAGGTTTTCCGACAAAGCACTGTTTTGCATGCGTCAGGAAAGCCGCCTTGGGTGCTATGGTACTTGAGGACGTGTTATATGTCTTGGGCGCACGTACATACTAGCCTGCAGGGACGGCGGAGCCGGAAAAAAATGGCGCAGTATGGTTGGTTGGTGAGATCAGAGTTGGGATATAGTGGCCGGGAGATGATGGTGATGGCACTTCGGTGTCCGCCTGACCCACCCGCCCTGCGTGCCAAGCCATCTGCGGCCATGGTACAATGGGGGGGCAAAGTGTGTCGCATTTTGTTTAGCATGACATTCCTGGGGTGGGGACGTTTTTACAAATGATAGCGACACATGGAAGGTTATCGACGTGGATGGGTGTACCCCGCTCGGCAAGCAGATCTCCATTAACGACAGTTCCATATCCTTCTCCCCCTGCTACTGCGCTCCGGAGTGGGCCAACTTTCTGATTGAGGACGGCGACTTTTTGAAAGTGGGGCACCAACTGGACGTGTGGAGCGTGGGCGTGTCGCTCTGTGAGCTGATCACCCTCGACGCGGTGTTAAAACCGAAGTACGTCTCGATTTACAGAAACACGGGCTCCCACAGAAAAGCCGGGTTTCTGTTTCTCGAGTGGCTCGCCAACGGAAAGGAGGGGCTGGCACTGGATCAATCGGTACTGTATTGAATCAAAACGCTGACCACCACCAGATATATCTTTCTGTAGCTCCTAGTCAAGTTAAAAACAAAAACTTTTTTGTTTGTACAACACTGCAAAAAGCAAAAGTTTTTGAGCACAACGACTTGATTTTCGTGTGCTACAACTATACCTCTCGTCCGCCACAGATTTCGAAATTCGACCCCGAGTTTACGGATATGGTGCTGACCCGCATGCTGAATAAGAACCCCATGGCCCGCGTCTCCCTGTATCCCAGAGAAGAAAGCAGGCAGGTCATATTTGTATATGCAAGAATAAACACACCGAATCAGAAAAATCTGTCTTGGGCGGCCCCGTAGCATGCTGTTTAGGATATGTCTTTGTTTGTTTGTTTTTGCATAACAAATATGACCTGCCTTTTTTTTTCTGTGGGATACCCTGGCCGACATGCTGAATCATAACTACGTGAAGGACTGCATCGTGCCCGGCCTGGATACGACGATCGACAAGAAGCAGGAGCACCTGGGCGACAAGGAAAAGGTGAAAAAGCACCGGTTGGAGCGCTTGGAGGTGAAGGAGACCGACCAGCCACCGCTGATCAAGGGCGTCTTGTGGAAACTGAACTCGGACGGGGACAAGGAAAACGTGGAGCACTGGCTGCGACGGGACGTGTGGCTCGACTGCAAGGGCAACCTGTGTATGCATTGCAAATATGTCTGGGTCTGGAAGGCTGTAACTTGTGATGCTACCTGTACCTTTGCACTCTACATAAGATCTGTATTGCATGAAAAGCAAATAAAGAGGTGCGCTTTTTGCTACGCGGGGAGAGAATTTCTCATGCGGTACGAGCATCAAGGAGCCCTCGCAGAATCTCTGATGCTAGGGCATGCATTACAGACATCAGTGGTCATGCAAAATATGCATGACAATCCTGGCACTTTTCCAGACCCAGACATTTTTGCACTTTGTACTGTGCTACTACTCCCAGAAAAAGAACAAGCGGCTGGTGATCCTGGACGTGAAGCACCTGGCCACCGCGAAACTGAGCAAGACCGGGGAGAAGTCGGTCGACAGTCTGAAATGCGCGTTGCCGCACGTCATCTGCGTCGACTTCGTTTTGGAAGAGTCCGAACTGTCCGACGAAACCAAAAACATATTGAAAGGAAAAAATTCCCCTCCCCACATTGAAAAGGTATGTTTCCGAAAATCTGTGTTGCTGATTTGAGGCCACAAATCACATTTGTCTTGCAAGATGGCAACGCCACAGGTTCCGCCGCATTTTGCAGGCGGTTCGTCATGCTGTTGGGCCTACAGCGCAGACGCTTGTCATGCTAAGCGCCTAGGCCAAAGCCTCTCTACCCAGGCTTGATATGGGCGCGCAGTCCTCTCCAGCAAGACAAATTTGATTTGTGTACACAGATCCAGCATCAGAAATTCCGTTTTGATATGGGGCGGGGGGATTTTTCCTTTCGATAAAACGCGCACGAAACCCAGTACTACGCGGCCGAGAGTCACGAGGAGTTGAAAAAGTGGTGCAAGGCGTATAACCTGCTCAGGTGTTACAATCTCAAACGTTACAATAGAGTCTGGAACTTGTGAAGCAAGAAGTGCATTATCTGGCCAACTCTCATAGGATTGCGCATGACAAGTTCTGGAGTCCCAATCCGCACTACGATCTGGCGAAATTTGTATTGCAAAAAGTGGAATGCTGTCCGAGTCTGTCATGCTCATCATGCAATATAAGACCAAGACTCTATTGAAAAGTTTGAGATTGTAACGTTTGAGCAGGTCATAAAGCGCTCGAGAACGTGATCCAGAACCCGGACAAGTTTGACGTCACCGACGGGCTGGCTGGAAATCAGAAGGTGCACGTGTCGGCTATGGCCCGCTCAGGTGTTACAATCTCATCAAGTCGGTTCTTACCATAGAGTCTGGAATAAATCTGTGATGCAAGAAGAAGTGCATGAAGATCTAGTTGTAGCCAGGTTTCACAGGATTGCGCATGACAAGTTCTGGAGTTCCAAATCGCGCCAGAATCTCCTTGAGAAATTTGTATTGCAGAGAGCGGAAGAACTCGTCTCTGCGAGTCTGTCGTGCTCATCATGCAGGACAAATTCCAAACTCTATCGTTGTAACGCTATAAGATTGTAACACCTGAGCGAGTTATATCGGCCAGCATGGTAGAGGAGTTCCGGGAACTGCGGAAAATGCGGAACCGAAGAGAAAAGATCGATAACCACCCGCAGTACCAACCAGTTTTTGAGAAGGAGTTGTGGAAACTGAATTCGGACGGTACCTGAATTTTTCAGGCTAAGGTTTGTGATGTCAACACTGATTGTCAGATTGCATTGGCTGTTGTTTTCTTATCCGGTTTCCACTCTGTGTTGATAATTCATTTTCACTTCGATCACAGGTGACGCGCTCCAGGAGACCGACTGGACCTTCCGAAAGATGTGGCTCGCAAAGAACGGCGCGCTGTGCTATTTCAGCAAGAAGGAAAACAAGGAGCTGATGTACTACCGCCCGGAGGACATCCGGCAGGTAACCTACCGAAAGTTGAAGTACCCCCAGGAGTGCTGCCGACCGCACGCGTTTGAGCTGGCCCTGAAAACCAGCGGGGATAAGGAGCTGGAATTCGCCCCCGGAGTGTTCGCGGCAGAGGAGGAGAGCGTGATGGCGATCATCTTGGGGTGCATCGAAAAGTACCAGAAAATCAAAAACTCCGCAACCAGCAGCTGAACCACGATAGGCCGGCGTATTTGAATCATAAAGCGGTTCTTTGCTCATCTCAGCACGTGCTGATGGAGGATTTATTTTTCCGGTATCATGTTGAACAAGTCGTTCACTTCTGTTTTTGGTGCGAAAAAATTACGATATCACGACAGATTTATGTCTGTGCACGCGACAGAACAATTAGAGGAATAGAAGAAAAAAACTTACTGAAGTACTAGAAGACTCTTTCGTTTGGGAAATCATATTTATAGCCAAACTATCGAAATGCGAATTTTTACCAAAGACAACCTCTGGCTCGGACAGTACTACTTAGGAAGGTTTCTTAACGCATGTAGCACTTTTTTATCCGTTTCACACCCAGCCACGTCCGCAAAGGATAGACCAGAATTGTTCATTGTATGCTATTGCTGTAAAAATTTATTTTCTAACATCGGTGGAGACTCAGAAGGTTTTCAGAAATACCAGAACAGAGGTAGTACAATTTTACCCAGAAGAAAACATGCAAAATGTGAGTCTACTACAAGTACAAACGACTATACATAGACGATGAGAATCAATCCTGAAGGTCCCACAACATATCGTGGTGCGTAGTAGGACCAACAACATGATGAGGTGCAATTTGGGTCGCAAGTGATAGACATCGAAATGGAAATTGCATATGCGGATCGAAGACATATTATGTTTATCTTGTAACTGTGGCTAATTGCGAGGATTACAACCACGGAAACCGCTGGGTCCGAAGCATCGGGAGGTGCAGCACGACCATTCCCACTGTTCCTTTTGAAACAGACGAGATGATGGGCGGTAGTTTTACGTAGTATTTTTCTTTATTTTTCTGCCGTCGCTTAAAGGAAACCGAAAATTAAAAGATAAAGAATTATTGAGCGAGTCATCTAGTACTTGCAGATTTGTTTTCCATCTTGGTGCAGGCTGCATTGTTTCGGAACGAATCCTACATTGTGAAAAGCGAAAGCCCCCGCATCCCGCTGCCAAGTCAATTTTTTCTTTCTCCCGGATTGATTATGATTTCGTGATAAGTAGAGCTACGTACTATTCTATTGTGCCTTCATTTTTGCTGTTGTATGTTTGTAGTTGGTTTACAAGTTGTTGCGCTTTCTTTGCGCATCAATCTTCACGACTGATTCAATCCAAAAAAAGACAATGTGTCCGAACCTCACGCCCGCCAGTGCCAGCTCCTCCTCGACCGGAGGCTCGCCCTCGGCGTCTGCAGCAAAGCCACTGTCACCACCTGAACCAACCGAGATCTTCTGCCACTTACCACTTCCAAATGGGACTTTTTACACCCGAAAAGTCAACATAATCGATTACGGTATGACGTTTGCGATGGTAAAAAGACACTTCCTGCAGGATGCGCAGATTGCCCACCCGGAGATTCTGGGTAGCAGTCAAAAATGGCAGTTTTTCACCGACCAAAATTTCTGCATTCCAGACGTGAACCCGATTGGGATGTTCTGCCCCTTACCACTTGTGGAAAACGGCAACAGTAATACAACACGACGGGGTATCCAATGCAAATGATGTGCCTGGGTCTGGAAGACGCCCGACGCTTTTCAGGCGGTTTGCGCATGTGCGCGAAGGGCGGGATACATAGCACGGAAAGCATGGCAAGTTCTTTTCTGCGGGGGCTTCTCCATGCCTTGTCTGCATAAGAAAACTTCCGTCCCCGCCTGGAGACAAAAATTGCGCATCTTTTTTTACTGACTGTGTATACAGCACAGAAGATTTTTCGTCCTTTCAGAATCCGCATTTGAAGTTTGCTTTCTTCCAGAGGGCAGTTCCTGGCTCGCCTGGGCAGTGCCCAAGAAGCTTGCTCCACATTGCGTTCTTCCAGACCCAGACATGTTTGCAATGCATACAGGGTAAAAAGATCGAGGAAGACGAGAAACGGTTTGCGATATGAGAGTACACAACTAGTACCCCAGGTTCTCAATTCTCATGCAAAACAGTAACTCCACACTTTCCCTCGTGGTCCTGTCACTACTATGCATGATAGGTCCATCTTGCAGCCCAAACAGCATCACAACCCTGGGAAAACTTTATCTTGCAAAACCAGGGGGAGTCGTGAGGTTGTGCACTCTCATACAAGAAGCACGAGTACTACAAAATTGCGGAAACAGCACCTGACTTTCACGACGATTTTTTTCTGAAGCCAGCGACCGAGAACAGCGAAAACTCCTTGTCGAAGGGGAATGAACTGTCCTACTACTACGCCCACGGCACAAAGGCGGACAGTAGCAGCAGCCAAAATAGTACAACGGCGCGGGCGCCGCTTGAGCTATCGCAGACAGCGTCGAAGGGAACAATATGCTCTGCAAAAGTTGTATCATAGTCGTACTAATTGCATTCGTGCAGGACAAATCCTGTTTCATAGCCAAATCAGCGTTAGGAATTCCATTTTTCCTCCTGGAAAAGTTTGTGATGCGATTTATAGATACTTACTAGAACGATACTTTTTTTGCAATCCATAAACAAGTGCGACGCACAACAAAAGGCAAAGTCCGTTCGGAACCAACATCGAATTGTACGAGACAATCACAAAGTATAGATGGTTTGTCGTTATGTGTTGAGCTCCTTTGATTTGTCATGCGGAGCTGCGTTTTACCTTTACAATTACATGCAGATACAGACCTCGTTTTGATGTTTTTGGTCTTGATATGCAGAACGCGATCGCAAAAATGACCGCATTGCATCAAACATGCAGGTACTCGTTCGAAGATCACAACAACACGACGGTGAAAGTGTTCGTTCCGCTCGACAACGTGGGCAAACTGGACGCGAGCAAGGTCGAATCGAGGTTTGGCGAAAGGTATCATAAGGACATAGATACTCATACTCTTGTTTGTTTTCGGCGCATAAGAGTTTAGTGAGGACGCATTAGTAGGCTGGAAAGAACGAAAACGAGAAGCAAGAGCGTCTTTAGTGCCTTTTCTCCTTGTTATGTGGCGTTGTATCATTGTGACTTTAGAATCCGCCACCCCAGGTCCTTCGAGCTCCTTGTCCACGGTTACCAGGGAAAGAATTGGCGACTCGGGTGCGCAAAGACGCACGAATTCATCAACGTGGAGAAGTCACGACACGCGATCCGGAACAACAAAGTCACGCTCTATTTGCACAAAGCGTATCCACTGCACATATCGATCTGGGTCTGGAGGAAGGCAGATGTAATCGAATCCGTCATGATCCTGCATTAGCATTTTGATTTTTGTTTTTCTGACCTACAAGAGGGCTTTATGCAGCAAGAGCAACAAGCAGAGCATATCCATATGCATAACTAAAAACAAGTTACGCAGGGGCCTTTCCTTGCTTGCTAACGGGAATGAAAAGAACAAGTGCCGCTCCTCCCCGAGAAACAAGCGCACTTATGTTGCTTAGGAAGCCTCATTTTCTTGTTTCGGTGCTACAGAACCAGAAGCAGCATCACTATCACAAGTTTGCATCCTTCGAGGCCCAGATGCCATGCTTGCAATGCATAGAGTGAACGACGGCGCGATCTGGTTTGACTTGTTTAAGAAGAAAGCCATTGGGGATGATGAGAAGCCATGATGAGCAAAGCGAAACCATAATGACAGAAAAAGTACATATTCAATCACACGAGTATAATACTTAATCGAAAATAAAAAAAAAAACTTTTTGGCAGAAAACCACCAGAAGAACTGGAAAGAAACATCGGCTGCGCACTTGGGCAGCAGAAATAATCATCAACTTGTTCGTCGATAACTAAGAAGATTAAGTCGGTTTATTATTCTAGCTGCTCTTTCCCTTTGTCTTTCAGAACTGTCCCGACGGACGATGAAAATCAAAATAACGAGAGGGCACCAGCCTTATGATCTCACTTTCTTGCGTCGGTCGAAAAAATTTGGTGGCGAAATAAAGAAAAAGTTCGATTTCAACATCAACCATTGCAGTCACTTGGTCAATTCAAGCTCATCTGGCTCTGAAAGTAGTCGTCCAGACTACTCCAAGATTCACATAGGCAAGGTGAAAAACGCAGAAGAAACTTTATTCCTGCAGAAGAAGCAGTAGCAGGGCATGACTTGAGAGGTGAAAAAGATTACGGCCAGAACTAGTAGATGTAGAACCACCCGAACAGGAGCCTTTGTTTTTGCACTGCCATCATTTTTCGATGAGATGAGCGCGATTTTTCCCAACCTTTTGTCGAACGAATTGGAGTCAACATGATCAGAAAAGATACGTCTTTGCGGAAGTGGCAGTGCCGCGTTTATGGCAGTGGGCGCAACCCACCAGGATGCAGAGGAGGCAAGAAAGCCGACCTGCCGCGTTCTCACGTATGACTCGCAATGGCTGTGGTAACGAGTGTATCTGAGTCACGTGGTGGACAGCTTTGTATTGTCGTTGTCGTTCTAGTCGTGTTTTTTTTCCTCGTGTCGATAAAATATCAAAGTGCTCGTGCTCGTCTGGTCGTCGTCCTTGTCGTTCTTTTCGTTCACGTACAATATCAGATATTGCTTATTTCGTACAGCAGGGGTCCGTCGTGCGCTAATACACCGTGTTTCGTTCCTTTTCCCGTCGCGATTTCATAAACAAGGTAATTCCATCTTCGCCGCTGCGGCCACAAGTTCTTGCGAAGAATATCATCTTTTTCATCGCCCATTCGCTTCACTACAGCTGCCTTCAGCTCTCGAATATAGTTTTTTCTTGAAAGAAAAACCCGACAACACTCTCCAGAACGCATCACTAAGTATTAAAACTTTCTCGATTGCTGCAAGTGTTTCCTGAACTACTAGGAGCTCAAATTTCATTTTTATTGTTTTCTAGAACCGCTCACAATGGCCTCTCGAGGTCGTTCCACCGTTGCGTCATCTTCCAGCGGCGCCGCTTCATCTGCTTCTGGTCCTAACATGACCAGGCGCCCGACAATCGAGGAGACAAATCGCGACTCCAGGACTTCAACCTCGTCCCCAGGTGCAGCAGATACGCCGGCTGGACAGACAGAAACTACAATTTCGGGTGCGGGTGGCTCTGCAACAGAACAGCAAATGCGGAGCTCCAGTACAGTTTTTAACCAAGAAGTCCAAGAACCATCCTCGAGCATCCGGGCGACCCGGCGGTCCACCCGGTCCATCCGATTCATCGAAGATCCGGTGCGAGACGAGATCGCGGACCAGGACAAGAAGGCGTTCTACGACGTGGAAAAAATGATCATGAACGACGTGCACCTGCACAACGACAAGGAGCACTACATTGTCCCGCCGGTCAGGTGTTTCGAGCCGCAGGTCACCCGCGTGAAGGTGCTGTTCCCGCTGGACCTCGGCGCCGATGAGCTGACCACCCAGCAGGACATCCAGCGAACCGGGTTGGTGGTCGACAACCAGCACCCGAGGGGGAAAAAACAGGTGAAAATTTGTTGGGACACGGACAACAAGGATGAATTCGAGGAGATCGCGGAGGAACTCGACGAGAGTTACGCGCAGCACGTAATGGAGGACCAATTTGACCTCGGGGAGAAGTCGAAACGGCGGAAGAAACTGCTGCCGGCGAAGGCCGACAGCTGGGAAAAGGTGGAGAACTTGCAGATCATCCCGCGGGTGTCCTACCGCGCGCACCACTACGAGGGCCGGTTCGACGTGGATGCAAACGTGAAGGACATGAAGGCGAAGTTCTACGACAAAGCGCACGGCCAAAAAGTCTCCGCCCACGCGGACGCGATTCAACTGGTGCCGGAACGGGTGTCGCAGTTCGACCAGCACGAGGTGGCGCAGGACGGGTTTTATCGGTACTACGATAAGAACGGGCAGTTTCGCGACGACGCGCTCTTCGCGTCCAGCACCTTCGGCCAGGCGGGGAAGTCCGCGGAGGGCCCGGGCGGACCACTGTCCTTGGACGGGGGGCTGACGGATTGGCTGCAGGGCCCGACCTTGATCAAAAACACGGTTTTTCAGGACCCCTATTCCACGCATTCCCGGTACTACGGGGCCACGTACGTGGGGAAACAAAAGCGCTTTAAAAAGTCGGTCACGGGAACCGCAGACGCCCTGAGACAGAGCAAGAGCGAACTTGCCGCGGCAGGCAGAGGGGTCGTGGACAACAGCGACGAAGAAACTTCAGATCTTCCTCAACAGCCGATTGACTACGAGGACGACCCGCCGGTGCTGCCGAAATCCCACCCCTTCCACCCGAAGACGGTGGAGAAATTCAACAAGAAGTTCTTCAAGGACGTCCCGCTACCCGGCCCCATCACCGCGGAACTCGAGGCAATTCCGGATCGCGACCCCAAGCGCAAGACGAAGTCGGTCATGGAATCGGCCGGGGGAGCGCTGGGTAGTGTAGGGGGAGATTTGCAGGTGGAGGATTACGTCAGTTCCGAAGAGGAGCGAGAGAAAGAACGACGGAAGCAATTGTTACAGGGGAAAAACCGGAGTAAAACCAGAACCACAGGTACAACTACACCAGGTGCCGCAATGCCGCCCACCGTGGACGACTTGATCAATCCCGGGCCTTTGCTGGAAAGGAAATCGGAGAAATTTCAGCGCGAGGAGCAATATCCTGTGCAAAAGTATCGTGCTCGTATTGCAATCATGCATTACAAATTTTTTTCTTATACGAAAATCCGCATTACAAATTTTATTTCGCATGCCGAGGAAATGCATTTAGACGAGTGCGATACTTTTGCAATGCATAAGCAAGAGAAGCGGACATCATCATCTTCGCAGCAACAACTGCACGAAACCCTGTCCGATGTGCCGACGGATGAATTCGAGGAGGCGCTGTACCGCGGTGCGCCGAAGACCGTAGACGTACTAGACCCCAGGGACTGGCTGCGGTCGGACCAGGACAAGACCAAGGTGGAGATGCGGGGGAACCCGGTGGTCTCGTATGTGGAGGAGCATTTTGAAATGCCGTATCAACTGCAAAAATGTCTGGGTCTGGAAGAATGCCAGACTTGCCATGCAGGTTTTCCATGACCCATGAGGTCTGGTATGTAGGACATAGCATGACAGATTCTGTGTTAGTTCGACTTCTATCATGCCTATCCTGAATGAGAAACTGCCTCTCGATTAGGTCAAAAGTGGGCAGCTTTTGGTAATCATGCAACACAGATTTTCACATGATTCAGATTTAGCATGACAAGTTCCTTTGTTCCAGACCCAGGAGACACTTTTGCATTTGATATGCCGGACGGCAAGTTGATGAACAGTTTGCTGCCGGATGTGCCCGACGGCAGCGAGCGCTCCCCCGAGGAGGGCGCAAAGCTCGCATGGAAACTGCGAGAGCAGGCGATCAAAGGTGCCTACATGGAAAAGAAACTGCCGACAGAGAAACACGAGTACGTGTTGGTTTATGGGACCGCGGCCGGGGGAACTGAGGACAGTGAGGTGGTCGACGGCTACAAGTGGGGCAAAGAGTTCTACGCACCCTGGGTGCCGTACCCGGACGAGGTCGTAGCAAGTGACTCGGATGAGGAAAGACTAGGGACTGCTGGGGCTGCTGGTGCATCCACGTCGGCGGCGCAAAGTAGAACTTCGAAGAAGAAGCTCAAGAAGAAAACGCTGCCGCACTTTTCGCCCGAAGAGCTTATTGAGATGCAAGCGTGTCAGGAAATTTACGGTGTAAATTACGACCCTTCGAAAGTGCCGGAGGTTCTTTTGTCGGACAAAGCTAGAACAAGTGACCCTGCGAAGGACGTGCAACAAGAGCGAAGAAGTAGAGGAGAGGATGAACAAGCAAATAACGCTACTGCAGTTTCGAACGCGCAAGTAGAACCTCCACAGGACCAGGAGAGTATGCAAGACCTATCAAGTTCTACCCCTGAACAAGGAGATCCCCGTAAAACGCAAACGGAAACCACTACTGAGACTGTTACCATCGCGACTAGGACCGAAGAGGTTGGCAGCTCTACTAGAAGTGGCACAACTTCAGCCACCTCCCAGCAGAAAGGAAAGGCAAGAGGCGGGCATAAAACAAAAAACCAGCCCGACTACGCAGATTTCGTGGACGGACAGATGCACTACAGTCGGTACGCTTACGAGGATATGCTAAAGAAGTTAGAGGAGGACGGCTTCACAGTTTTAAACAAGGCCACGCCGGTGATGGAGCTGCCGGTGAGATCCAACCTCTTCGAAGACTACCATGCGTTCGAACTGAAGAAGAAGCGGGCAACCGTGGTGGAGAACGCGAACAAAAAGTCGGTCGCGGTCCGGTTTTCCGGGGCGGAACAACAACAAGAACAAACCGGTGAAATGAACTCGACACGAGCGTCGAAGCAGGAAAGCTCCTTAGAACATCAAGGAGCGAATGGTGGCTCTTTCGACATGGCAACGACCGCGCTTGCGGAGAAAGCGAGGGCGGAAACGGAGAATGTCAAAGATCCGAAATCGTTTCTGAAGCGGGAGACGGACCACCAAGCAACCGAAGAGTTTCGCCGGTCGCTGACCGACGAGCACAGCTACGAGGCGTTTATGCACGTGGGGCACAAGCTGACCGGCTTCTTCGATGCCGAGGGAGACTACCACGCACAGCAGTCGAACTTGCACGACATTCGGGTGGCCCGGGTGAAGCGGTGCGCTCCTTACAAGGGGTACAGCGAAACGAAATTAGACGGGTCCAGCCCATGGCTGCCGCCGGCGCACCGTTGGGAGGTGAGCGTGTTGGGGAATAGAGTCTGGCGCCACGAGCCGGTGGTCGACAACCGGCCGATGGTGGGGGTCAACGCGCGATTGGAAAAGGGGGAAAAGGAGTTCACGAGCAGCTACGACCCGGTGGCGGAGGGGTATGACCCGTATAGCGCAGCGAAAAATAGCTACGGCAAGAAAAAGCACTTCCCGCCGAACGACATTTTGAAACGGTACTACGCGAACACGAATCCGAAGATGAACATTTACGCGTACATTGGCAACGGGCACGTGGTCGACGCAAAGGACTTACGGGACGAGTTTCACCACGTGTCCGACATTTACCAGTCGGAAGACCACATTGTCGACTACCCGGGATTGTTCACGAGCAAGGAACAGCAGATCAAACACCTCTACAAGCAAAAGTACGACGAGAAGCACCCCATCAAGGACACGGCCGCCTCGTCGGCCCACCGGGACCCCATGTTCTGGTTTTACGAAGTGGCGCAGGAAAAGAACCCGGAGGACGAGAAGGCCCAGGACGGGCGGGGCACAACCTTGAAGAAGGGGACGAGCTACTTGCGGCGCGTGTACCGCGACCTCGACTTCCCCCCGGCCAAGGAGGCGGAGGACAAGAAGCACCCAGTCTACGACTTGTTGCACTTCCTCTTAAACGGCGGCGAGACGGCGGAGGAAAAGGAGAAGCGGGAGCACAAAAAGCAGCACGAGAAGGAGCAATTGCAGCAATTCGCGAAGAAAATCGACTACACGCGGGAAGCGGGGATTGGCGGGACAGCTGCTCCGACGCTGGCCCGGCAGCACGAAACGCCGATCGAGAAGAATGCAGAGCACATGGAAAGGTTCTTCGAGAAAAACGCGAAATACAAGTACGGGGAATTAAATTACGGCGACCTGGAGAAGGAGAGGAAACGGAGAATAGCGGATAGGGTGAACAACGATGCTGCTCTCTACCACGTGAACCGGGCGAACTTCTCGGAGATGCTGGAAATGAAGGCGTCGGTCGTGAAATCCCGGGTGGATCAGAGAGAGTCTGCGATCGCGGAGGCCGAAAGGCAGTTGGGCGTCGCGGGTCTGGAGAACAATAAAGTGCCTGTTATCCCGTTGCTCGAGATTCCGCTGCCCGATTACGAGAAAACCTTGAAGCCGCACTTCGACGACCGTATCCCGCTGCCGGAACAGATTAAGGCGAAGGAGCAGTACAAAAATGTCTACCACGCGAAACGACGGCACCCCGCGAATCCGGAACACTTCGAGAACGAGGTGGTCGTGCTGGAGAAGCACGGCTACAACCCGGAGTACGCTTTGCAACCGCTGTTACCCCCGGTGTCGAAAGAGGAATTGGATGCCGCCTGTATCCGTGCGGGCGGTCGGTTGCAGGACGGGGACAGAATCCGGGACTTGGAGTTGCTGAAGCAGGAGGAAGATATTAAGAAGTTGCTCGCGTCTTTGGGGGAAGAAGAAGTGGACTACGGATTCAAAAACAAGAACGAAAAGATCCACTGGAACATATCCAGAGCAAAAACGTCCCCACCCCAGAGTCGAGATGGGGATCTCGCAACAGAAATCGAGAAGTGTTGGGAGTCAAGCATGACAAGTTCCTGTCTGTATTGTAGTGCAGTTTAGCAAGTACAGCCGCAACACAAATCCATCTACTCATCCTGTTTACAGCATGACAAAGCCCAAAACACTATTGGAGATGCCTCTCGTGGGGATTCGCATTACAACTCTTCCTGTAACTGCAAATCTGCATGACAACTATTGTGTGGGGATGTTTTTACTCAGGATAGAACATTGTGGACCCGAGGGTGGAACTCCAACCGCACGAGTACCCGATTAAGGTTTTCGGTCCGGGTATCAAATGCAAAAATGTCTGGGTCTGGAAGATTGCCAGATTAAGATTTGTAATGCAGTTTTTTCATGATCCAGGAAGACTGGAATGCAGGACCTAGCATGACAGATTCTGCGCGATCTCTCTCATGCCTATCCTGCATGAGAAACTGCCTCTCGATTAGGTCAAAAGTGTACAACTTTTGGCAAGCATGCAACACAGTTTTTTGCCTGCTTCGGATTTAGCATGACAAGTTGCATTTTTCCAGACCCAGACATTTTTGCATTTCATACCGGGGCTGGACCCCTTCTTGGGCGAAGTGGTGTCACATCTGCCGAAGCGGAAGAGCGACGGACAGGGCCCGCCAAGCATGTGGGACCGGATTCACGACATGATCGGGCTGGGGTCGTGAGTGGAGAAGTTGGACCAAGTCATGTGAAAACTTCGTGGTGAAGAGAAGTTTTTTTTCAAGTTTTACCCATGAGAGTTTAAGTCGCCCATAGTTTTTGATGTTGACATGTCATAGTTAGAGACATTGATTTGCTGGCACAAATAATTGTACATCTGTAAAGTATAACTATCGCTGCATTTCCGTAAGTACGTTTTTCGGCCACGACTACGGCATCACACAAAGAACATGAACATGATCTGTATCCCAGGAGGAACGGTAAGAGTACAAGGCCTGACTTTTGAATACGCGCCGGATGAAGAAATTTGAAAGAAAGTTACACACATGGATACGGCATCCATGGTTTGGGCCCGCTGCCCTAGTAGCATCAGGAATGCAAGTATCGCTATCGAGGGTTTGTTCCGAAGTGTTCTCGCCTGAGCATCATTGAAGCTAGAGAGAGATGAAGACCTCAAGCGCGTTGAGTTTCATCCGACCCACAAGGAAGCGTCGCGATTTTCCAGAAACAGCTCCAAGCAATCATTTCGCGAACGAACGCAGGATGCGTATCGAAGCGTGAGCTCCGCCTGTGGAGGAGGCACACGTTGGCATGGGCACTTCAGTTGGCATGCGCACTTCTTGAGGAGGGCGCCCGCTCACTGCAGCGCCGCAGGCAGGGCGCTGCCCTCTCCTCCTGGGCCCCCCGCCTCATTAGTATTCCCACCAAAACACCAAACATGAAACGTCTCGGCCGCCTTTTGTCCGTCTCCGCTTTTTCCGCCTTCGTGCAGGGCGATCCACCGACCCCCGAATTGATCTGGCGCAAACTCAGTGACACGGTAGACGTGACCCTGGTCCCAAACGCAGCAGACGTCACTGGCGTCGAGCTCTCGTCTAAAAAAGCCACGCTAAGGTTCATTCGAGATGTTGGAGCTGTGCCCTCGTCGCGGGGTGAAGGTGAAGCGGACAAAGCCGTGGACGACGGACCCTCCCAGTCTAGCTCTTCGGCCAAGCAAAGTGCGCAGCAGCATCCTGCAGCGCAGCATACGGAGGATCAAAAGCCACTACCTTCGGGAGGACGACATGGGGAACAGCAAATGGCAGGACTGCAACATGCCGAAATGCTGCGACAGGATGCGAACAAAGCTGCCTCTACGGCTTCTGCCGCCATCGTCACGGAGCAGGACTTGAACCGAATCAAGACTTCCGACTACAACGAGGATAAGATGGTGGTGAGCCTCCTCGGGGAGGAAAATGCCCAGTCCGAGTCGGATACAGAGCTGGACCTCTTAGACCTGGAGCTGCAAAACGCCCGGCGCTCCTCTCCTTCCTCTAGCTTTTTGCAAGTGACCAAACAGGACAACTTGAACCTTGGTGAAAACATCGATCTGCGAAGGAATCTCGCGAGCGCGTTTGAATCGTTAGAAAGAGTGGTGGTCGACAGCGGGAACTACTTGATGAGCAGTAGCGGGGGCACTTTCACTAAAACTCTGTCGGCTGCTGCCCCTAGCACAAGTAAGAAACAGAAGCAAGTCGTCGCGCACCTGCAACACGAGAAGATTTTACAAGGAACTGCGAAGATGATGAAAGGTGCTGCCCCTACAGCACCCGCAAGTGTGAAGAGTTTGGCAGGAAACAAAAAGTTTATGACGAAGCAAGTCACCGCCAAGACGAAGACCACCCCTGCGTCTTCTGCCGACAAGAAATTGGCTGACGGACGACCAGCGCCGGCGGAAAAAAAGCACGACCCGACCACAGGAAAACACGAGCAAAAGTTGTTCTCGACTTTGCGACAAGAGTACGAAGAGCTGGCTGAGGATAAATTTCTCAATTACCGCAACATCAAGAAAATTATCGTCGAGCGCATTCCGGACAAATCCAACGCGCTGCTGATCATGGCATTGAAGGAACAGGGGTCAACAATATCTTCATCCCCATCCGAGGACAAGAATTCCTCGCAGGAGCTGCACGAGCAGCAGGATCGTGACGCGACGACACAGATGAAAATCACGATCGCGCCAGTGCAAAAGTGGAACACCGGCGCCAGCCTCGCATCTCCGATTTTGCCCAAGGCGAGTCTGTTGCGCTCGCATGTGCACTTCTTTTTCCCGGTTGTGGACGAGAGTGAAGTTGTTGATTCTGCTGGGAGCGAGATGAACGGGGATCATGGCCAAGGAGGAGTAGAAGAAACATCAACCGCAAAGCCGAATGCAGCTGCAAAGAACATATCTAGCGGGACGAGAACAACTGGGAACCCCTTCCGGCGGAAGAAGCATCCAAAGTTCTTGCACGGGACGTCGACTACTAAAAGACCTGCTGGCCGCTTGGAGAACAACCCCGGTGAGAAGAAGCCGAAAATCTCCGTTCCCGATTTCGCCGCGAAACCGCTCGCGAGTATCATGGACGAGTACTTTGCCGCGGCGAAGAAAGCGACGGAAGAACACGCGGTGCGTCTTGTGGTTGATGCTTCTGAGCAACTGCAATCCAGTGCTGCTGCTGGCGGAACTCCAGCGTTTTCGACGACTGCAACGACTTCCAAAACTCTTTCATCTTCATTCCAGCAAAAGAGTGCGATCCAAGAGACCGCGACCACAGCTGGAGGTGCAGAGCAAGTTCTTGGGGCTGTTGATTGTGGAGCAGCATCGTCAGACGACATTGAGAAATCTGTCGAGAAGGAACCTTCGCAGCTGGAAAAGGACGCGATGGAGTGGACTTTGATGGAAGCAAACGAAAATCACAAGTCCGGCGCAGACAAGTGGACTAATTTGAAGAACAAATTTGCAGATCGGAAAATGATGACAAGTTCAGCTTCTTCAGATAATAAGCAACAAACTTCGACTTCCAGCACAAGAACATCAGTGGCTACGACGGGACAGCAAGGCAAGTCCGGGATGACAAACAAGGCCCAACTACATCAACTCCGACACGAGACGGAATTGACAAAATTTCTACGCCAAGACGTGAAGAAGGCACAGGAGGCGGCAATTCCGGTGCGAAGTGATTTAGAAGTAGCCTCCGGCTCTTCCGTTGTTGTTCCCTCACATCAGGCAGGTGAACTTCCACGACCGGCAGCGAGCAACTTTCACTTGCTGAAAGCTGAGATCGAGCAACGGGAGCAAATTGACAACTCCGCGACCGAGAACGCACTCAAGCAGTACGAAGCGGACCGGGAGAAGGAAAAGGAGCGGTCGGTGGTTATCATATGTAAAAACACCCCCACACCATACACAAGATGAGAAGTCTGCAACACAAATTCCAAAGTTTTGGGAGTTCTGCATGACAAATCTAGCCCCATAGTGCAACCCTGTTTAGCTAGTTAAACAGCATCACAGATGTAGCACATCGTGCCGATTGGAGCATGACAAATTTAGAAACATGACTAAAAACCGCCTTCCATGGGGCTCCGCATGAGAAGCATTTTTACACTGCAGATTTGCATGACGACTCTGGGGCGCGGACGTTTTCACATAGGATAGTGGTGGAAAAAACCGATTCGCAAAGAGCGAAAGCAGCTTCCTCCGCTGGGGGCGTTTTTGACACAGCGGAGGTCGAGAAGAGCTTGAATTTGAAGCCGCGAAACTTGGAAACCGATGTGAAAGAGCAGTTTGAGGAGCAGACAGCCGGACCGTCATCAAACGCCGGAGAATATTCCCCAGGTGGACCTCCTGTGGGAGTCATTAACCACCTTGTCCAAAACCACCTCCGTGCACAAGCCATCTACCAGGCGGCTGCCGGGCAGGGTCCGCTGGAGGTTTCGGCTGGCGGCGCGAAGGAAAAGCTCGAAGCGTCGAAAGAAACGAAGCGAGAAATGGACGATTTGTTCGCGAAGGCGGCTAGCAGTACAGTGACTAGTTCTAGCGCGGAGACGAGGAGAGAGAGGGAACAACAGGAGGACAAAGCGGAGACGCCCAGCGGAACGGCTTTGAGCTCGTACCTGAAACAGCAAGCAGTGCCAGCAGTTGAGGCTCCTGCTGAAAAGCCTGCTGTCCCGGCAAAAGTGGAGAACGGCGCGAGGACCCCTGGCGTCGAAGAGCAAAGTCCCGCGGTCGTGAAGAAAAAGACTGAAGGCGCAGTTCCGGCCGCTGCTCCCGTGGTTGATGCGGGGAAAGATGATTCCAAAAAACAGGAAGCTACTGCGGCCAAGAATAAGGAAAAGAGTTCGAAGACCGAGGTGAAGCAGGGAAGTGATGCTACTGGTTGTACAACTGCTAGCACCACAGCTACCTCCACAACAGCCGGAGCAGAGCAAACTGTTCGTGAAAGCACGGAGAAGATGGGCGACGCTTTTGACGCGCTCGATGCCAGTTTGGAGGACGCCGTGCTGCATCCGGTCGAGACACTGGTGAAAAAAGTCGAGAAACAGGAAGCGGAAACAAAAAACAAGGCGGCGACAACGCTTACGGCGAAACAAGAGAAGAAACCGACCACAACAACGTCAACAGCCGTGCAGGAGAAGCAGCGCACTACCGCAACACCTGACATCAAAAAGTCATCCTCATCTGCACCGTCGGTCAAAGCTCCTGGTACAGCAAGCGCGATTGGAACAAAGGCTGCGCCTGGAGCAGCTGCGGTGAGAGAGAAAGCTCAAAAGGAGCAGAAGGTCGTGGTTGGTGACGAACAGATGAAGCGGCAGGTACGCCACAACGATGCCGTTTTTCAGAAAACCCGAGGAGGTGGAGAGCAGGAGAAAGCTCGCGCTCCTTCGCTTCCGACCGCATCGAGGAAGGTGACTCTCGGGGGAAAAGAGGTTCCTAAGGAGGCTCGCGTGTCCAACAAGAATGCTGTGCAAGTGGAGCCGACGATCACCAGTTTCAACCCGTATTCCAACACGAAAAGAATCCTGGTGAACAAGCCTGACACGAATAAAATGAAGGAAAAAGCAATGCAAGAACAGATGAAAGTAGCTCCTAGTCCTACTACTTCTACTTTGTCCTCGCAGGAAAGGTCTCCATCTCCTCTCCCGAAAGGAGCTACATCGAAGAGGAAAATGGCCCAACTGGACACCTCCGATGAGGCGTCGAAGAGCTTCTGGTCTAGCATGCTGGTCCAGCACCACACTCAGCAGCAGATTGAGATGAAGGCGGGGAAGACTGTTGTTGTTGGGGCTCCATCGGATAGTACCACGAAGAAGACAAAAGAACTGCAAGCCGCACCTTCCAAAAGTCCTCACGTATCTAGCGCGCTTGCGCAACTAGTGAAACAAGATGCATCGGATGCGGGAGTAGAGAAGCAGGGTGAGCAAACTAGTACTTCGAAGAAAATCGATTTGAACGCCGACATGAAACTGCTCGACGGTCTAGCGGCGAAGAGTCTGAAGAAGCGAGGAAACAAGGGCGCGAGTACAAGTGCTTCTACAGGTGCTTCTTTTCCCAACGTGATGAGATTTTCTACTTCTTCTCCTCTCGTAGCTGTACAACAAGAAACATCCCGGTTGGAGGACAAGAAGACAACCAGAACAACCGGCGCAGGTGAAGCAACAGAGCAGGATCAGGACAAGAATCGAATCCAAAGCACCGCCGGCGGGCGACTCTCTGCGTTAGCGCACGAACTGTTTGCCGATTTGGAGCCGGGAAAGAAAAAAGCGACACCTGGAAGAACCTCGAAGACCAACAAGCTTGACATGTGGCTGCAGCGGGCTACGGAGCAGGAAGCGGCTGCGAAAACGGCTACATCCGGTGCAGCAGCAGCTTCTAACGAGCTGCCTAGAGACGCCAACGGTGCTGGCATTGCAAATCAAGCCAGGGCCGCGGCCTCCGCCGCCTCCCCTGCTCCGGTCGTCTCTTCGCAACGCCAGCAGTTGGCCGCCAAGGTTGAGGCTGACGGGAAGAAGGTGGCGGAGTTGGATGACGGTGCTTCCGACTCAACGGCCGCCTCCTCAGAATCTGAGAAATTCCTGCAAAAATACCTGCAGTCGGGTACTAGTGAAGATGGCGCGGACGATGCTGACGCGAGCAGTACAACCGTTGGCAACAAGAACAAGAAAATCTTCCTTCAGGAGGCCGCAGCTTCTGGCCAGCAGACAGTGAAGACCAGTGCAAGTCAGAAGCTCGCTTCGGAAAAATGGTTCGACCAGCTGGATACGAGCCATTTGTTCGAGACGTCGTTACATCAATCAGGACTGGAGAAAAATCAAGCTGACACTCGCACAACTGCTGCTTCGACCGCCGGAGCGGCAGGGCGAGCAGAGCGGCAGTCGTCCTTCAGTACGGAAGTCGCGGATTTTTCCCAGAAAGGAGAGCCGACCAATGACGAGAAGAGGGCGAAGCTTGCGCTCGCACAAGAGATGAGCACAAATAATTCGCGGGAGGACAAAAATCATGCGGCTGCAGTGAACTCGAACTCCTGGTCGGAGTTTAACCAGAAGTGGGGAACATCAACTTCTACCGAGCGGGATGGAACTACAGCCGCTGCTGGTGCGAGTAGAAAAAAGCGACACAATCGCTATCTGGATCTGTTGGCGTAGAAATCAACTTTTCTTTTCGTGGTCAAGTTGTTGTACCGATAATTTGACTTTAAAACAGATTGTCTTTTCCGCGACGCGGCTACAGCCGCCTTCGCTTTAAGATTTTTAATTGAACCTGTACTTTTTGCGGTGGAAGATTCTTTTTGTCGGACAAAAATGTTCCTTTGTGTCTTCCGCAGAACGTCGGATCAGGCGTGTTGACGGCTTTCGAGGTGGTAATCTGCATCTCTGTTCGCAGTGGGGTCTTTCCGCGGAAGATGTTGATTTGCAAGTTTTGATCCCGAAATAATAAATACGGAAGGATCCCTTGCGCTTGTCTTTCTGGCTCTTTGCCTAGCTATTTTGTCGTGGCGCGAACAAATGGAACTAATGCGTTGTGGTTTGTTCAACATCGCATCATTGTCGGTACATCGTAACCGATCCCACAAAAATGAAATATAAATATTTGTCTCTGTGCGTCCAACAACTCCCCAAAAAAAATCAGCCCACAGTTACTATGCTCACACAGCAGCCGCACATCAACCGAACCTGTTAACTCACTCACACATGCCGCACTCCCCGTTGCATTCTTGCTCCAATCGTGTGCTAAGCCAGGAGCCGGCTCCGCGAACGCGGGGGCGGCATACGGAAGCGGAGGACCACTTGGACGTCAACCGACGGTAGCAACTCCCACGAGGACAAACAAGTTCGCGTCCTGCTTCTACAACTGTCATCTTGACCGAGATCTACTTCTGGCAAAATGTCTAGTTTTCACCTCCCCGGTAGAACATTGCTGCAGGTTCTGCTGCCTTTTTTACTCGGCACATCGTGCCCGACGGACGCTATACAGCTGCAGCGCGGAGAACAACAACAGGCTCCGGTTTTTTTGCAGCAGCGTGGGGTAGAAAGAAAGCAGGCACAGTATGTCAGGACGAGGAAAGCAGCTGCTGGATCGAGGACCGTTTATACCCTTTCCGCCAAGACCAAGAAGCGCGATGAAAATGAGAAACAGATCCCTTCTATGAGCGTGGGCGACGTGGAGGATTCTTCGGTTTTCAAAGACAACTATCCTAAGGACACCAACCCGGGTAGTTCTGGTGCCGCGGCGCCGAAGGAAGAGGAGACTACACCAGCCGCGGACGCAGGCGGAAAAACTCCCCCTTCTTCGGGTGACAGCAACACCGAACAAGCAGGACCCGCTGAAACCGCAGGAGAGTCGTCCGCCGCGAAAGAGGATGACGCGCCGGCCTCCCTGTCCCCCGAAGAGAAGGAGAAGCAGCAAAAGGCTGCCGCGACGGAGGAGGCGATGGAAACCGCCGCCGCGGAGAACGCGGAAAAAGTCGCCGCCGACCAGGCCGCGCAGCAGCAGGCGGTAGCCGAGGCCAAGGAGAAACAGGCCGAGGAGAAGGCGGAAATTGCGGCGAAGAAAGAGGCAGAAGAAGCGAAGGAAGTGGCCGAGAAAGCGGAAGAAAAAGCGAAGCAGGAGGAAGCGGTGCAGAAAGCTGAGGAGGAGCAGGTGGCGAAGCAGGAGAAAATCGCGGAAGAAAAAGCCGTCGAGGCGGAAGCGGCCACGGAGAAAGCCACCGTGACGGAAGAAAAAAAGGAGGAAATGGTGGAAAAACATGAGCAGATCAACACGGCTCTGCAACAGGAAGCGGGCCTGCTCGCACAGAAGAAGGTGGAACTGGAGGGGACCATGAAAACGCTGGGGGAGTTGCCCGATTCCAAGGATTTGGAAGAAAAGGTGAAACTGGCAGCGGAAGCGGTCGCGCAAGCGCAGCAGGACCACGGGATTAAGAAGGAAACCGTTGCGGAGGAGCAGAAGGAGAGAGAAAAGGAAGAGGCGGAACTGGCTCTGTTGATGCAGGTAGTAGGGGTAGTTTTAGATGATTCATACTTGAAAATAAATAAAAATCTTGCAGCTGGCACCCGGAAGGACGCGTGCAGATTGTTGCAGTTCAAGAACCGAAGAAAAATATAAAAAACAAAAAAATCAGGAAATCGCGAAGGCCGAGGCCGAGATGCATGCTGCTGCGGAGAAGCTCGACTCCGCTACTGCCGTGCACGCCGATCTGAAAGCCCAGTTAGAGGCTTTGCTGCAGAAGTTGAAGGAGTTGCAGGAGCTGAAAGCCTATGATCGGAAGAATCTTCAAGATCGCAGGCGTGCAGACCGCACGTGCATATTTTGCATCACACGACAATTCGTCTGTAGGTTTTTTTTTGGGTGCCGGTAGTTCCCCGGCAGACGTCGCAAGGAACTATTTGTTTCGTGGCCGCTATTTACAAGTGACTCTTCTTGCACAACAAGCAACCGTGTCGTGCAGGTCTCGTGCGTGCTGTGAACATACTTTTTCCCATTTGGATAAGACGCAACTAGAAGCGGCAATCGCGGAACATGAGAAAAAAGTCGCAGAATTGGCCGCCTCGGAGGCAGAGGCGCAGAAGGCCGTTGAGGAGGTAGTTTGCTGATGTTTTTTTCATCCACAAATTAGAATAAACTATATGGACGAGGCGTTCTCGTCGATATTGAAGACGTCGAGTTTCACAACTATCTTTCTATGTATGGTAAGGAGCAGTTGATACGTTGTAGTCCGCAGGAGCCAAACGACTGGTATCGCAAAGACCTTTCCGTTACCTGCATGACAGGCGATGGTAGCCGCGCGCCAGTCTGCAGCGGTGGCGGAGCAGAAGGAAGGCGACGCAGACCGAGCGCAGAAGGGGGTGAAGACGAAAATCACCCCCGTGGTCGTCGGTGCGGCTGTGGGAGGTGGGGCGTTGCTCGCCGGGGCGGCCGCCTGGATGTTTCTGCTGTGATGATGAAGGTTCAAGGTCGATTCTACGTGCGACGTTCCGCAGTGATGAGTGGCACAACAGCATACAGTTTTTCTTTTCCTAAAGGTACACGACTAGGAGCAGCATCGTAGAACAAGTGCACTCGATATTAAACATCACATAACCAATCAAGGTGCTCAGAAAGGACGACAGGCGAAGGGCTTTTTGCACCAACCGGTCCGATATTACAGGTACAGCAGCTTCCGGACAGTAGATGCCACTTGTGCTTTTGTTCTGATGGTAGTTACACGTGGTGGTACAGATTCAAAAGAGCCACGAGCGCATCAACAAAGTCCCATTTAGTCGAGAGAGGTCGCATGAGCGTAGGGTAGGCACTTCTGACTTATTTTCGAAGAGATCAAGAGGTACGGCAAATCCGGTAATTTTTGGAGAGAACAAAGACAAGAGAAATTGACTTCGTGACAACCAGAGTGAGATGAGACCGAGAATGAGCCGAGCGCCGCATGACCCACATATCGTGAAGACATAAGCGGACGCAGGACCACGCAATTTTTCTCGTTTTAATGTTGTACTTGGATTCGCGATATTACGTCGTCGCTTACATTCTCCACGCCTTCACGACTTCTGACTTGGTTATTCTTTGATCCAAATGAATTCGTTTTCGCTCTCGTTTCCCACTCAGCGCGACAATCCGTTGCTGCTGCTGCATGAGAAGAGTGAAGGTGCTGCTCTTTACAGTACAACTAATTCGAATGCTAATGTGAACTTCGGCGCACCGCAGAAAAATAATTCGTATCCGCACGGGCACGACCAAAGTTACTTTCCAGATTTCGCGATGAACCAAAATTCGTTGCTGTTTCAGCATACTAGGGAAACGAATACTAGTAGGCATCACACCCACTTTGAAGACCACAATAGGGGCCGAAGTGTAGAAAGGCATGGTCTGACCAAATACCAGAGAAATAAGACGACTTCGTTTACAAATCAAAATCATACCGCCCCTGGTGCTCTAAAAAAACAAGGCAGCGCCAGAATAAATTTGCCCTTTTCGTCACCGACCGTTTCGCCTTTGTCAGAAAAAAGGCCTTCCCCGGGCGGAAGAGCAAGGAACGACCTTCAGTCCAGCCCCTCCAACCGACCCCCTGGCAGTCTCTCGGTGGACACTGAGAAAAATCTGAATTCTTGGCATCAACTACAGCTCGCGACTAGCACCAACATGGACGTCTCCCAGCTTTCCCTCGAGGGAGGGGGCAGCAGCGGCAATGAGCAGAAAAGAGGGCGGAGCAGCAAAAGGGTATAGTATCAATTTGTCTTTGATAGTAGTAGCACTAGCACTCGTAGTTGTAGAACTTTTACTACCAGTGCCACTTGGGCATACTGGCGTCTGGTGCATGGTAGTCGTGGTAGAAAACGATTGTCATTGTGACGCCCTGCGCGTTGTATCATGACAGACAAAACTAGTGGATCGGAAAGTGCAAAAATGCGAACAATTCGAAAGAGATTTGTAATGGCAAAAACACATCTATGATTACAGTCAAGCGCCGCCCGTGCGCAAAAGGAGGGAAAAGAGGAGAAGGAGTTCAAGGACCAGACGACCAAGAAAAATCTGAATAACGTGCAACTGAAGCTAAGCAGAAATATGGCGGAGCTGCAGGAGGTAGTAGTTTTTTTAGCTGTGATGTGTACAACAGTGCCTGTTTCCATACACAGACGCGCGAGTCTGCGTGAAGTAGGACCACGGATGAAACTACATCCTCAATTTTTCGTGCATGCAAGTAGTGCAAGGCGACAGTTTTTTTGGTTTTCAATTTCATTTTCTTGTGACCTGTAAAAAAATGCGTTTCCTTCAACATGAACAACAGAGCATCCTGCCGATTATGCTGCAGAATCAGATGAGCGACAAAAAGGGTGGCTCAGAAATGGGTTCCAAATCCAGCTCGAAAAGAAAAAGCACGTTTGGCAGCGAAGAGGCAGAAGTGCAGGCCAAGAGAATGGCGCAGGTTTGATCATGTTGATACATTCATAGTTTTTGCTTTTAAGTAGGCTTCTGTAGTTGTATTGTCTGAGTCTACAACGTACTTCTATGTCTATCTTGCGATTGCAGGTCCTTCCAACGAGGAGTGACAGTCCTTGACTTTTCTCACCGACTTGCAACTTCTCTCACACGACGATGGACAATTTTGCGATGGCTTTGATCATTCGAAAAACATTTGTGCTTTGCATAGTTGGAAAAAAGTGTACTTCGAAAAATAAACCAGGTAATGCTGAATGGCAAAGGGCAACAGGGGCAGCTTCTAGCCGCCCTGAACGCGGACATAGTAGCATCGAAGGCAGTGGGGACAAAGGAGCACCCGCTCGATATTCTAGCAAAGCATTGAGTCAAGTTGAACATGAATTCTCTTGTCAGACGAAGCAAAGCCAGCGGCGTGCATTGTGCTGTGTTGTACCAGGGCTTGGCCGCAAATTCCTTTTGCATTCCTTCGCATACAGATCATGCGATGCAAACTTGATTCAACATTTTTCTAGCATACGGGAGACACAAGACCTGAGGCAGTTGATCAAGATAGACGACAGAATAGAAATGTCGAAAATAGGTACAGTGGTGGCTTACTTTCAACATTTTCGAGTAGTGCATTTGAATGAATACAATTTAAAGTGTAATAAATCGCAACCCCACGACGACTAGTGGCAAAAACGCGAATGGAGTGTTTTCGAAACATCAACTTCCAGGCGCAGCCCGTTACCGTGCGGTTTCGGAGGAGGAGCTGCTGGCCGCCCAGGCAAGAAAAGACGAGGAGGACCGCATAAAACGGGAGGAGGCGGAGCGCAAGGCACGGCGCATGGAAGACGACGATCAAACGCCATCACCGCTGAACCAGCCCCGTACCCCCAGAATGCGCCACGTCCGGAGCTACCGCTGCGCGACGGCGCGCGACCTGCAGCTGCTGCGCAAAGAAACTGTCAGGAGCCCCGACCACGAAAAGCACAAGAAGGATCTCTCCTTCCTGGGATAGCACCATGGCAACGGACAATATCCCGATCCTTTCAATTCCACTTCTTTGTTTCAAGCGTTTACACTACACTCACAGTTTTGAATTTGATTTAAGTTTTCCAATAGACAAATGCACATCCAATTATACCAATCCAATTTCCAATAGATCCAATGCACAGTAGACGACGCTGCCTACTTACCAGTAGAGTAGCAGCGGAAAGATGGGAAGAGCGCTCTCATCTGCGCGCGCCAATAATCCAATGTTGTTACAATCCAATAGAAGCATTACCTCGTAACTCGTTGCTCGTGGACGTGGTATCCGCGTTAGCAGTGCAACAGTTCGTAGGAGTGGGTTATAGCAGCTGTGCGGTCGTGTGAGGAAAATTTATTTTCGCAAGAAGAGCAAATGTCGTGTGGTGTACCAGCATCGAGCTGACTATACAACACGCTGCACGTCGACAGGGACAACACACAAAAACCGCGTAGCCGCACCTGCCAGAAGTAGTTCCACTTGATTACCTGGGCCGAGGAATGAGGAGGATTTATTTATGTCGGTATAAATGAATAAAAGCAATGCTAACAGAAGCTGATTAACCTACCTCATGCAAATGAACTCCGTGCTAATGTTGAATTTGAACGTGCGCTCACATTATTTCGCACGATCTGTGTGGGCTATTTTTTGTACAATAAAGTCGACAACAAATACCATTGGCGTTGTCATTGGATATAGATATCAACCGCTCGAATTTTCAATTCTATCAAGAAGGCCCAGTCTTGAAAAAACGAACCTAGGCCCGCTCGTCTTGATGTTGGTCCCTTTGATGTGAGCAAAAAATGTTGGTGTCCCCGTTTTTGAGTTAGCATCATGCGGACCTTTTTTGAAGTGGACATGCGTATCGGTCCTCTCTTGCAGCTTGTAGTGAATTATGCACGCCGGCGAATTTGGAAAAATCTGTGTTGTGCACGTCTACGTGTTACAGGTAGAAGTTCGGTTTTCAGACAGTAAAGTAAAAAAACTTTCGTTCTATCTCTATGTCTTCGTAGTTTTGCGTCGGTCTGCAGCAACGAGGAGTGCTGTGAAGTTTTACGTACACATTTTCGTATTCGTACACATGTTTCGGTGACGTTTTACAGACCGCTTGTGGTTGTTTGGCCTACAAGCCTCTTCTTCGGTAAGTAGTTGAGAGCGTGAAACGAAGAAAATCAGGGCGTGTCGGCTTCCGTTGTTTCGTACCCTTGTTTCGGTGACGTTTTACAGACCGCTTGTGGTTGTTTGGCCTACAAGCCTCTTCTTCGGTAAGTAGTTGAGAGCATGAAACGAAGAAAATCAGGGCGTGTCGGATTACGTTGTTTCGTACCCTTGTTTCGGTGACGTTTTACAGACCGCTTGTGGTTGTTTGGCCTACAAGCCTCTTCTTCGGTAAGTAGTTGAGAGCGTGAAACGAAGAAAATCAGGGCGTGTCGGCTTCCGTTGTTTCGTACCCTTGGGCAGCACGTGTCGGTTTGGGTTAGAACAGGGTAACAGAAAACCTTGAAGTGACCGGGGAGGTCACGTCCACCCGGCCGGCCGGCCGGGTGGACCGTGACCGGGGGTAGATCATGTCCCGCGGCTGCTATCCGGGCGCGGGCTGCGCCAGATGTTAGTTTTATTTGGTGCGCGGAGCAGAGCCGCTCCGGCTCCACCCGCAGTGCCTATAATCGAAAGCCTGGGTGGGCCTCAGGCTCCTGCAAAGTAGCTAGCGTTGCGGGGGCGGATTTTTTTTATGCAGTAGCTACTGAAGTAGCGAGACACCGCTGGCAACCGCTCGAAGCACCCCGCCCGCCCACCCACCCCGACCCAACCCAAGCCCCACGCACGCGGCTGCGACTCCCCCGCCCCCGTCCGTTTCCCCGACTTTGCTTGCGCGCAAACGGGGAAAAGGGGCTGGGGGTAGGAATGCTCCGCGCTGCACCTTGGGCCAAAAGTGTCTCGGTGCAGACTTCGTGGCGCCACCACTTGGATCCGCCTGAGGCTGAGCTCGGACGACGCGCCGCATATTGAGACCTGTGGCTCTCAGGTGCAATGACCTGAACCCTAGCACTGAACGACTTTGGCTCAAGGTACAGCGCCACGACCTCCTGGTGCCCCCATGCCCTTTTCACTCTTCGCGCGAAGGGTGAAAATGGACCGGGGGTGGGAAGTCGCGGCGCTGTGCATTGATCCCAAAATGTCGCGACGCAGACTTCGCGTCTTTGCCACGGTCATATGTCCGCGGCAATATCATGCAGCAGGCCCATGGGTATCAGCAGGTCGGATGCGTTGTATATTGAGCCCAGAGCGAAGTCATGGCTCCGAGGTTTAGTGAGCCGCACTCTACCACTGGACGACTTTGGCTCAAGGCACATTGCCGCGACTCCATCCTCCCAATCCCATTTCGCCCTTCGTGCGCGCGAGGGGTAAAAAGGGACGGAGGGTAGCAAGTCACTGCTTCTTGTACTTGTTGCAGCAGGTCCATCTCTAGTATGGGCATGCGCTCGCGCTCGGGCGCATTAAGTACATATTAAGGCCTGGAGCTCCACGGTGCACCGAGGTGCATTCTGCCAGTGCACGACTTTGGCTCAAGGTGAGGTTTGTTTTCGTTGTTTCGTACCCTTGGGCAGCACGTGTCGGTTTGACTTCTGTTCTGACTTCTCCTTTTCGGCGACACCGCCGTCGCGGGGATGTCCTTGCCCGGTTGCTCCCGCCAGACCTGTTGCTTGGTCCCAGCAGCGCCTACCGGTGCGTTCCCCGGGTACGCCAGCAAAGTGGGCGGTGTTTGGCGCTGACTTGCATTGCGGGGCAGGGTGGGCTGTTGGTCCTCGTCCGGAAACTTCAGCTGGGTCAACTGCACCATGGCATTGCGCTCGGCCTGGTTTATTGGTATTTTGTATGTTTGTCATGCGAAACAAAATTGCTGTTCTTTTTGTGAAGATGCACGACAGACATAGTATTAAGAAGCGACTTCGTGGATCATGTGAATGTCAACTGACAAAAGACTTTTTACCTGTTCCGACCGCACGATAGCCCCATTGGTGTCCACAGAAAGCGTCCCCCAAGAAGGTATACTCATGATTCGCCTTCCGATATCAATTACCTTGCAGGAGCTTTAAGTTTTTCATGCACGATGCTGTTCTTCGACTTCGTGTACTGACAATTATGCAGACTTTTAGTAGAAAGAGATGGCACTGTAATGGAAGTGAATTTCTGTGCTCAAGATGAACATGGTCTAATTCTACTTGAAACGAGTGAAAATTGCATGGAGAATCATCTTCATCTAACTACTTGCCTTTTTCTACCACCCGCAACAAATCCTAAAAAGGGTCAGAAACACCTTCACACACGACGAAGTCGCTTACTTGCTTGTGCGAAGGTGTTCCAGCTTCTAGGGGGTCTTTTTCTTACTAGCAGATTCTTGCACTACTTAGCCGTGATGCTCACAATAGAACGGGTTCCGGGTTGTATATCAAGCTCTTCTATATTAGCTCTGTTGTAGTGTTTTTCGTTTGCGCAAAAATACAGTGAAATTCATCTTGCCTCTCTCGTGACAACAACTGGTGACACTAGCGTGTTCTGTTGGCCCGCTTTGTTCCGTATCTCACCGCTCTTTCTTGAGGTTGCACGAATGATCAAGTAGCTTTGAATTGGTGGACGAGAAATACGACTCTGTATACGTTTTGCTGTACGGTGAGTAGTGCTTACAAGTACCTCTGCAGCACGTCTCTCCTCCTCCACACGGGGCAGAGTAAGCTGAAATTACGGACCGAACTAGAGGCACGACTCTCAACATCAACTTCGGGCGGAAAAGCGAAAAACTTATACTAGCCACTTTTCTTGCTTCGTACATCGTGTCGCAACACGCACTTTCAGGGTCGGGGGGCTTTTTAGTGGTGCACGATGAATAATTACAGCCAGTTGTACATACGTTGCACGTACAATTTGTCACGGGACGACGCTGGCACTTTTACGACTCCGGAATCGAATCCAAACGCGCATTTCTTTATTGGAGAGAACGATAGTTTCGGTCCAAAAGTAGTAGTGGAACACTATCGGCCCGAAGTCTTTTCGATTGTTCAATCATATACCTCGTCGTCCAACTGGTGGCCCGACGACCGGGGTTCCGTCATTCTGCTTTTATTCCCATGAAAAGACGTTATGAAAAAGCACAATATAGTCGGGATGCGACAAATTTGACGGGATACGTGAATCTGTATGCAGGTCTGGTTTTGGTAGTTGTCACATGATTCTCGCAATTAACTTTATTTTTAGTGCGCTTTTATTTTTGTCCCAGTGACGTGTGAGTCCAAACTGATAGCGGGTCGAGCAAGTTCTACAGATATCTTCGGGCAGGTGGGTAGCTGCAAAAATAGTTCAGAGCGGGCAATACATTGTACGGAGCTGTTGTGAGAAAAGAACGCTGAACATGAATGTGAAAATATGTAGCCAATTGAAATTGCTATTGAATGTGGAAACTCAAAAAATAGGTTTTCGTTGTTTCGTACCCTTGGGCAGCACGTGTCGGTTTGCGTTACAGTTGCACGAACTTGGTGTTTTCAGCCGAGTTATTTTTTAGTGGCGCAGAGTGAATCATTTACATTTTAGTTTCTGTGCCCACCTCCTAATAAATCCCCTGAGGCGTCATCACAACGGACCCCCCAGTATTGAACTCAACAAAGACGTCGAAGATTTTTGTTTTTCTTTTGCATACAAGAGTATAAATTGGTAAATTGATTTCTATTCACGCTGCACCCATTTTTACTTTGTTGCATTTATTTTCCAGTTTTTCTTTTTGACGGTTCCCCCCGTCTAAATTCATTTTTTGAAAAAAACCACTTTTCTTCGACCAGAATCCGCAGCACGACTTGCACCATGCAGAAGAAATTGTTGAAGGTATACCTCATTAAAGAGGCCGTCACCGGCCAAGAGCGCGCGTTGGCCGTCGACAGCGAGAAGCTGCGGCCTGCCGTCGAGGAAACGGCGGAAGCGGGAGGATCTTCCACATCATCTTTTGTGCAAGAAAAGACGCAGGAACGGCGACGCCGTCTGCGCGGGAACTGCTGCCCTGATCCTCCAGGTACCGTCCCTAACACCCGTTCCATTCTGCCACCGAACCTCGAGGGGGTGCGGGAAAACGCAGGTCCGTATGGAAGGCGAATCAGCAGTGCTAAAAATCTACTTTTTCGTAGTTGGGTGTAAGTAGTTAATAAGCCCGGTAGACGCAGCCACAGATCGATGACAAGGTGCTGTTGCTCTGGTGTCAAAACAGGTACACAGGCATGTCGTGGTATAAGAATGTCGATACTTAGTCAGAAATAAGCGCAAATCATCTTCATCACAATGACAAAAAATGCCGACGAGTGTAGAAGTTATGCATGATTTCATGTTTCCAGATCTTCATTAACGGGCAGATATGAAGCGCTCACTTGCTTTGCATAATGGAGGAAATGCTCGTCCAGGTTCCGGACAACTTGGTTCTGACCCCTACCGGGCGACGACGCTCGAGTCTGCACCTGTGATTTCCCCAGAAGAAAAAGCGAAATTGGAGCAAGAAATTTACTACGCACTGAAAATTATATGTTGGGGTCTGAAACGTCGCAACTCGTAGTCGTACTGGTAAATCCAATCGGGATCGTGCAGTGAAAATGCTGCGCGAAAGCTAAAAGTTTCCAACTTCTAGTACCTGCTACACGACAAAGCGGGATTTTCTCATGCGGAGTAGGCATTAAGAAGCGAAATAAGCAGTGATGCTTTTGTGCGCATTTTTCCAGACCGGCATGATCTTCGTTGTCCAAGCTCAAGCATGCCAGAATGGGACACTCTTCCAGATCCTGACATATTTGCTGTTAATAGCTGCCACGAAGGGAATCACCGAAGCCCGTCTTCGCAGATCAATTCTCCAAATTTCATTTTTTACAGAGGAGCACTTCCGCATGCATATGAGTAAAGAGAAACATGCAGATTTCGGGATTTGCACTTCTCGCGGTGGCTGGTGGCCTCACCAAATGGACTTCTTGTTTCGTAGGAAAGATTTAAGGTAATACAAAAGCTTGTGCACTACCTTGTCAAATGCAAAAGAGTACAGTGCTCTCAGGGCCAGGCAACACCCGCGAGTTGCTGCATGGCGTGTTGCATTTGTTATTGCTACAAACATATTGGAAGGAGATCGCGTGCGCGATCGGCTGTTTATGGTGTGGTTGGTGTTTTTCCCGTGGATCGGTTTGCCACTCGCGAAGCCACGATTGACAGGCTCCAGAAGGAACTTGATAAAGTGAAAGCGAAGATGCCCGATCTGCCACCACTGTTGAAGAGAAGTGGCAGATTCTACGTTGATGAGCTGACCCACCAGGGCAAGTTCAACAGTCTCCCGCGAGAAGATATGCCCTGCTCAGGAGTTGCAATGTCAATGTCTCCCGTTCCAATATTTTGTTTTCGCTCATTTATTATGTCGAATTTGCAAGTGAGGTGCTTGATCTATCTTTGTTGTCCTTACAGCACTGAATCACTCCAGCTGTGTTCTTATCCTCCCAGCATCAGATGCACATACCAAGTCGAGTTCTTAGACCTACGAAGCAGAGCTGCTGTCACGCAAATAGAAGACGGAGAACTCACTGAACTTGTCTTATCTGGATTCCTCATGAAGAAGAATTTCAATTGCTGGCTAACAGTTGAGGTTGCAACACCTGAGCGGACTTCTATACCGGACAAAACATTTTTCATCGGGGAGGTGAATTGGCAGAAAGAAGAGCACTCTCGTCCGCTGGAGGAGAAGAAAAAGGCCAAGGAACGGGAGTTCAAGAAGCACCAGAGGGAGGAGGAGTTTGAAATTCAAAATTTGAAAAAACAACCTATCAAACTGAAAGGGGTTATTTTCACGCACTTCTGATAGAACTACAGCAAGAGCAAGACCCAAGAACAGCGTGTTTTCTCGGCGTGGTTGTGTTAGCGAAATAGGGAAAGTGCTGTGCTGTTTGCGCCAGTCAAGGTCGAGAAATCATTTGCTTTTGGTAGCGAAAGTACAAGTGCCAAGGTTTTGCTTTCGTGTTATTTCAGTAGCACAATTACGATATAATTTGGTGTTGGTCTGTAACTCTAAACACGCGCAAGCGAAATGTTCGCCCTTTGTTTCACCTGCAATGTTACCAAGTCAATATGTCCATGGGACCGCGTCCCGCCTTGCGAAGAGTTTCCAACTTCATCTCTCAGAGGGCCGAGATGACCCTTTGCCTTTTCAGTTTCATAAGATTCGAAGGGAAAGGACCTGTGGATGAGAGTGTGAGAGAACTCCACGACTTATCGGTAGCGCAGGACGACGCTCGCGACGAAAATTAAGCTGGCAAGAAGCCGGTGTGTGTTTGTGGTTGGTATACGGCAACACCAAGAAACGGAGCAAACCTTGCATATCCATGGAAGCCTCTGCATGGGAATAAGTAAGCATTCTGGCGTACCACGCTACGAATGTTTTGCTTGGGGTTTCATATCGGATTCTTGTTTCTATATTATTTGCGCTTTTTAACCAGCATGAGAATGACCAACTTTTTTCATGCAATAACATTTCAGTGTCTCACCAGTTTGGACAGACTCTCACCTCTGTTGGCGCAGATCAAGTCTCCGTGCACCCGCGCGCAGAGGAGATCTGTAAAATGTATAAATGAGTGCATCTATCTTCGCTTCATGAATTCGTCCTGGCATGATTTTGATAGGTAAACGCCGTATCTAAGTTCTGTGTGCCATTGCTCGCAAAACCACAAACCTTGCATGTCTATATTCTGAGTGAAGTGGACGCCCGGTGGATGCCTCCTATTAACGAGTTTGCCAAAGAGGCGGATTTCGCAAAGTGGTGTTGCGAGGAAGCAGGCCTTTTGAAGTTGAGTGGTGAGCCTTGTGAGTCGAAGGTTATCGTGATGTCAGCTGGGGTGAAATCGACAGAAGCAGAATGGAAGCAACCTTTTGATGCATGAAATGCCTCACATAGAGACAAGATGGCGGTACTTTGGCATGGCAAGCAATTTAAGGTGAGGATGCTGATCCATCGCATTCCTGAACCTGTAAAACAAATTATTCTATTTTGACGATTTCCCGGACGACACTGCCATACATAGGGGGCGAGCCGGAGACGGTCTTAACAAGAATTGGCTGGCCGCAAGTGACGACGAGAAGGAGCAGATGCGACGCGACTACAACGAGAAATTCTTGCCCAAGCAGGAAGCTGAGCGTACCAAACAAGTATCTCATGAAAACAAGGCAGATCTCTCCTGGTAGAAAGTAAATGGCGCTGCCTCGCTCAGTTATGCGGACTGGCCATGACATTTTTAGTTGTGCCAGCAGTTGGCGGGCTCGGGCACTAGGTAGACAGCGACAGCACGTTGAGCATCTAACTGCAATAAGTACGACGCCACATTCAATGCCACTTGTGGAGTCGCAAATGCTGACGTCTCATGCAAACTTGGCTATGGTCATGTTAATCTTAATGACGCACAGTGGCGTCGGCGTCGCAGAGAAAAAGAATTTGTATTGCGTGATCGATGATTGCGATTGCCTCTCGGATGGCATTTGCGTGGCACAATGCCGGTTCTTGTTCGGACGTCCATGGATTCTACTGATGTCTTAGTCTTGCAGAGATAAAGAAGCAACCGCAACAGGCTTGTTTGTGATTCTCAAAGTACTCGACCTACTACGCCAGCGCGCCAGAAACTAGGAGTAGACTACTGTCTTCATCTTGATACAGTAAAGCGAAGGCTGCACAGAAGGTAGCCGACGCGGACCGGAATCTTCTCCGCGCAACGGGCAATTGAAGAAAACAAATTGGTGGATTCTAGTCGATCCACGTGGAAGGTACTTATTTTTATTTCTGTTTTAGCGCATGCGCATCAGAAGTAGTGCCGTGGCTTTCTGTGTGTTTCTTTTCACGTTTAAGGTGAAGTTTTGAGTCAAGTGTGCAAAATTCCAATCCTGCGCGATCTTGTTGATTCCTCCTCAGGTGAGGCGGTTCCTGTACGTGTACTACTTCTATCGTTGTAAGACGAGTCTTATGACGATAGAAGTACAGGGGCGGACAGTCGCACTCTTTACACGACTGCGACTGTCTACCTGGCCAGATCCGAAACACTGAAATCCACACAGCATCAAGGGAGCGCCTCCACCTGCACCACGCCTTTGCGATTTTTTTTCCTGAAGCGATACTGTAGCGGTACATTAAGATCGAGATCGTCCTTCATCCTGGAGAGAATTGGCACTATTGCGGGCGGAGTGGGACAGTCTGTGGCTTTCAGTGAAACATGACTGGTTCTGAATTCGAGTTTTTTTCTACTAATTTCATTGTTCCTGTGTTTCTTGTATCATTTTTTTTACATTATCACTTTCTCTACCGTCGAAATCGTATTCTGGATCATCTTCGAATTAAAAATTGAACTTCTACTGTAACTATGTGACTACAAATTTTTGTTTAACTAATCGAAAACGTAAGTACTTTCTTGGCTTGTTTGATGTAGATGCACTATATTCCACTTCACCTTCAGGTGTAGCAAATTATTTACGAACTGAGGCATTGCTTTGCTTTTTCTTCCCATTGGACAATTAAATTTTTTTGAGGGTACTTCTACAAAACTGTTACACTTTCGTGTTGATTAGCTTGCAGGAAGGGGTATTGGGGGTTGATTTGGTTTTCAGAAAAGTGGCATAGCAATTGTTTGATGGTCCTATTGTCGATCTTTATCTTGTTGAAAAATGGTGTCGCCTAGAACTTGAAGCGAACTCGTTGAACGCAGGTTGTTCCCAAAAAAGATAAAAACTTATTTTTCCTACAAGTGTTTGTGATTGATTTCCATTTCGCGATGGTTACTTGTAAGTAAAGGATAGAAAATGTTAACCCAAGAAACCCTCGGTCATCCTTCCGACAGTTGCTCGGTGGTCTGACCCTCAGTGTCATGCAACAGAACTTCCGTCGCAATTTCGGTCCTCTTTGGACCGTACATGGTGGAGGAAGAACTGCGTCGTCGGTTTTCAAGACCTGCCAGGTTCCAGGTGCAAGACGCTTTCCAGAGTGAGTGGAGCCTTTGGTGCTAGGACGGCACGACTCTCCTTCGGTCTTTGCTTCTGTCTTTTTCCGTAGTCGGATTTGTTTCTATTCTCCGAAGGTACTACCTGGTTTCGGTTGGAAATATGTGATGGAATGGTCGGTCGGAGGTACTATGGCGATGTGATTAGCATCGTACCGTCGTCGACGTCGTGTCCCAGCCCGGTAATTTATTCGCAATTTTTTCCATGAAACCACACACAACCACGATCACTAAGTGATATTTCAGCTGCTCTGGCACTTCCCCTTCAGCAAAACTTAAAAAAAAACTAACTCTACTGTTCGCCGGGACACACGCCGCCAGGGGCCCTGCGCTTGCCGGGACGGCCCCGCGGGTGCGTGGGTTTCCCGCCACCGCGAACCCAGCATGGCCGCCGACGGGGGCCGCGGCCGCTTCTTTTTTGTTCGCCCCGGCTTTTTTTTTTGCTGACTTTGCAGAAAAAATGCCCGGAAACGGGAAAAAAAGGGCCCCCCGAAAGCCCAGGCGCCCGGGGTGCCGGCCCCGCCAAAGGGGGCGGAGAGACCACTTCGCGCTTTTTTTTGCCGTTTTCGCAGTTTTTTTCGCGTTTTGCCGCTTTTTTTGCTGTGTTTTGCGTATTTTTTTGCGTTTTGCCGGGCATCATTCGAGCTCGCCGGCTCCCCCCAGCCAATGGCAGGCGAACTTGTTCTCCAACAATTGGCGGGAGGAAACTCGACCGAAAACCGGGAAAACACGAAAAAAAGAAGCAAAACGCGAAAAAAAGCTGCAAAAAACGCGAAAAAAAGCTGCAAAACGCGAAAAAAAGCTGCGAAATCGGCAAAAAAAGCGCGGGGCGGTCTCTTGAAATTCCACAAGCAGCGCGCGCCTGTTCCGCGTCGCAGCCAGGCGGAACCTGGTTGCCACCTAGGAGGCCGAAGCTGGAGCTTACGCCAAGCCTACGTCGTTCGAACTGGGTGTAAAGATTCGGAGTAAAAATCTCCGGCAAAATCGGAACCGCGGGAAAAAAAATCTCCGGCAAAAGCTGGAAACGCGAAAAACCCTAAGTGGAATCTAAGTCAAACCTAAGTCAAACCTAAGTAAAACCTAAGTCAAACCTAAGTGAATCCGCATGGTATGGCCTAGGTTTCACTTAGGTTTCACTTAGGTTCCACTTAGGTTTCACTTAGGTTTCACTTAGGGTTTCACTCGGGTTCCAGTTTTTTTCACTTAGGTTTCACTTAGGTTCGACTTAGGTTCGACTTAGGTTCCACCTAGGTCTCATCTAGGTCTCACTTGGGATGGTTTTTCCGGATTTCCAGCTTTTGCCGGAGATTTTTACCGTCGAAAAAAGCAAAAAAAGTCGCAAACGGAAGAAAAAAAATCGCAAACGGAGGAAAAAAAGTCATAAACCGAAGAAAAAAAGCCGCAAACTGGAGGAAAAAAGGCGCCTCAATGCCAGGAAGTGGCGGCTCGGGTTCGTTGCTATCTTTGCCCAAACAAGAGGAAAAGTCGCAAAAGTTTCAGCCCCCGTTCGTGGGGGAAGGATGCAGCTGGCTGTGACCGTAGTGCCACCGTGTAAACGGCGTCGAGCGACGGCAGTAGGTGGGCAGCCAGTTTGTTCTCTCTCCCGCAGGCGGGCGCTGGGGCGCTATTTTGCAACTTTTCCAAAAGGGAGTGGAAATGTCGCAACAAATCCAGCTCCCGCGCGCGGGGGAAAGAACAAAATGGCTGCGGCCGTAGCGCCAACGTGTAACTAAGCGCTGGCTGCCACACGACGGCACTACGTTGGCAGCCATTTTGTTCTTTCTCCCGCAAGGGGGGGCTGGGGCTTGTGCGAATTCCCCAAAAGCAAGAGTAGCAAACGGCCCAGCTCTTCTCCAGTGCAAACGCCGCGCAAGGAATCTCATCGCGCGGTGTCTCTTTTTGTTCTTTGCCCCGCTATGTCCCTGATTCGCAGGCGCGATTTTGCGCCGAGCCGTTGTCGCGAGGTTCATTTGTGTTGGGTCTAGTCTATGCTGGTTGGCATGATGGAAAGAAGACCGATGGAAATGTGCAGAACGCATCAAAATGCCATCGGTCTACGTATGGCAACCCAACATAATCAGAACAGAGTCCAGATATCAATCGGCTTTTGGAGCGAAACACGAGGGGACTACACTTAGGAATCACTTAGGCCAAATGGTCCTTTATTGAGAAAGTCCACTAGTAATAAATGATATTTCAGCTGCTCTGGCACTTCCCCTTCAGCAAAACTTAAAAAAAACCAACTCTAGAATCATTTTTATGTGTACTTACTATGAGCTTGAGCCAGCGCCACAAATTATTGCGATGAGGCAGCCCCGATTTTTTCTTTGTGTGATGCAGGTTGCACCTCCACCTAGTGGCAGCAACTTCTCATTTTCATCACGTCTTGTACTCAAGTCTAGGTAGTTGACAAGTGTGGCAAGGCGAGGCAGTCTTCCCTCTGATCAACGTGAAAGGTGCATCTCCGGTGCCCATCATGCTTCGTTTCTCCGATCATGTTGTCCTCCGGCTCCAGCAAGGTCCTCGTACAACTATGATCCGCCGCAGCAGTTCGAAGCCCGCCTCTGCTCCAACCAGGACGTCGGCGTCGCGATTGCCGTTTGTCTGCCCGGCTCTTTCCTACTTTTTCAACTGTCGTGGCGCGCATGAACGACTGTTTTTCTTCTTTCTCCTACTCAGCTCCGCAGGAAACACCATCAGGGACATCTGGTTTTTTCAGGATGCAAAAAACCCAGTGAGGATGACACTCGGCGTCGAGGGAACGCGAACGAAAAGTTCTCGTGCGGACCTTCAAGATGAAGGAGTTGTCATCATTCTCCCAGACGGGGAAGAAGATGTTATTTTCCGCGATGACGAACGTTCGGAAAGAACTTCGGAAGATGCAGCGCGCGAAGCCGTGGAGGACGTCCCTTGGGATCAGGAGGATCAACTTGGCGGAACGAAGCGAAGACAAGGCGAGCTGTCGAAACGAGAGGACGGTCACGACGGCGAAAAGTTCAAAAATCCAGCGCAGTTCAGTACTAGAATAAGTGCGGTCGCAGTTGCAGGGGGTGGCAGTGAGAAAACATCAACAGCTATTTCCACATCGGGAGAAATATTGCCTCCCTCGACCCTGGTGGAAGAAGGGTGCATCGGCGGAGGTGGCGGCTCTAGTGCAGGTGGAGTGCTGTCTAGTACTACTCAACCCGCGCCAAAGCTGAAACCACCGGCTGCAACTCCGAGTACAACCGGAGTTGCCGGCGCACAACAAGCGGCAGTGCCAGCATCTGGGAGTTCCTCTGCAGCAGCAGCAGGGGCTGGAGCGATCGCGCATCAACCGGTACTGCAACCTGCAAGTCCTCCTGCTGCGCAGCAGCAGCAGCAGGGCCCGCAACGTGTAGCGGCGCAGCTTGGGGCGGTAGGTGGTCCAGCCGCACAAACACCCCCAATGGCGACGGGCGCGGCGGGTCAACATCAACCTGCGGCAGGACAAGTTGTGGCCGCATCCGCTGCGGCAGCAGCTTCGCCGGAAATTGGTCCAACGCAGAAAGCTGTGGAAGAAATGCAGCGAGAGGTGACTGAAGCGGTGACGAAGCAGATCAATCGGCCGAAATTGGAGCTCGTTGACTTGCGATCCGGGACGGTACCGGAGAAAGAGGAAGAGCTTCGAGAAAATTTTCTAACGGCCATCGCGAAGCAGGCTGAACGTGGCGCGGACAAGAACAAGCTCTCGCAGTTGATTGCAAAAGCAAAAAATGAACTCGAGGCCTACGAGGTCTGGGTTATGCACGTGTGAAAAAAGTTGCATGCAGCTCTACACCGAGATGAGCGACCAACAGCAAATACTGAGTATTTTCGAAGAGAGGCAATGCTGTGGTCATGACCTCATGCATCACTCCACAGCATTCCTATATTATTAAGTAAACGGAAAAACAAAAAACTGTGGTAGTGGTTCTGGACTTGGAGGTAGTCCCTTGCCTCGACTCTATTTCTCGGCTGTAGTTGGTCTGCTTCTTATTTTGCGGGTGTGCTGTGGCAGCGCAATTTTTTTTCCGGGATATCGCTAGCGGCCGCATTTCAGATAGAGAGGCTGGCGTTCCTTGTCCAGTTGGAGCGCGTCCTGCCGGACCGGGCGTCTGAATTTCGAAGCATTGCAATGAAGCAGCTGGACGGCGATATCGTGCCGAAACGACTTGCACTCTCGCGGGAGTGGCACAACATGCTGATCGACGATTTCCAAGCGAAAAAACCGGCGACTCAGATTGCAAACATAAGATTGGCCGCTCTACGGAAGACGGAGCAAGAGTTGGAGGCCAAGGCTGATGCGATCGTGGCAGAACTGGGCAGCGTTCAGGAGAGAGCTGACCCGTCTGCATTCCTCTCGTTGACCGCAGATCATGTAATTGATCGGCAATCGCTCGCACAACTGGAACAATCGGCGGACGGAACTTGGAATGTGGACCACATTGAACCGATTGATCCAAAAAATTATGATGCGGAAGAGTTTTCGCGTGTGCCGAAAGCGGAGCAAGGGATTCTCAACAAGGCTGAATCTCCTGTCTTCTCTGACGAGAGCCAAAAAGCTGAAGCGCAACCGCAAGAAGATGCGCAGGGCCAGGGGAAGGACGAGGAAGACGAACTGAAGACCAAACGCGCTGCCGGCGAGCGGGGTGGTGGACGAGACGGGGTTGGATCGCCGGCCCGGCGCTTCCTGCAAACGGCCTGAGGGGCCGTGGTGGAAGGGTTTTTTTAACATAGCATTTTTGAAATATTAACTTTGTTTTGCATAAATCGAAATTTATTCCAAGTAAAACTCGTGGAGCGCCATGGCCATGCAGTTTTTACGAAGTTGAAGTTGAAAAAGTTTGAGGTAAGTAAGGTAGTTTTACATTGTTTCCAGTCCTTAAGGGTATTGCTATTGTAACGAATTTCATGAAGAGAAAACCGATCGATAAGAGCCATAATTGAAATGCAACCAACACCAAGTTTATTTGTAGATGGCATTGCAATTACTTTACATTTACAGCCATCGAATTACATCGATGGAGAATTTGTAGGTAGACCTTTTTCGAAGCATCTGTAGCGATTGACACGCGCTTGCACCACGAGCCTTTCCCCTGAGCCTGAAAGGCACTCAAACTCTTCTTAACTGTATCGGCAGTAAAAAAGATATTTGGCTTTCTAGAGTGTGCTGTGTTCACCGAAGGCTTTTTGCTGCAGACCCCGAAGAGGAAAACCGAAAGAGGAGACGAGAGCGAAAATACAATCGTTTTGGATTACTTGACTAGTACGAGCGGAAAGATGGCACAATGGCCGGATCGGAACAAGTGAACAATTATGATAAAGAGTGAAGATACTATGTCAAAAAAAGACCTGCGCATCTGAGAGTAGCGCTGAACGCTGTTGGAGCGATTTGTAGTGGAGGTTGCATCCTCGGGTCGTTTTACTTCATTGCTGTTCTACTCCTTTCGTCGATTGATCGATACATACTGCCTTACGCGAGACTATCGTATTGCAGAGTCCGCTTTTGGGAGCTACGTGCTAGTCTGTAGCAACTCGAACTGCCACTGCCACAGAAAAAAATCTTATGGCGCCGTCTCGTCTATTGTGCTGAAATTCCACCTCCATTTTCACCATGCCGTAGTTTTTTTTTCTTGAAAGAAGAACCACTGGAACAACCGAAAAAATGGACGTCACCAAGGAGCGCATTTACTGCGCCGAGCAAATCAAGGTCCCAGATGACCTGCCTAACATCATGAAGGGTATAGAACGAAATTTCTTTTGCAGCTTTCTAGTCGAAAAACGTGATGAAAGTGCATGATTCTAACTACCTTTACTTTCATCTGACAGTCGTGGCAATATTACTCTTCTTAAATGTTGATCTTCAACAAAAACACAGACTACACCAAGGAGCTGATCAAGAGCAACCCGGTGGGCTATGAGTCGAGAATGAGACGTTACCTGCGTACAGTTGTTTCACATTGATTTTCATGCATGCTTGTATGACCGAACCCGAACCCGATGATAAAAGATGCCGAGGTTGATGTTCTTGCTCTGCCAGGACCAGGAGCAGGAGCAGGACCACACTACAATACTTATCTATGAGCAAGACCAAGACAAATGTGAAACTACAGTTGGTAAAGCTTTTTTCTCCCGCATACGAAGGGGGAGACCGGAGACGTTGCCAAGAAGAAGATCTACGAGTGGAGTCTTGAGTATAGTTTTAAACACGATTGATAAAAATTCTTCGCACGAGCGACGATGTTGGACTTCTGATGTCGGCATAATCTTCGCAAGCTGGACAATTTTTGTTATGCGTAAACGCAAAACTTACGAATCCAATCCTGTCTAGGTACTTCAAGAAGAAGCTCGGTGAGAAGCCTATCGTGCCGTAAGCGGCACCATGATACCAGCCAAGAGGATGGCGTCAGAAAGCAGGATGAAAACAGGACGACAAGAACGGCGACAAAACGCTGTAGAAGAGGGTGCGCAGTGTATTTGGCGTAGCGGCGAGGAGACGGGACTGAGAGTAAGCACGACGTGCCGAGAGTTAGGAACAGAGCAGATGAAAGTACGATGACGACAAAAAACTGCTTAGCGGCGACACGTGTCGTTCTTGATGGTTTCTCTCTAACATGATTTCCTAGCCTAGATTCGTCTTCTTGTTGTGCTATGGTCAGTTGTCGTCCAGAATAAGAATTGCCATTGCTTTATTACAATATTGACTTGAGAAGTACTCCGTGTCCGTACGCAAAAGACCAAAAGTCAGAGGGCTCTCTCTTCTAGAAAAGTTCGATGGAGCTTGACGTCACCCAGATGAATGTTGTGTTACCATTTCTTGTTGCAAAACAGAACTGCTGTGATTAGTTTGGAAGAAAATTAAGTATTTTAAAGAAAAATTGTCACCGCCAGTGACGATAAAATAAGGGAAACCGGGTTTGCCGGGAAGCTAGTGGACGGTCGACGACAAGAAACGCGTTTTGACGGCACAAAAAGATTGTTCACGTGTTTGAAGTGGTTTCACCTATTGAGGTGATCTTTTATTTTGCGCTTTTGCGAATGAGGTTTCATGGCTGAGAGCGCAAGCGGGAGAGGAAGACCTCTCTGCAAAAAGACCGGGACGAGCTAGTGTAGATGAGAGGGCGTTTGTTCTTTTTTGGTACTACGCACTGCTCTTTCTGCATGTTGATGTTCGTTTTGCTTCAAGTTTAACCTCGACAAGAAATGCTGCGGAGTGTTGCTCCTTGTAGAAGCCAGGAACGAACAAGAAAATCAAAATCATGGCTCGTGCAGATCGGAGAGAATGCGTGTGCGGTGGCGGGGGTTCATGCCGCAGAGGAGCGGGCGAATTCTCTGCCGGGTGGGTATCCATCTCTGCCGGGCCAGTGTGCAAGCGGGTGCGGGCCGGTGCTGCCTTGCCTTCCCGGGCGGCTTCTGTGCGCCAGTCTTTCCACAGACTAGTCGCCGTCCTGGCTGCTGCAAGCAAGTGAGAGGGGGCAGCCGATGCCTTAGCATCGGCACCCGAGGGAGCAGCAAGCCAGCCGGCGCGCTCGCTTGCATCAGCCTGCCCGCTGCCCGAGGCGCATGAACGGCCGGGGCATCGCCGCGCAACCTATGTATTACTTTCCTGCCAAGATCATTCACCGAGCGGCCCGCGTCCGGGCACATTCCGCGCCAGTTTCCGGCCGAGGTGAGGGCTCCGCTGACCTGGGCCGCGGGCCTGTTCGCCCTGGCCGAGGTGTGGGGCCTGCAGTTCGCTGGGAGCATTATGCGGCCCGTGGCGAACTGGGAAACCGGCGCAGTATGGTGCGTCCGGTGTGTCGCCCTGTTTGTGTTATTTTTCCCGGAAGAGATGAGCTCGCATGGCCGGCCCTGCTTTCCGTCATTCTTTCAGTTTCCTCTGAATCTACAAAAATAAGGCCACGCGCTCTGCGCTCCCAATCACCACAGCGCGCGCGCCACCTCGAGCCACCTTCATACTCGCAGCGCGCAGGCGGCTTGCGTTGCAAGCCGCGGCCGGGCGGGCCGTGTCGAGTTGCCCGGCTGTGGCCGCCCGCGTGCTGTTTTAGATAGCAGCCCGGGCGGGCACGCCACGAAACAAGTCGCACTTATTTTCTATTCAGCTTCGGAATCAGAATGCAAGAACGCCAAAAAGCGTTTGCGTGTGTTATATATAAGTAGCGCGGCGCGCTTTCAGCCTTGCGACCGCTCCGGGGCGGGCCCTGCGCGCTCTTTCTATTGGGCGCGCGGGGCCATCGTGGTCTTCCGTGCTTGCCTCCCCGGCCGGCGGCCTTGCTTCCCCTTTGGCGCCTGCTCGGCATATCCCCAGGCCTTGCAAGCGGGCTGCGCGCGCCGGCTGCCGGCGCGCGGGCTCATCCGCACTGGGGCGACGCGGCAGAGGCAAGTCGCTGCCCATTTTACAAATGTCTTCGGCGCGGGGATTGGCGGTCGCCGTAGCTCGTAATGCGCCCGCCCACGAAATGTTGGGCCTGTAACGTGGACCTCTTTTCCTTGGTCCCGCAATCGGTCGCTGAGTTTTCACCGGGCCCGCGTGTTCCTTCCGTCCAGACTTGCAGCATGCGTGCCGGTGCCGCAACATGCCGGGGAGCGAGCAGACGTCAGATGAGCAGAGAAGTGCCGCCGGCGCACGGTCGTCTCTGTGTGTTCGATGAGTAGTGCCATGGTGCTGTGTCGAACTCCTGCTGATGCTACAAATGGATTGAGGGAGGTTCACCACTGACGTCCATTTTCTGTGCCTAGTTATTCCGGCCATCCGTGAGCGAGCAGTAGATCGATGCACCACCGGGACCTGGTGAGCGAAGAACGTAAGCGACCGACAGGCTGAGTGAACAGCTATCCATTTCCTTTGCATGATCAGTTAAGTTGTCTTGCGTCTGCTTCGCGTGTTGGTCTCTCTGTACAAAAGAACGACCAAAAGCACTACAATCAAAAAACGTGTTGCGCGATCATCTCCAATGCCGCTCTTTTCACCATCGTCCACGGTTCCAGCGTCACGACGCACCCCGCCACTTGTCCTCCACTTCGCCGTTTCATTTTTCACGACCGCTTTTATTCCGCGAACCGTCTACAGTCGCGCGACCGCTACTTCTTCCCGGAGCGGCGGCGCTGCTACCGCTCTCAACAGTCACAACTTTCCGCTGGAGGTGGGTGTCGACAATGCGCCAACAAGACCAACTTCAAGTGCCTATGAAGATGCAACCACCGCAGCAGTGGATAGCAGCAATTTTGAGAGTAGCCAGAACAGTCTGCAGCCCGGGGACCTGTTCGATAACATCATTCCCCCGGAAGAGGATAGAGGAGTGCAACAGAACAGGCCTTCCACAGCCAATGCTGGGAGACAAGATGAGGAAATAAACCGCCCAGAAGTTCTTGCCGCTAGGGACGAGTTTGTGCAAAGGAGACAGTCTTTCCCTGACGTCGCGACACCGGGAGCTGCAACCGGTGGCGCTCCTTCGTCAACTTCTTCTGACAGATTAGGCGGAGCACCGGCTGCACGATCATTGCAGGAGTTGCAGGATGAAGAGGTGGTGCACAATGGGCGAAAAGAATTGGAAGACAGCTCGCCGAGAGCCAGTCTGGTCCAGAAAAGCCAGTCGAGCAGGTACTTCAGCGTCAGCGAAGAGCGGACTAATAATGAAGCGCAGCGGAATGGTGAAAAGCTTCTCCAAGAGCAGCAGCAGCAGTTGTTACAGCAAGAGCAGATGAAGATGCAGTACAACCAGGGTCAGGCCCCCGCCGGTGGTTCAGCGCCGGGCGCCACTTTCAACCCCCTACCCCCGGGCCCGCTTGCCGAAGACCCGGACACGGCGATTACGAAGTTTGTCATCGCGTCGAGCGCGAGCGGGGGCCAGATTGTGTACATCAAACTCGGATCCCACAACCCCCAGCTGCCCCCCAAGCCGCTGATCGAATCTGCACTGCAAAAACCGGTGGCAATTGCGGTGGACAATCCGAATCAGTTGCTCTACGTAGCTACGAGTTGCAAAGATATCCCACTAACGTAAATCTGAATGTTGGCATTTACAATTTTTTTTCGAGTAGACAGAGACAACTCTGTGATGCTAATTTACCGAAGGCGCGACGTCTTTGTCATGCGTTACTGGAAGTCAATTACTACGAGTGCGATACTTTTGCAAAGGATAGTCGCAGACGAAAACGCGATGAAAGTGTTGCGCTACCAGCTGAAGATCCAGGAGAACGGAGAGAAGTTATCCGCTATCAAATGTAAAAATGTCTGGGTCTGGAAGGTTGGAACTTGTCATGGTAAATCTCAATCATGCAAAAATCTGTGTTGCATGAGTGCCAAAAGCTGCCCACTTTTGACCAAGTTGGAAGGGAGTTTCTCATGCAGGATAGGCATGGCAGAGACCTCACAGAGTCTGTCATGCCGAGTCCCGCATTCCAGACCTCAAGGGTCATGGAAAATCTGCATGACAAATCTGGCATCCTTCCAGACCCAGACATTTTTACAGTTGATATCCGCGGTGGCGAAGGGCACGGTGGCGCTGAACTTTGCCGCCACGGGGGTCAGTGTGGACTCGTTTGGGAACGTGTACTTCGTCGATGGAGCGACCGGTAGTTGTTACTTTGTGATGCGTAATATTATGGTCGTGTGCATGCACTGATTATGGTTATTCCAATGTGTAAGTGTAACCACGAGATCGACGCTCAACCTTTTTCAGGCCGTATCTACCGGGCCGACCCAGAGCACACGACAAACCCGGTCCTCCTCTACGACGCGACGCGGCTTCCGGAGCTCAGCGGGCCGAGTCACATTTACGTGGACAATTTTCATGTTTACTGGGCAAATGGCAGCCTCGGAACGAGCTCAGGTACAGTTTTTTGTATTGTGCTGGAAAGCTACGGATTAGATATAGATACTTCCACTCTACCGAGGAAGAGGAAGCCGCCGTGCTCTGTGATTCACAGAAGGCGCCTTTCCAAAAATATGGTAGACAAGTTTTACAACTTCTTGAACTTGAAATAATCTCGAGCAACTTTTAATCCAGGTACCATTGTTCGCGCTCCGCTGAAGCGGCCGCAGTTCAAGGAGGATGGTAGCAAACCCCCGGGGTTGAAAGTCTTGACCAAAAACGCGGAATCCGCAAATTCCGTGTGTGCGGCGGGCGACACGGTGTTTTACACCTCGACCAACAACTTTTTCCGCGCCAGCAAAATGTCCACGGAGACCTCGCCCGTGACCACCGTGGACAAAACCCTGGACGCCGTGAGCGGGCAGTGTGCGTGGGAGAAAACCGGGTCGGTAATCGTGATCGACCAGAACTCAGTGTTCCGCTATGCCGGGGCACTGTCAGACAAGTACCCGGCCAACTCTGCTGCGGCGCTGGCGGGCTCGGTGCCGAAAGCCAGGTCGCTTCTGTTCCACCTCACCGGGGGCTCGGGGGTGGCGGTATTTGTCGATCCCGGGTCCGTTGGAAAGATTCAGCACCGGAGCGTCGTCGGCGACTTTTTTTCCACGCTTTTAGCGTTTGTATTGGGCGCAGGGGTAGTAGGAATGATTGCTGCGGTGTGAGGGCCGCGAAAGTTTGTTTGGAGAGCAGTCAACTTTTTTATCAGCGCAAAGAAGATCAGTTCACGAGGAAAGTGCGACAGCCTTTCCGTTTTGGACGAGAGAGAAATAGTCTCTACTAAATGACTCTTGCTGTTCGTGTTCCGAATCCCTTTTTTCATCGTACGAGCAGGGATGCTAGGCCATGTGGAGGGCAAGTTAAAGTTTGTATTTTTGGCAGACAAGAATGAGTGGCAAGGAAGAAGGTACGTTTTGAGTGATGCAGGTGATGCAGCTTAGTTAGTTCTAGATGCCGAGCCGCCTAAAAAACCGGAGCCAAGTTCTTGTCTGGAGATAGTAGGTAGTGCCGATGTCGGTTATCATGCCAAGTGTCGTGTTAGCATGGTGGCCAAAATTACCTTCGAGATGAGAGATCACATTTGGTTCTCAACAGCTGCGATTCACTCTGGAACATTTTGAAACGACAGCTCTGTACTACTTCGGAATATCTGTAGTTACCATCCCATGACGTCCCCCCGAGACTAACGGATAAAAAATTGTACTTCTAGCCTTTCCGTGGTGTCATCGATCGTTATTGTCTTCCCTCCCCTCTCAGAATATTTAGAAATTTCGTTTGTTTTTGTCTCAAAAGATGACTTCCATTTGTCCAGTTAGTTTCTCTTTTCGCGACGAGGATAAGAATTCGTCCGCATTTACTTCTACCTCATCTTGTCTAGCAGCCGTATAGGCCGCTCCTGCACCTCGTCGCTCGTCGGGCAAAAGACTACGCGATCATCGTCGAAGTTTACCACTTTTCGCAATTCTCCGCGGCATCGGGTTCTCCTCCCACACAGGAGCAATGCGTGGAAATTTGTCTGCATCCCTTCGACACGATCGGATTTTAATACTTCTGCGAAAAACAAGGCACGGTCGTTGCGGGGGTCGCGTAACTTGAGCATCATATAGCGTCGCAGCCGCACCACGACCACCACGGAGAACGAAGAACGTTGGCAGAATTCAAAAGGTGAAAGATCATCATGGCAACCACCATGACCGCGCCGCCGCCGGGCAATGTGGTGGTTGGCCGGCCGGTGGGGCAGATAGGACAAGGTGTAGAAAATCCGCACGGAAATATCGCACCCGGGTCTCCGATAAATACTGGCAATCAGGTACATAATTTTGGCTTTTCTAGGCTGTGGAGGTTATTCGGTTTCCGACCGGTTGGTTTGTTCTGCTCATTTCGCTCATGATCGCGTAAAGAGGCACGAGGTTCTTCTCAACATACAAAGAGCTGCCTTCCGTGTAAGTACGCAATCCATGTTTCTACTTCACCATTTCAACATAAATTCAACGTAAAACAGTCCGCCGTCACCCCGATGCAGCCGCTGGACGGCCACACGGCCGCTCCGCAGCAAGGCACGGGTGGCCGCTCCCCCGGTCGCATGCGAACGGGCAGGGTATCCGGACACCACCAGCAGCAAGACGTGGTGATCATGCAACGCGCAGACGGTGGGCCGCCGGTGATGATGGTGGTGATGCAACCCGCACCGGGTATGAACAACCAACAGCACCAGGGTCCAAACCAGTACTACCCCGGGTACAATCCAAACCCCATGTACGCCAATAGCAACTACGCTTATACCACGGGAAACCCGTCAAACACCGGTTTTATCCAGTCCTACGGCGACATGGCCTCTGCCTACCCCCCGACCCTCCTGGCCGTCTTCACGTGTCTCTGTTGCTTCTTTCCCGGGGGCATTTGCGCCTGCATCTCCCTGCTGAAGTGTCAAGAAGGCCACGCAGCAATTGCGAGGAACGACTTCGAGAGTGCGCGAAGAGCGAAAGAAGAAGCCATGCGGTGGATTTACGGCGCTTGGGCCGCGACGTTGTTTTTCATGGTGTTCTACTCAGTACGATAGAAAAATCGGTGGTAAAGTGGTTTGTTTCTTGGTCGTGGCAGATGTAAGTAGGAGAACGGTTTTCTTTTCACATTTTTTAGTTGTCGATTCACTTTTTGTATTGAACTACTTACTCTGACGCTGACCAAAGCCTTTTACACTATTTCCGAGACCGATGCTCCTATAATCCTCCCCTTAGCTCCTGCCTAAATCTGAAGATCGATTGAACGACCTGCTTCCACGACCTGAATATTTGGTTCAGTGTCGCCCCAAAATACCGACAGTGTCCAGAGGTCTCTTTCTACGCATGCAGCGCATCATGCTTCGCAACTTCAACTACACATTGGATAGAGGAAACAAGCATAATTACTGAAGCACGACAATCGTCTGAAGTTGATGCCCAAGATCATCTTTCTCTTGTGGACAGACTGTTCTTGATCTACACGACAAGATTTTTGTAGATACGATCACGATCGCTGGGTCTTTCTCCTAATTATACCGACAAGAAGAAGAAGAGAGCATGTTGACTGACCAGGAAAAAAGATGTTAGTTTGTCGTGACGATCAACAGTATAATCGATTTTGGTAGCGCAGGTTCGTTCTTTATTTCCAGCGTCAGGATCAGCTATTGGTGGTCGAAAAGAGCCTCGTCTTCTATGTCAATGCCCCGCCTTGAATCTTTTACTCCAGCGACTCGCAACGACATTTTAGTATTTTTCATTAAGTCCTCACGACTTTGCTCATTCTTTCCCGAGGGCCGCCCTTGTTTCGAGCGACATCGAGATGGTTCCCCGCCTTGAGATATTTTGAGTCCTTTTTCCTGAAAGAACGTTTACTTTTTACATCGCTCTTATACCCCCTGAATTCACATTCGTAGTTTCTTTCGCTTTCCGCAAATACTATCATGACATTGGTCTTGCACCGCTCTAGCACAGTATGGCACCCAAGAAGCAAGCTAAGAAGGCAGAAATTAAGCAGGACAATAAAACTGCTAAGCCTGCGAACAGCAACAAAGCATCTCGAGGAGGGGGTGGAGCTTCCAGCACTGCCGCGAAGCCCAAAGCCGGAGCAACAACGGCGAACACAACTTCAGGGATTAAACGCACTGCAGGTACTGGAGGGAAGCAAAAGAGGGCAAAAGACGACTTTGTCGTAGAGGACGACGAGGAGGAGGATGAGGAAGAAGATCTTCAAAACGTTTCCTCGGCCTCCCCGTCAGGCTCTGACGCCGAAGACGAGGCGGGACACGGCAAGCAAAACCAGCAGTCATCTACAAGCAAGCACCACCAAGATGAACTGGGTCGTGCAGGAGCTCTTGTGTCCTCAAGCCGACCAAAACTGGACCCGAATGATCCGGATTACGACTCCCAGGAGGACGATAGCGATTTTGAACCGGAGTCCGATTTAGGTTCTGATGTGTCTGGAGCGGGGGCTGGTGGGCAGCTGAGCGAGGACGAGCCTGATGAAAACGATGTAAAAAAAAGCGTTGTGCGGTACAAGCGGGCAAGACGGACCAAGCCACAGCTCGACGTTGGAGGAAGCGAGAACAACAAAAATCCTGGTTCCTCTTCCTCCGCAGATGACGAGGAGGAGGAGGACAATGATGCGCAGGAGCAGGCTCAGCTTCCCGGTCGAACCAACGCGAGTACAAGAACTGGTCTTGCAAAGGGGACGAAGGGAAAAGCGATGAAGAAGCAGAATCTTGTTCAGAATCAGAAGGAGAGGACCGCTGCGGCTAGTACAAACACAACTTCTATTAAGGCTGTTACATTTGAAGACGATGAGGCCAACCCGTCTCCTGGGCGGCAAGGTATACTTGCTTTCTCCTGTAGTGTATTCACAAAAATGCTGTTTCAAAATAAATCTCGTATCAAAATAAATACAGCGATCCAAATTTGTAATAGCTCTTTTGTGAACCGGACGTGCCCACCGCACTGCCCGCAGTTTTGTTTATGCTTCGCGCTGAGCAATCTCGGGGTCC